AAGAAAATAAAGCTTAGACAAACGCAAATAATAAATGTACAAATGATTTCAGTAGTTGGTTTTAATAAAATGCAGTTAGAAGTGCTTAGGTTAACAATTGTATATATTTTGGGTTCTTTATTTAATTTTTTTGTGGAAAAACCAAAATAATGTATGGTCAAACGAAAATAACGAATTTACAAACGATTCCAGTAGTAAGTTTTAATAAAATACAGTTTGAAGTACTGAGGTAAATAATTGTTTACATTTTGGGTTCTGTATTTGTTAATAACTAATTTATTTTGGTGGAAAAAAAAATAAAGCTTAAGCAAACGAAAATAATAAATGTACAAATGATTCTAGCAGTTAGTTTAAAAAAAAAAATGCAGTTAAAAGTGCTTAGGTTAACAATTGTTTATATTTTTGGTTCTTTATTTATTTATTTTTTTCTGGAAAAACCAAAATAATGTATGGTAAAACGAAAATAATGAATTTACAATCGATTCCAGTAGTAAGTTTTAATAAAATGCAGTTAGAAGTACTGAGGTAAATAATTGTTTACATTTTGGGTTCTTTATTGAGTTAATAACAACTTTTTTTTGAGTAAAAAAACCAAATTAATGTTTGGGCAAACAAAAATAACAAATGTACAAATGATTTCATTACTAAGTTTTAAAAAAATGCAGTTAAAAGTGCTTGGGTTAATAATTGTTTATATTTTTGATTATTTCTTTTGTTATTAACTAATTTATTTTGGGTAGACAAATGAAAATAATAAATGGACAAAATATTTCACTAGTTGGGTTAATAAAATGCAGTTGGAAGTGTTTAGGTTAACAATTATTGTTTATAATTTAGATTATTTTGTTTAATTGATTATTTCATACATAATTTGCCTAAAAATGCACAAAATTATAAAGTTAATTTTATTGAACAGTTAAAACAATATATAAATGCAATAGAATCGTTAGTAGTTCACAAAAATTGCACAAAATTTTAGATAAAGTTTGCACAGATTGTGATAAAATTATTGTGCTAACTCATACATCTTTTACAGGGTGGTCTGAATGAGCACTATGTTTTTTTTTTATAAATATATTATAAAACAATCATTTACGTAGTTTTTGGCAGGAAATCATGCCATTTTTATATGGTGAAAATATGGGTTTCATTGACATTAAGTAGTTTTTCTTTTCATATACCTAAACCTTTTATGTAAAAAAAAAAAAAAAATGAAAAGAATGTGATCTATTTCTATAAAATGTACATCTCTAATTTTAAAAAGTAGTTGAGTAAATCCTATTGCTAACAAGCTAATAAATATTTTGGGATGGATGAATGAATGTTAATCAATTAATTAAAAAGGCAAATATAAGTTTCATATTTAAGACTGACAATTAAAGTGTTTTTCTTCAAACTTCAGAAAATTTGGCATTTTACTACCAACTTTTATGACAACAAGGCATTGCTATCGACAGCTGAGTAAAAATACTTTTGTTTTTATAAAACTATCATCTAAAAACTAAAAAGTTAGTGAATTAATTAAATACGCAAAAATGATTCATTATGAATCAAAAACAAATAATAATAATATGACAAAATTAAAATATAAAAACATTGGTCATTCAACAACAAATACTATTGCATCTTTTTCTGGGGAAGCAATAGCAATATCCAAACAAAACAATAATATTGACAATACGGACATTTGTGTTATTATTGTATTGAGAACTTTTAAATAAATAATATTCCATTCATTCAAATACCTATAAATTTGGAATACTATTGGATAATAGTAAATAATTCATCAGAAAAGTATAATTAAGAGTCGATTGTAAACTTGATTAATACCTTCACTATGCAGTTTTTCAATTTTGGGAATTCTCCATATTAATGTAAATACTGTATTATTTGTCACCATAAACTAATTTTTTAGGAGTTACATACCTATTTTTGATATTAATATGACTTATTTGGAACTTAAATACTAATTTTATTTGCAAAAACTAAACAGTTCTTACTATGCCATCATATAAATTTTGGTTTATACAAGACATTTCAAAGAAAACATTGCATTAATGCTATAAGCCCCTGGCTAAATATGTAACAGTTTCTGAAAACTGCCATCAAATGCATATTTTACCATGTTTTTCTAAAATACTAAAATGTGTTATAGTAAAACAAATTGAATCTTTCTTTGAAAAAACTTCCAACATGAATAAATAACATTCACTGATCTGTCTAAAGCATTTGATTGTGTAAGTAACACATTATTAATCAACAAACTAGAAAAATATGGCATTAGAGGAATTGCAAAAGAGTTATATTACAGAAATACATTAAATAAACCTTTAATAATGAAAAGAGGTGTCCCACAAGGACCTATACTAGGCCCTCTATTAGTTTTAATATATACCAATGATTTTTCCTCATATATGAATTCAAATAACGCCGAATTAATGATTACAGTGTATGTATATAATTATTAAAAACCTCAAGACTATGATTAAAGAATGTTAACATTTCTTTATATGTATTAATGAAAATAAAGTATTTATATTTCTATGCTAAATTCAAAGTAATGTGAAATAATATAAGAATACATAATAAAAGAATACAAATAGTTTTTTAAAAGAAAATTAAAATTCATTTATTGGAGGAATATGTAAACAAAGTTTCAAAGACAGAAAACTGCATAAATGGATACAATGTCATTAGAAGAGATTTCACAGACAACATTTAATTATATCAGAGTGTGTTGGGTAAACTATAGCAACTTTTATTTAAAAAGGTACTCTTTTGTAGGAAACCCATCCAAATTAAGCTATGACTGGGTTCCACCAAGAAATGGGGCCCTTATGGCAATGATATAAAAATAAAAAAGTTTAAAGAAATAAAAATTGCTGTGAGAGTAGATTATTCTTTAATTTTTTTTTGAAAATATGTTGCGGATGATGTATTTGCTTCATTAAAAATTCATTATACATTTTAACAGATTGTAGGTATCCTTTTCAAGAATTTTGGACATCACAATCAGAATACTAATAGGCCTTAAATCAGAAAAATGTTGTGGTCGTGCAACTTTACAAAGTGGTCTAATTGTTGCAATTTTCCAAGATGTTGGCAAGTAGTTTCTTTGAATACAACAGTTTAGAAGCTGCATAATGTAATTATCAATATGCAGACTACAGTACTTCAGCATGGAGACTGACACAGCATCAGAACTCTAATAGGTCATCATCTACTTCATTATCAACAAACACAGAACAAAAGTACTTATTTATTTATTTGGATTTCTGCAGCGAAATAGGTAGGGTTATTTCTTGCTTTTTGGACTGAAGTTTATTTAGACCCTTCCATAAATCCTTGTCAATCCAAATCAATGTCAAACTTTCTACATAACCTGATATATATTCAAAAATAATCTCAAAATATGAAGAAAAGTCAGCTGATTATAACCAATAATGTTTATAGATGGTTTTCAACATATTAAAAACAAAACAAATATTACAATAACTAAAATATTCATTCATGAATAGTTGTAGTGCTTGAAAATAGTATATTAATAATAATAACTACAATACAAACCCAAATAAAGAAAAATAGCAATATTGGAGATTGTATAAAGTTTTGAACTTACAAATGAGGCACTTGGAATATCAGTGATCCATCTACATATAGGGTTATGTATTACATGTATCATTTTCTGTTTGGAGAAACTATTATAGAATTTGTACCACCATCTTTCAGTCAAAAAGTAAAATATGGAGATAGACCAACTTTATACTGAAAGATACACATTAAGTATATAACTCATTTCAAATCGAAGGCAGCTATATGAAAAAAAAGTGGAATTAGACCTATGTCCATCAAATGATAAAATTATTGTACAAATTAACACCCATTTTAAATTACCACGAGCTCCACTGCTTGTGTCTTCTATGTACCTATTTATTTTATGGTATTTGACATTCTATATCATTGTAATGAGTCTTCAAGAATACCCTTACCCCACATGATCTGGTAAAACAAGTAATTTAATGAAAATAGCTGTTCTAAGTAATGTTTACAACAAATTAGGTACTGGTTCTATCAAATAGGTCAGTGATATTGTGTTAGAACTACTATTGAAAGTCACATGGGATACAGGTATTGTTAATGTTATTATTAAGAAGTTTTCCAATTTGGTTGTGTTAAAAAATCTTGTGATCATCAAGTGATACAACAAAGCTGACATAAAAATCATCAATAAACAATATCTAAGTAATAAATAAAGCATTAAAAAGGAGAAACGATAAGAACTAAATCAAAAGTTTTGATTATGGCTTATTTTACACCTTTATGGGCAATTAATGTTGGGAATATAATGAACTATTGAATAACTTTCAACTAAAAATTAATTTATATAAGCACTGTGTAGGAAACATAACAAATAAAAATATATCATATTTAATTAGCTGGGTAAATTCTTAAAACTGTTTTTTTACAAATAAAAATCGTTTTATGCTGCAAACCCAATTCTTTGATACACCAAACCAGAAAAACACATAAATGTGGCCTTTCATTTTTGATATTGATTAAGATAGGAATTTCATTAGTGTATAATTAAAATGTAAGTACTCATTTTACAACAATGACTGTAAAAAACGATGTGTGCAATATAAAAAATTCTAATTACCTACATTCTACCAAATAAATGCTATCTTCCAGCAGAATACCAGAGTAACCTTGAACTAACGTGAAGCCCATATTCTTAAAAAAAAACTTAAAAACAACAACCATTTTTTGGATTGTTTACCGATTACACCGATGTTAAATTGGATTTCAAAAAAACACCCCGAAAATTAGCGGCTTTACTGCGATAATAAAGTGAATTAATCTTGACCTCTGACATGAAATCAACAAAATCAACGCTATGCCCTAAGCCACTTCAATGGCAGAATCTAACAGAAGTGCCGAAACGTGATGAAATTTTTTTTGCGGCTACCTTAAAATGTGTTTTAGATAACAATTGTACTTACTTCTCATTTGAAATTGCAGGAAACGGGAATATTTTTAATATAAATTTCATAAATATGGCTACATAAGATGTGGACAAGGTCTATTCATAAGCAAAAACCACTCGAAATCGGATATTTGATTAAGTCACTAATGCTGAAAATGCGTATTCTTGTATAGTTCATGTAACCGGCAAACTATTTGCACAGTTTTTTCTTCGAGAAGCTCATTTTAAACATGTATTCCATTTATAATTTTGTATGCACTAGCTCACCAAACTTTGGTACGCCATTTTAAAATTTTCACTAACAATGGGAGGCGCCATCTTTTGGATTCTTAAGTTTTGGCGGTAAAATTGATTTTTTTCGGGTCATGTATGAAAAACGAATCCAAATTTAAACTCGACTATCCCCACAGTAAATTAAAACATAAAAAACAATAAATACATCAACACATTATTTTAAAACAAAATAAACTGCATAATGGAAAATATTAGATAAATGAGTCTAGCTATTTTAGATTCTACTAATAAAATTCCATTTAAATTTTAGAATCAAAAAATCATTCCCAATCAAGTTTTTTTTTACGCTAAAACATTTCAGATAATTATTACATTCCTTGAATAGTTGCAATATTTCTTTTTAAATATTTGGATTATTTCGCGACTGGTCAAATCTAGTTTTATGCAACTCAAAATACATTAATGACAGTTAATCATCCAATGGAAATAATAATGCAGAAACACGTGATTACGAACGACCAATCAAATCGTTATTCTTGAAAAAGATATTACAACAAAACGTATATATTTGTTTTTCTTTCAATAACAATGATATGCTGAATCATCCAATTTGTGCATTGAATAAATAAGGATAAAGCTACTATTTTTGATAGAAGAAAAGTTTTATGGTTATAAATCAATGTTGGTTGAACTGAATAATGTCAATTGTCACATTTTTTATATACGAAATGCGACTGTTTGAAAGACGTACACAATTTTACATACATCTAACCAATGAACTGAATCTTCTATGGATCTAACCAATACAAATGCAGGATTTTTTTTAAATAACTAGTTGTCTTTTGTCACTACTTTTAAAAAGCAGACACGTTTACGCTGTTGCCTGTTACCCGAAATTCTGTTTTTTTGTTATTCTGATTCTTCCATTATAGTTGACCAAGGAAGTTTAAAAGTTATAAGCGAGGAATAGTTTGATATTCAACTGGATCTTGGATATTCTCAGGTACTTTGCAGCAAATTTGTTGTATTTATGAGAAAACTGTAAAATTTAAAACAGCCTGGCAACATCGGTGGAATTTCTTTGGAAGTGACTAATCGTACGGCAGTTCGAGATGAAGAGTATGATGCATGGATCTAGAATGTAGGAAAACTCTATAAGCATATTTTTTAAACATTCAAAATTGTATCACTAGGCGTGGCTTATGTCGACTCAATATGGCCAATCCGCTAGAACCGGACTATTGGGAATGCAATCCAAACCTACATTTTTTTTTAGAAAACGTTATATTTTTATGAATTTCTTATAAAACGCATGATTAAGGTTATAACTGTTTTTCAGTAATTCCACTTATTAACAAATCATCAAAGTAAGATTTACGTCGTTTCAAATTGTAAAACAGGATACAAATCAAATGTAAAACTAATGAAAACACAAGGAGAAATCAATTCAATGTCTTTTTAAAGCTTCTAATGTAAGTAAAATAATGTATTTATGTCTAAATATAATATTTATGGTTCACAATATATGTATCTTACGGAGTGTACCCAGACAACACACCAAATCCCAGAGATATCCACAGAATATCTTTTGTGGATATCCAATATATCCACAGGATATCAGAAATATTCCGTGAATCTAATATGGATATATCCAAATGTCCGTCTATATCCAGAATATAGAAGATATCCTATGGATATCCAGCAAAATATCTAATGAGTATCTTCCAGACAATACAAGAAATCCCAGAGATATCCACAGAATATATTTGGTTGATATCCAATATATCCAATATGGATATCCAACCAAATGTCCGTCTATATCTCAGGATATAGAAAATATTTGGATATTCAGCAAAATATTTTATGGGTATCTTTAGTAACCAATGATTATTGAATAACGTCGAAAGAAAATAGCAGAGATAAAAAATATTTTCAACACTCAAAATATTTTCAACACTCTGCCTTTGATTTTGCCCACTAAGGAGAAAGTCATCCTCTTCATCCTCTTCAGCAATAAATGGAAATTCTCGACTCCAGTCTCTAATGGAGTCTGATTGTGATACAAATTTCGATCGAACTCAATTACGACGGGTTGAGCATGAGTAGATGCGAAAGTGGTATCGCCATCTATACTTAGTAAGCAAAATCAAAAATTACATCTAATGGATATCCACGATGGTTTGCGTTCGCGCCTAGACTTTGATATATTTAGTGGATGTCCATGGGATATTGAATACACCTTAAAAAAAATAATTTTAAATATCTGAACGGTACTATTAGCCACAATGGCGTAATTTTTTAATAATTTGCTATATAATTACTATTATTTATGGACATTTGCATGTCTATAAATTACATCTCATGGATATAAAATAGATATCCACCATGGACTGGACATTCAGTGGATAATGGGATGTCCAGTTGATATCCAAAGGATTTGGTGTGCTGTTTGGGTACATTCCCAAATCTCCCTTTATATTTGTATTACAACAATAAAAAAAATCTGTTAACTCTATTTTATTTTGCTCTTAAAACTATATATAAGTTCAATTCAAAAAAAATTAGCCACAAAATTGTACTTATCAAATTTCAGCATTTAAGAAACCTTTTCGAATTTGGTCATACATACCTAATTTGTATTTTATATTGATAAAATTAAATAATTTATCAATTAAAACATGCAAGACTTATTAAGAAATAAATACAACAGTATGTTCTGTGCTTTATTTAGCTATAAACAAGTTTATTTTTATTATTTTGACAAAATTATTTATAATTCCCACAAGAAGCCATGTATTTTGAACACCGTAAGCAGTACCAGTGTCCATGCGGTTAATTATAAAAGCTCAATGCGTGCGTTTTTTGGGACCGTATTTTGAGTATGCCGATTCGCCTCAGTCATGATACAGCCACAGCATATAAAATAACCAGCAGTATTACTCCCGCCCCTTTCTAAAAATAGAAATTTGACCTTGCTTATGTCACTTCGGTTTAGAAGTCGGGGTCGGATTAGGAATATTTGCGAATTTTCGGCTATGTTGTATCGGGAACGTATTTGGATGAATTTAGGAAATGAAAAATTGTTTAATTGTTGACTTATTCATTTGTTAAAGCATTTCTTTTTAATATGTCGGGTGTTTTTGGTGGGGAATATAAAAAACACGTTTTTTAGATAACAAGTACATATTTTTATTTTCTTTTAAAAAAATATTTGTACAAGAACATACATTTTAAAATTTTATGCATGGCGCCATATAATTAACTTATTTTTATTAATCTTTTTAAAATTTTTATTTATGTTTTTAAAAGAATAATATAAACGAACTCTTAAATATAAATGTATTACAAATTTTTTGGGAAAATGCGGACACGGATGTGTGTACGAAATATTTTCGCAAATATTAATATACCGTTCACAAATTTTTGGCTCAGTAATAAACGTTATAAAATTCCTTTGAAATATTGTTTCAATGGCGCTAATTATTTGTACAAAATCATCATGTGTATTTATAAGGTTGCCATATGGGTCACCCTGGGCATTCTGGTAAGCTTTAAAAAATATATATAAAGATGACTCATCAATCTCTTCACGTGCCTTTGAATATTGGTTGCAAATATCGCAGTTATGAATTTCGAGAGCTTTTTTCAATAAATAACCGCAGACATATCTTATAAAATTGGTTTGCAAAATATCCTCACGTTGGTAATCAGTGTTTATTTTAAAAACTTGACATTCTTCAGAAGTATTCACTGTGACCTGTGGCAATTGTATTTCCAGGGGCATTTTACTAAGTCGCAAAAGAATTGGTTCAATATCTGCTTCACAATTTTCTGTCCCGGAATGAAAAAGTTATATTCATTTTTTATATATTCATTTTTTTTCCGTCCTACTTTTTTTTGTAGAAAAATTCTACTGTGAAAAATCATCGTACAGAGTTTTGTTGATACTAATTTTTTAACATATACTTTTTGTTATTATAAAAACAATCCCAATTTTAAAACACGGTCAAAAATCTGATATATCCAGCACAAGACTATCATGTTTTTTTTTTGAAATTAATAAACCACCTCCTACCTGCCCTGACCGGAACCGAGCTAGGGGATTATAATATTTAATGTTTGCTAATTATTGTAATTAGACAAGTGACGATTATCACAATAGACTATTCAGATAAGTACATAAATAGATATAGCCCTCAGGTAAACTATTTTAAATAGTTTCTGAGAATGACATCCGAAAATCGCAATTTGATATTCACAATAAATTAATTATGACCGATTCCACCGTTGTGTTAAACGGAGATTAAAATGACATTGTTAATGTAAAAATGTCATTTTAAACTTCGTTTAACACAACGGTGGAATCGGTCCTTAGGACATTAACAATGTCATTTTAATCTCCGTTTAACACAACGGTGAAATCTAACCTTAGGACCGATATATTTTAAATAAAAAAAACTATAAATAAATACTATTTAGGTTTGCGTAATTCTTAATTTTTTAAAAGCTGTATTTTAAATAGATGTATCTGCGAGAACAACGCGACTAACCATGTTATTATTTTATTTATTGTTGAATTTTGGGTCGTACAAAAAATAGTAGTGCAGGTCATATAATATATAGTAAACTGTAATTTAATAAAATATACTTTTTTTATATTTTGAATAAATAAATACTATTTGGGATTCGTATGATTGTTTATTTTGAATGGATGTATCTGTGAGAACAACGCGACCAACCATGCTAAATCGAGCAATGTCTTGCGCGGCGAACTGCTCAGATGTGAAAAAATGGGGGAGTAATACTGCTGGTTATTTTATATGCTGTGATACAGCGATGTTATGTAAAAATTTAAAATGTACTCCCGGATACCCGGATGATTAGCCACTTCCAATTTCTTTTACCGTTGATTGCTGCGAGAGCGTTCTGTTTTCCTATGCATCCGGTGTACAATTTTCTTGTTTCATTTTAAGAAATGGAATGGAAAAAGACAGATATATACTAGCTTACCGTAAATCGATTAGAAACGTTCTCATTTAAAAAATTGTGCAACAAAAGAAAATAATTGTTGCGTAAAGTTGAATACCCTACTTCTTCAACAGATCCTAGAATTTTATTTTGTCATCATAATAATGAAATGATGAATTTTTGTGGTTTAATTAATTACTCATTCATTATGTGAATCTGTTTCAAAAATAAAAATATCAACATTTAACGATTTACAATATTTAATACGGAATTTATTTTATTCACCTGGTAAACATGGGTATGTACACTGAAACAAAAATATTTATATTTTGTTATTATTTTATCTTATCGAAAGGTGTGGTATCTGATATTAAACAGATAAAAGTAATTTATTAGTCATTAAGTGCATTTATCACGTAGTTTCCTCGATTAAAATGTCTCGTAATTACAATCCTGTTCCTACTGGACTTTTGGAAACAAATTTAGATCGTGAAATATCACAATCAAAGCACAGTGTCTATTCACTTCAATCTGTTTTAGAATCAGAAGGAGAGGAAGACTTTAGAAGTATTATTAGTTTGAATGTAAGTAGATAAACGTTTAATTATTTTTATATTTTTTAGGTGTTTTTGAAAAATGTCTCACTCGAGTCCCATATGCAACTTTAATAGCAACAATAATGTGCGCCCTGGGGGTAGTGATTTTCTGCGGCACTATGTACAGGGGTGCTACACTAACAGTTTTGATGTTCACTAATGTGTTCAATATACAATTATTTTGGTAAATAGTTGATGTGACTATATTTTTATTTGAATTCTATTAAAGTTACTGAGTACATTTCAGGGTTGATGCTGTTAAGATGACATTCGTTTTAATTGGAGCTTGTATGGGTGCATTGGGATTGATGATATTGACTGTAGGATTTCTAGCTACAGGCGCTACAAGGCATAAAGTTTATAGGGGATGGGGTTGGAGAGTTAGTGGAAGACTGACATGTGCAATTGTAAGTATCTAAGTACTATGATTTTTTTACATATTGTTATTGTGAGTGATTGTTGATAAATTGTTGAACTTTGTATACATGTACAACTTTTTGGGTTTCATCCTACTATCTGGAGGGGCGAATTTCAAAATTTTGGCACTAGTTTATTGAAGTAACTAACTTTTTATAATATTTTAAGTAAAATTAAGTATGGAAAATTATTTTGTGTTTGATATTTTCATTTAAATTATAATTAAATACAATATTTTGATCATTTAACCTAACTTTTATCATTATTTCCTTCTACAAAACATAAAACAAAATAATTTATGGATTTGTCTATGGGTCCTTGAGTTTGCAACGTTGCCACGTTGTTGAATTTAAAATCACTATGTGTGATGTCCAAGTTTGCATTTAATAGCAATAATTGTGTTGCGAGGGGCAAACCACCTGAGAAAAATTGTACACCATAATTCCACTTCCTTAAATAATTCCACGTACTTCCACTGAAATTCCACTTACTTCCACTGGAATTCCACATACTTCCACTGGAATTCCACGTACTTCCACTGGAATTCCATGTACTTCCACTGGAATTCGCCATACTTCCACTGGAATCCCACTTATACTGGAATTCCAGGTACTTCCACTGGAATTCCACATACTTCCACTAAATTTAATTCCATGGAATTCCACTATCATGCACAGTAAAACTCCAAGTACCCGCTATTTACCACTTTAAAAAATGAAATAAAAGTAGGTATGTTTTACTTATAAGGTTGTAATGATTTATTATTTTTTTGAATTATTATAATGTATTGAATAATTCATACTAAAAATTATACCTGGATTTTCGTGCTAAATATTGGTTTTTGTCATTTTGATAAAGTAATGTTTATCCGCGGAATCGCGCCATTTTAAAGACCTAAAAAACGTATTTGGAGGTCTTGCTATGTAATGATTTATTATTTTTTTGAATTATACTAATGTATGGAGTCATTCATACTAAAAATTTTATCTGAATTTTCGTGCTAAATATTGGTTTTTGTCATTTTGATAAAGAAAGGTTTATCTGCGAAATCGCGCGATTTTAAAGACCTAAAAAACATATTTGGAGGTCTTGCTATGTAATGATTTATTATTTTTTTTAATTATAATAATGTATTGAATCATTCATACTAAAAATTATACCTGGATTTTCGGGCTAAATATTGGTTTTTGTCATTTTGATAAAGTAATGTTTATCCGCGGAATCGCGCCATTTTAAAGACCTAAAAAACGCATTTGGAGGTCTTGCTATGTAATGATTTAATATTTTTTTGAATTATAATAATGTATTGAATCATTCATACTAAAAATTATACCTGGATTTTCGTGCTAAATATTGGTTTTTGTCATTTTGATAAAGTAATGTTTATCCGCGGAATTGCGCCATTTTAAAGACCTAAAAAACGTATTTGGAGGTCTTGCTATGTAATGATTTAATATTTTTTTGAATTATTCCAATGTATTGAATCATTCATACTAAACATTGTACCTGGATTTTCGTGCTAAATATTGGTTTTTGTCATTTTGATAAAGAAAGGTTTATCCGCGAAATCGCGCGATTTTAAAGACCTAAAAAACATATTTGGAGGTCTTGCTATGTAATGATTTATTATTTTTTTGAATTATTATAATGTATTGAATCATTCATACTAAAAATTATACCTGGATTTTCGGGCTAAATATTGGTTTTTGTCATTTTGATAAAGTAATGTTTATCAGCTGAATCGCGCCATTTTAAAGACCTAAAAAACGTATTTGGAGGTCTTGCTATGTAATGATTTATTATTTTTTTGAATTACACTAATGTATGGAGTCATTCATACTAAAAATTTTATCTGAATTTTCGTGCTAAATATTGGTTTTTGTCATTTTGATAAAGAAAGGTTTATCTGCGAAATCGCGCGATTTTAAAGACCTAAAAAACATATTTGGAGGTCTTGCTATGTAATGATTTATTATTTTTTTGAATTATTATAATGTATTGAATCATTCATACTAAAAATTATACCTGGATTTTCGGGCTAAATATTGGTTTTTGTCATTTTGATAAAGTAATGTTTATCCGCGGAATCGCGCCATTTTAAAGACCTAAAAAACGTATTTGGAGGTCTTGCTATGTAATGATTTATTATTTTTTTGAATTACACTAATGTATGGAGTCATTCATACTAAAAATTTTATCTGAATTTTCGTGCTAAATATTGGTTTTTGTCATTTTGATAAAGAAAGGTTTATCTGCGAAATCGCGCGATTTTAAAGACCTAAAAAACATATTTGGAGGTCTTGCTATGTAATGATTTATTATTTTTTTTAATTATAATAATGTATTGAATCATTCATACTAAAAATTATACCTGGATTTTCGTGCTAAATATTGGTTTTTGTCAATTTGATTAAGTAAGGTTTAACCGCGGAATCGCGCCATTTTAAAGACCTAAAAAACTCATTTGGAGGTCTTGCTATGTAATGATTTATTATTTTTTTGAATTATAATAATGTATTGAATCATTCATACTAAAAATTGTACCTGGATTTTCGTGCTAAATATTAGTTTTTTATTATTTTGATAAAGTTATGTATATCCGCGGAATCGCGCCATTTAAAAGACCTAAAAAACATATTTGGAGGTCTTGCTATGTAATGATTTATTATTTTTTTGAATTATAATAATGTATTGAATCATTCATACTAAAAATTATACCTGGATTTTCGTGCTAAATATTGGTTTGTCATTTTGATAAAGTAATGTTTATCTGAGGAATCGCGCCATTTTAAAGACCTAAAAAACGTATTTGGAGGTCTTGCTATGTAATGATTTACTATTTTTTTGAATTATAATAATGTATTGAATCATGCATACTAAAAATTATACCTGGAGCGAGCTCGATGTTCTCAGTCATTGCGTTCGGTCTGCCAAGTTCCTTTAACTCCTTTAACACTTTTAACTCCAAACGACCCTTTTACCGTTAGGTTTAGTCCGATTAGTGACAGTTTAACACGCTTAAATGTCATTTAAAAGCACCCAAAAATTTGTCCCGCTCCAGCCCCTGACTGACCGAACTCGCCTAGAGCAGAAGAATCGAGAAGAGGGAGAAATTTGTCTCTGTCTCTACCTATCTCTTTTTAATTAACTTACAAACAAATTTAAATTTCAAAATTAATAACCAGACAAGAAGTCAACAAATTACGTAGCCGCTTTTGTCTTATAGCTACAATTATTAGTCATAAAAAACACAAAATGTGTGTTTGGAAAATACATTTTCTCTGTCCAGATCTAATTACCAGTAATCACAGTCATGGAATATGAGAGCGAATCGGGCCTTTGTGGTATATGCTGCATTTCAGGGCCATTACCCCTTATTATTAAAAGTTTTTCCATTTTCTTTACTTTTTGATCAATATTTTGAGACACAAACCAGAAACAAGAATCACAAAAAAGCGAGGTTATGTTTTTTACTCTGTTTTATTTGATTTGATTCAATGCTCTATTATGATGTCATCACTTCTCAGTCTCCTCGACGCTCGCTCGATCGAGTTTCAAATCAAACGCCCCTTTGAGCGAAAAAATTGACAGCTTTGTTGCTCGCCTAATTTAAATTAGGTAAATATATTGATATATATTTTTAATAAATGATTTTCGAGTTATTTGTACGTAAGTTACATGTTTTTTTGTTACATTGTCTTTGAATATCAACTGCCTATTTTCATGATGAATGTAGATATAGGCAACACTAATTACGAAAAATTTTCAGTTTTTATATATATTTCTTAAAATAATTTGATCGTAGAAAAAATATTGACATCGCTTCGTTCTGGCGTTTAATACACAAATAGCTATTTTAAGAAAAGGGCGTCTTAATTCCCAATATTTACCCAAATTTAATTTTTACATTTTATGTACGATTATTATCGTAAGTAAACCATAAATATATGATTTTTGATCACTTCATTTTTTTATAATCTTGCAATTTATAGATTATAAAATAATCCTGAAACTTATAATTTCATAAACAACTTGGCAACGTTGTTATTTTTAAGACAATCTTTTTACCTCTGAGCACATTCAAAAGGTGAGTTCGGGCTGCGCACTCCAAAGTGGAGTGGAGCAAATAGGCGTAAACGGAGTGCGCATATGGTTTTCTCCTTTTACTCTCAGAGTTCAATGTCAGTTGTCAATGTGACATACTAATACTTAAAACCTAATCGTACTTATCAGTAACAACCGTATAAGTTTCTTCCATATTAATGGTATGTACGGGAATCAAATAAAAAGCATTTTTACTTAAGAATTAGTCACAATTATCTTATTATCGATTTAAATCACCTTATGCGCATGCCCGATTCACACTCCACTCCACGATCTCCGAACGGTCAAAGAGGAACTTTTATTTTAACTCCTTCCGTACCCGAACGCTTTAGGTACTTTAGGAGTGAATATAGTGAAAAGAGTGCGTAGACCGAACTCACCAAAAGTATGTGCCTCTGAGTAAAGTTACGTGTAAGTTTACTTGACAGATTAACAAATAATAGCCCTATACTTTAATCAGCAAGTAGTTACTTTCAACTTTACTGGAGCGGGACAAATTTTAGGGTGATTTTAAATGACATTTAAGCGTGTTAAACTGTCACTAATCGGACTAAACCGAACGCTAAAAGGGTCGTTTGGAGTTAAAAGTGTTAAAGGAGTTAAAGGAATTTGGCAGACCGAACGCAATGATGGTAACATCGAAATCGATTAATCGAACAATCGATTGTTTTCTTTCGATTTTCGATATATTTTAAATTGGAATAAATTGAAATAAACTGGAATAAATTGGAATAAATTGGAATAAATTGGAATAAATTGGAATAAATTGGAATAAATTGGAATAATAATAGGCATTCGTTCAAAATTATTCCCTAACTATTCCAAAAAATCAAAAATGCACAACGTTAATATTCAAGTTTTCACTTCTGCCGGCACTCCCGGAGTGCAACCCGTGTCTTTTTTTACAAAAATGTTCTATAGAAAATAGTGCCTTTTGGGTGTTTAAATTTTTTTTGTGAAATTCGCACCTCCGGATAGTAGGATGGACCCACTTTTTGATAGCCTTTGAGACCATTAATTTACACAATTTATTAATAAACAATTTTATTTATGTATTGGTTATTGGTTGTACTTTAGCTCAAAAATTAGGAGGTTTACAAGATATGTTGATATTATTTTTTTTTCTTTAATATCACCCTTAAGTATCAGCATTCAATTAATAAACTGTATATTAACGATTTGATAAAAATTAAAATATCTGGAGACTTTACAATATTTGCTGATAATACCACAGTTCTTTGGAATGGAAAAGATCCTGAATATCTTAAAAATTATATTTCATTGATCTCAAAACAATTAAAGACTTGTGTGAATTTAAATTTGCCTTTAATGATCTCAGGGGACAGACCATTAAAAATTCCTTGGTTTTTACTTAGATAATTATTTAAAGTTTGATTAAACACATCAAGAATCTTAAGAGGTTGTTTTGCAGTACAAAGTCAGGGGGAAGTCCCAAAACTTCAAGATTCATCAAAAAACCCAAATAAAAAGGGATTCTTTTACTTTTCTCACTAGTTACTGATAAATAAAAATAGAATTAATGTAGATTTTATGAAAGTTAGGAGAATGAAACATTTTCGACTGTAATCCTTATAATAATATATAATCTTTATTGATCTTTGAAGCCATACAAAGTATGGATAAGCTAAGTCATGGAAATAAACAAAAATAATAAAGAAATATAAAACAACATGACTTGTAGGTAAATATCTCTCTGGAAGCTTTGTAAAGGTTGATTATTTTTTGTGTTGGGGGCAATATATAGTATATAGTATGGTTATTTTTTGTAGCTAGTATGTATATTTTGGGTATTTCTTTATTATCTATTTATTCAAAGTAATTGAACATATTTTAGACAGATATATTGCAGTAACATTTTTAAATGTTTCCTCAACAACTAGCCCTATAACTCAAACCGTATTATTCCATTTTGGATAATAAATACGCGAAAAATGTGTGATATGCTGGCCCCTAAACAATAATAATTTGATTAAGAAATTAATATACAGGGTGGTACATGCTATACATTGTCGGTGTCTGTAGGGAAAAGTAACATTTAAAGTTTTTCTTAACAGGAATATACATATATCAATTTTTTCTTTTAGTTCATGTGCGTAACGTACGTACTCCAGATAGCGTGGATCATGATTTTTTGTTTCCTAGTCATAGCGACGTTTGTGTTCACGATATTTTGGAAAATGTGCGAGAATCCGAGAGTGGCGTCTTTCCAAGACGACATCGATTTGACGCAGTTTTGTAAGTCTTCATTTATTGACAGTTGCAGCTATCTAACGTGAATAATCTTTCAATTCTTTATAAAAATAATTTTTCTAACTTTAATTTTGATATACCGAAAATTAGACAAATTTCACTTAGATACTTTGTCTTCTAGAGTCCACAGATATATTTGTATGTTGGTTGCACGATATTCAAAGTCATTTTTAATCAAATTTTATTCGTTTTTTCTTTTTATTTTTGTACTATCTTCTTTTTTAATTACAAAACTATATTTTTTGATAATAAGTATAATATGATGATGAGTATGTACTTTGTTATTGTAGATTTTATGTTCCCCTCTGACATGAGACAGGAACATATGAAAATATCAGGAGAAAGTGGTGTGAAAGCCTTTTGCAAGGACCACGTTGAAAAAATCGAAATTATGTTCATTTTAGCAACCGTTTCGTCTGTACTTGTAATTTTAAGTTTGGTAAGTACTCCTACTAACAAAAAATTTCCTACCTATTCTTCAAGTATCTCTACGATAATCCCCAGTACTTTATTTCAAATAAATATTTTATTCCAGATTCACTATCTGATGTGTCTATCTGCGAACTACGCTCATATTAGGGATCAGGATAAATTCTTGCAGTTCCAAGATTTACAAATGCTGAACGATCACGAACTTTTAGCTGGAAAGGATAGATTCTAGGATACAGCCCGGGAGATACATATGCCCGAGATCAGCTGGCAAAACATGATGGTAGCCAATGATTAATCAGTATTTTGCAAAAAAGAATAATAGTAAATTCGCGCATTTTTGATATTTTTTAATGTCTATCGAATCTTCTTTCAAATATTTCTGTTGATGCATTTTACAGATGTAATTGGATACAACTCAAAGGAAAATAGGGGGCATACTTAAAGATGTTCAAAACACCCTCTAAGTTAGGGGATGTTTTGATTTCTATTAATTTGGTACATAACCTCAAGTTGGCATTATGCATTGATGTGAAAGTAGGTATGTATATACAAGGGTCATACGAAAAGTTTTACACAGAAAAATACACAAAATTGTGTCATGGAGACAACTGGGTGAGTTGACAGATGATGTATTTGACATTGACGATTAATGTTAATTAATGACGTTGACAGACACTCTAGAAAAATTACATTAATTAATTATTATTATTATTATTATTATACTTAATTAAAATTAATTGAAGTAAATTCGTTTAAATTAATTAAAATTAATTAATATTAATTAAATTGATTAAATTTTATTCAAAGTGATTAAAATTTATCAAAATTATATAAAATTAATTAAAATTGATCAAAATTAATTAAAACCAATTAAAATTGATTGAAAGTGATTAAAATTTATCAAAATCAAATAAAATTAATTAAAATCGAATAAAAGTGATTACAATTGATTAAAACTGGTTAAGATTGATTAAAATGAATTAAAAATTGGTTAAAATTAATTAAAATTAATTAAAAGCGATTACAATTAATCAAAATTGATTGAAAATGATTACAATTGATTAAAATTGAATAAATTTCTTTAACAATAATTAAAATTGATGAAAATTTATCCAAATTAAATAAAATGGATTAAAATTGATAAAAATTAATTAAAAACTGATTGAAAGTGATTAAAATTAATAAAAGCAATTATAATTGAATGGAAGTGATTCATATTAACAATAATTAAAATTTATCAAAATTGATCAACATTGATTAAAAATAATTAAATTCGATTAAAATTAATTGAAATAAATTATATTTCATTAAAATTAATTGATTAAATTTAATTAAAATAATTAAAATTAATCAAAATAATTAAAATTAATAATAATAATCATAAGTAAAATAAAGTAATTAAATTTGATTCAAGGTGATTAAATAAAATTAATTAAAATTGATCAAAATCAAATAAATTTAATTAAAATCGATTAAAATTAATTAAAATCAATATAAAATTAATTAAAATTGATTAAAATTAATTAAAAACAGATTGAAAGTTATTAAAATTAATAAAAGCTATTATAATTGAATGGAAGTGATTAAAATTAATTAACAATAATAAAATTTATCAAAATTGATCAGCATTGATTAAAAATAATTAAATTTCATTAAAATTAATTATATTTTATTAAAATTAATTAAATTTTAATAAAATTAATTAAATTTTATTCAAAGTGATTAAAACTTACTAAAATTAAATAAAATTGGTTGAAAGTGATTAAAATTTATCAAAATCAAATAAAATTAATTAAAATTTATCAAAATTACATTAATTAAAATCGATTAAAAGTGATTACAATTGATTAAAATTGGTTAAGATTGTTTAAAATTAATTAAATTCAATAAAAATTAACTAATTTCAATTAAAATTAATTAAAAGCGATTACAATTAATTTAAATTGATGAAAATTTATCAAAATGAAATCAAATGGATTAAAAGTGATTAAAATTGGTTAAAAATGATTAAAATTAATTAACAATAATTAAAATTGATTGAAATTAATTAACAAAAATTAAAATTGATCAAAATTGTTTAGCATTGATTAAAATTAATTAAATTATTAAAGTTAATTTGATTTATCCTGTTTCCTTTTTTTGTTTCGTTAAGAAGTTTCTTTTCTATATTGCGTTCGATAAAACACATTTTAGTTTATTGTTATCGACGATCATATGTCAACGTCATTCACCAACGTTTTCAATGTCAAATACTTCATCTGTCAACTCAGTCAATAGTATGACTTCCTCGTGTTCCAATGCTACATTTTTAATGTTTTTCAAAACAGTTTATCAATTTATGTGTTACATCATCTGTCAATGTCATCTGTAACTTTATATGTCACGTCATCTGTCACAAGTAGAACTTTTAATATGTCGCTACTAATTTTTCCTTAAGTTGTGACTGTTTAAATTTGATTGTAGTGCGAATAAATAATAAATATATTTAAAATAGGTTAGAAAAAATACGCGAATTTTACTAAAACATCAACAAATTTGTCTTCCTTTAGATGTAGGAACTAATATTTCGTTTTTGCACTGTATTTTTTTAACAGCTTTCTCTCTGAATCGGGTATCGGTGTTTCCTGGGATCCATTCGATAAAACAAAAACATATCGTACCTTACCGACTTATATATTTTCTACGTCCGTCCAAAGTTTGTGCACAAATTTCCACGTATAGTTCAAATATGCGCAGCTATTTGTTTTCTAGATCATCAAATGTGTTCAAATCGTTTAATTTAAAGGTTTTTGATGTGTATATCTAGTAAATTTTTAAATACGAAACTATGATTTAAATTAGATATAATTTGAGGTTATAGAAGATGAGTCATGGTTTAGAAAGACCTTGTAGAGTATCAAAATCAACAATTTAAAAATATAAATAGAAAATTCCAAACAAATCCAATTTTGTTTATTTTGGATTATAACGAAATTTGATAGCCCCACGTTGGGGCGCCAGTTTAAATTTTTTAGAATTTATATTGAAATTTTGTTGTTGATTGGGATTGGGCTGTGACGCCTGGGTGGTAGCTATAATTGAACTTTTAAACACGAAAAAATGATTGGAAAATCTTTTGTTTACACGCACTGTAGTTCATTTAGCTAAAAATTGCACTATTAGGGTTGTACATATTATTAAAGTTGATAAACTTTAGCTTTTGTGGGGTTGAGTGGCTGTAGTTTATTTAGAATGTCTATTTAACAAAGCATTTTTAAATAGTTATATACATGTAAATCTTTTAAAATAGAAACGTCAATTCAGAGGAAGTAGAGTAAAATTCGAATAAAAGAGGTTATGTTTCCTTAAATTGTTAACAAATTAAATATTGATTAATATTTTTTTGGAAAACATTTAAAATAATTAAATAACAGTTCTTGAAATACAGCCAAACTCTATTAAAAATTCCTTATAATGAAGGGTTTATATTTAATGTTTTACATGTAGCTAAATTTATAAATGCTTTATAAATTAAGGGTATAAGTCTGTTTTTCTTTAGCTTCCTTTTTTTTATTCTTAGATTGCATAAAACATCTCAAACAATAAGGAATTATAATTATCAGATATTAATATTATTTTTTTAAAAGTTCTTTTGAATGGAATCTAAAAAAATTTAAATTAATTTTTTAAACGTCTAAATGAATCGAAACACTAGCCATTTTTGCAACTTGATACAGGATCGAAAACATTGTTAAAATGGCAAAAAAACTTAATTAACATTTCTGTAAATTTTATGTTAAACTCAGTAGACTTGGAAAAATGTTTACTCGAATTTGCAAATCCCCAAAAAAGTGGCAAATTATCCTATCCATCTTATTAAAATAGCAAAGCGGTCTCAATATTTTTAGAGTAGAGATGGGTTGTTATCGTATAACAGTTATTTTGCTTGAAGTAGCTATCACTGTTACCCGATTTAAAAAAAAAGCTGTTACTATGTTATGTTGGGAACGGGATGTTAATAAACTTATATTGTGTCCCCTTCTGTTATTAATACACCAAGGAAATGTCTTAATGCCTATAGCGATCCTTCCAATCATATCTTCTCAAGGAAGTGTAGGATTTGGATAAATCTCCCTCTTCTATTTGATATCCTCCTAGATATATTGCCCTTATTCTGGAGTGCTACACATTCAGAATGTGAATGGGAGGTTTCGTTCTCCTCACAGAATCTGCACTCACTATCCTCTACTTTTATCAGTTTACAAAGGTGTCCTTTTAGTCAGCAATGCCCGGTAAGAATCCCTGTTACAATATGTAGCCTGTTCTTGCTCAGACAGATGCGGGCTTCCGATCTTTTCAGGTTATATTGACCTAGAAGTATCTTAGCCTGTCTCAGCACCAAGAGATTGTTCCAATTATCGGTTCTTCTACTGCCCAATTCTTTTTTAATCTCTCCTAATACTATGTTACTGCTGATACCGCAGAACGGCTCAGGTCTTACAAAGGGTGTTTGAGCCCCTTTCCTTGCAAGACTATCTGCAATCTCGTTACCTTGCATCTCGTTATGTCCCGGGACCCAAGTGAGAGTAACTAACTCTTCTCGCCTAGCTTATTAAATTGTTCTAAGCATTTCCAGACCATTTTTGAGCTGATTACGTAAGAGCTCAGTGCTTTGATGTCTTCTTGACAACGGATATGATAATAATCTCTTGTCTATGATAGTTTCCCTCGATGCTAAACTGGACACACTTATCCACTGGGTGAATTTCCGTCTGGAAGATGCTTGGGTATTTCCCCAAGCTTTCGGAGTTCTTGGCCCATACACTCCTATTCCAGTTCCTTCTATGGTTTTGGAACCGTTTGTATACTACTGAATAGCATGTCATTCGGTTACAAGCGCGATGGATTTTTGGCTCCATTCTTTCTTGCAGCCCAGCTCTGTGGTTTTGAAGGTTTTCGTAAAACTGTACTTCTTTAGCATTTCATTCTGGGACATGTCCCAGTTATCTTTAGTCCTGAAGCAAGTAGACTTTCGTCTGATCATTCTATACCGTATTCTTTTTGCCACATTCTCTATCATCAAATGTAGAGGGGTGAGGTTTAAGATCGCCTCCATTGCGGTCGTAAGGCAGGTTCTCATTGCACTGGTGATGCAAACACAGGCTAGTTTTTGTACTTTTGAGATGTTAACACTCATAGTAGCTAAATTAGTTCTGTTACTCGAGGCTGTAGCCCTGTAAGTGATGATTGTAGTATACATCCATCGCAGTATGTTTGGGTTACATCCCATCGTTTACCCGCAATGTTTCTGCATACCATTAGGGCTTTAGTGGCCTTATTTACTACTTCCTTTTCATGTGTGTTCCAGAGAAGTTTGTTGTCGTAGATATTTAACTTCATTTTTCATTCTATATCTATCCCGTCTAATTTAACGGTTTTGAGATTAAGTTTTCTTTTCCTTGAAAATGCTACTACTTCACAGCACCATCTTTTGGTATGTTCTAGTCCTCGTTGGACTATATCACACAGGATATTTCTAAACTTGCCTCTAGCAAATATGACTATGTCGTCGGCATAACCTTTACAAGGTCTAGTCAATCTGCATAGAAATTCGTCTACGGTTAGGCTCCACATTAGTGGGGATAGAACTCCTCCTTGTGGACATCCTTTGATGTGCAGATGGAGATGGTGTCCTGCCCTATCCCGTAGATAACAGCTAAGTCATCCATCTGGATGTTATCTACTCATCTGTATGTATGCAAGTGTACTTTTGACAGATTCGTGTGGCGTGTTGTCAAAAGCTCCTTCTATATGTAGGAAGGCACGCACGACCCTTTCTTTGTTTGTCAGTGCATCCTGTATTACGTCAGTCAACTGTACCAGGGCAGTTTCTGTAGATCATCCTGCTCGGTACGTGTGTTGGCTGTGGTGGAGTGGCACCCTCTCCAGGACTTCCGTTCTGATATAATTATCATTTTAATACAAAGGATGTGAGGCTGATTGGTCGGAAGGATTTAAGGTGTGTGGTATGCTTTTCCCTACTTTTGGAATAAAGGTGATTAGCCCTTCTCAATGCTCCAGACTGCTCCGGGAAAACCGGATTATGTGTGGTAGTAATTCTTCCTGTGCCCGCTGAAGCAGGGCAGGAAATATTCCTTACCTGGAGACTTCGATTTCTGCTGCATATATGTTTGGCAACTGCTACTAACAACATGACCTAACTCCACCTTTTATGATCACATTTAACGCATTTCGTCTGCGCGTCTAGTTTTAACATTTTGCAAGTGAGACGAAGACTCGCCCAAGGTCTAATGCTGTAGCAGTTACAGGGGCGTAATTGATAAACAGACAAAACTGCAAGGTTATGATTTTATGCCTTATAGAACAGTTATAAAAACACAAAAACAACCTTTCTTTTATGGATCTTATATGGACTCCACAGAGCTAAGTGTACTGTGAATATCTGTGATGGAACTAGCCCTATGTTTCTTTTCTGTATTGTTCTCTCTGTGCTCTGGTAATAAACCCTTTTCTTCTAACTGAAACTGTTCTATTTCAATGAACTTATTCAGATTTTTTCATTCCCCTCGATATGACCTCAGTCTAAGTCTAGCTCTTAAGTTGGAAAATAAAAATTCCGAAATACCAGGCAATTTTCAACTTTATATCGAAAACTAGTCATAGGATCGAGTTAATCCCAGTGACATTTAATTACTAGATTGAGTACAACATACCAAAGTTTCAGAAAATTTGACTGGAAAGGGTCCTTTGAATAAAAATTTATCCAGATTTACCGAGTTCAACATAAAATTTACAGAAATAAACAAAACAATTGCATCATTTATTTTAAAATGTGGGCATAAAATTTAAATATTTTGAATGGTGGATATTAATTAATTTTTTTTATTAATTTGAGTTAAACCTTTGAAATTTAAAAACTTAAAAGTTTAACTGAGAGTGGAAGTGATGGGAACCAGACCATTCTACAGTCTTCAACAATATCCGTGTACCACATGACTAATGTCAAATTAATAATTTCAACAATGTCTCCTTTTTTTTTAATTTATTGCCTCCTTGAACCTCTTTTATTGGGGTTGACTGTTGAAATAAATAACAGTTCCTCCAATTCTATTTATTACTTCGATTTTTCTCCAAAGCTATGGAGTTTAGAGAGACAATCTTATATGGTTGTTTGATTAAAAAGTGTCCACCCAAAAACAGTAAATAACGTTTCAGAATTGCGCTCTTGTACAAGCAGGGAAAGATCCAATGATATATAGTTATATAGATTGCCCATCCATATATAAATCAGACTACAAGAACCAAGTTTCTAAACAGATATTGTTCTCCTTTATTCTGCACTTGAAACAACAATTGCGTCAATCCAGTTGTCAATTGTCACATCTAGTCAGAAAAACCATTAAACTGGGGGCTGTTTTCAAACTCCTCAATATTTTCATGAGAAATATCATGTCAACGTGAAAACAGTTTTTTTAAAGCCATTGAGAACTCGCTGACTGTTTATTTAGAGAGAATTATAATTCTCCTAAGCATTTTAATACTCATTCATTTCATTTAAAATCTTTATTCACATTTTAAAAATTTATGTACAATATGTTAACATAAAACATCACAAAAAACACAAACTGTACACAGTACAGTTGTGGCCCGAATGAGATCCATTGAGGCCTAAGGCGGTTTCTCCGCCTGTAATATGTTCCATATTTTTCTATTTTGATTATGCTAAATATAGCCGCCCTCACTCCTTACCCTATGGGGTATTATTGATAGATTATGGTGGTTTTGGATCAGGAATTGTAAGTTATAGGAGGTTTGTTGTGTGTTAGTTTCATATTGTCCCCTGAAAAAGCTAGGAAAAAACAGGGTTGTCATTTGTGAAGTGTGTACGGTGTGAAGTCTACGGTTTTTTTGTCTTAATTCACAGGGAGGGTGGGCTATAAACCACCCGGAAACGCCGCCGTCGAGTAACGAAAGTGTCTCTCTCGGCCGCGGCAATGCCGGTCAGTCGATAGCTCAGTCTTCCGTCGGACTAGAATTCGTAAATATCCAGTTCGTGTGAATTATTGTTTAGTATTGTAGGATTTGTCATGGTTCATGTTGCTGACTTCAAAAATACTGTTTTCAAGTTGACGTATGACATTTCTCATGAAAATCTTGTCGAGTTTGAAAGCTTGATGTTCTATCCGTAATGCCACTGACATATTTGACAGAACTGACAACTGAGGGTTGTTATAAGTCACTAAAAAATGACATTTATTAGATCACGGTTATTGTTGAAGACTTTGTTGTATATTTATAATTACCTAGTACATATTTGTGTAAAAATATATATATAGAAATATTTTGTTGCTTCTCGTATTTTAAATTATTCATCATCAATGTCATCACTTTGGTGGAGTGAAATTATCAGTTTTATTTGATTTAATAGTTATTAAATCGATATACCAGTAATTCTTATATCAAATCGACGTAAAACTGATTATAATTCCATTAGATTGCGTCACCATATTTTTGTACTGTGAATTTTCATTTTTTATACGAAATTAAGATGTAAGATTTTTTATAAATAAATTAAACGTTTATAAATCGAATATGGTTTTTTATTTATGAAAATAACCGAATGTGATGAATGAAATAATAATGTATGTCTCCGATTCTCATACATTTTTGAATTTGTAATATGATACAACATGCTAATAATGAATCTGTTATTCAATCGCCATTTTAAAGTCGATGACATAGATTACTAATGTGAATAGATGGGAAACTACATAGCTAAAATCAACCGTTTGGTCTGAAAAAACTATTTGAATCAAACAAGTAATTATTAACTTATAAGAAAAGAAAACTCTAAAGTCATTCACCACAGAATTTCATAATAAACAAATATATATTTTCAAAAAAAAACATTTTATGAAATGTCTTTAAAAAATATTTATTTTACTGTACTATTACACAATAAATTAATAATAGATCTAAAATATTTAAATGTGTTTTTTAAATATTATATCAAACGATTTTAAACTTATTATTACCATAAATAGTAAATTTTACTGTACTATTATCAATTTAATTCGTAATAGTCACGGAAATTTTTTGAAAAATTAAATTTATTTCACATTAAGTTGTTTAGGAATATAATTAATAATATTAATTTAAAATTCTGTGGTAAATGACTTAGTTTTCTTTCCTTATAAAAGATTGCCACATTAGTGAAAATTAATGATTTAATTTACTTATTAACTTACTTTAATGAAGGGGCCCACATTTTTAGGGGTCTTATTCACATATTGCTGGTAAAGGTCAAGAAATAAACCTATTTTAGATAAAAAGAAAGAATAATTATTACAAATTTAATATATTTTTTATTTGTTGTGGAAATTATATAAAAAAGTTTAATCAATGTCAAATTTTACATCTTATATACAATCATCGATAAATTTCCGTAATATCTAATGATAAAATAAACTTAAAAATCACTTATTATCAATATGCATTATAGTCCTAATATGCTCTTCGAGCATGTTGGCTAAATTCTGTCTTTTAAACCGTAACGATTCTTTGATTATCAATTTCAGCACTTTAACTTGCATGTCGATGTCGCCTTTCAAAGTTTTTATGTTCTCGAACAATTCTGTAAAGTTTTTGCCCGGTTTCCGCACCAGTTTGTTCAGGTTTTTTCGGATTTCGTAGTTTTGATTTTCGATTTCTTTTTCGTCTTCTTTTTCCTCCTCCACTTCCATCTGAAACACCAATAATTATATTCCTAAACAACTTAATTTGAAAGCAAATCAAAGAAAATTATAAAAAATGATCTGCAATACATATGTGGAATAAGTTAAATTTTTCAAATATTTTCCGTGACTATTACAAATTTAATTGATAATAGTACAGTCAAATTTTCAATTTTTAGTAAATAAACCAAAAATAAGTTTTAGAAACTGTTTGATATACTATTTAAAAAACATTAGAATTTTTCTGGTCTATTATTAATTTATTGTGTAATAGTACCGTGAAAATATATTTTTTTTGCAATTTTTCAAATTTTCGTTTTTTTTTTAATATATATTATTTATCATAAAATACTTTACAAATTTAACTTTAAACGTTTTTTATGTATTAATACTTCAACTGCATTTCCTACCTCTTTTTTCCATGACTATTACGAATTTAATTGGTAATAGTACAGTCAAATTATCATTTTTTTGGGAAAATAATAAGTTCGAAACTATTAGGTATATCTTTAAAAACATTAGAATGAAAACTGTTTTCTAATCAAAATACTAACCTTAACGACTTTGATTTCATGCACCAAACTATTCGAAGAAAAACTATTATGATTCAAATTAGCCTCTTTGAGAATCTGCGATATCTGCTTATCATCGGTAGCCGAAATACTCGAATAAAAGTCACCCAAAGCATTGGTCGTGGTAGTATCCAAAGCGCTCGCGGTGGTGTAGTTCAAACTATTCAAACTCGCGCGGAAATTGAAATTGTACTCGCTAACGCTGTAGCTCGGCTGCTCCTGCAGGTGCAAGTTCGTCGGCGATGGCGATCTGGATCGTTCGCTGATCGGACTCGCGGACGGACTCGATTCCAAGCCGTTGATGAGGGATGGAAGATCGTCGAAACGAGGGATATCTTTTTCGATGGCGTTCAACCTATGAAGATTGAATCGTTAGTAAAAGCTTTATTTACGCGACAGGAAGTAAGTAAGTAAAGTAAGGAATACATGAATGAAGGAAGTAATTAAATATGTAAGTAAATAACTAAGTAAGTAAAGTAAGGAATAAAGGAAGTAATTAAGTAACTAAGTAAGTGAAGAAAGGAAGGAATGAAGGAAGAAAGGTAAGTAAGTAGGTAAATAAGTAAAGTAAGGAATGCATGAAAGAAGGAATTAAATATGTAAGTTGGTAAGTAAGTAACTAAGTAAAGTAAGGAGTGAAGGAAGGAAGTAACTAAGTAAAGTAAGGAGTGAAGGAAGTAATTAAGTAACTAAGTAGTGAAGGAAGGCAGTAACTAAGTAAAGTAAGGAATGCATGAATGAAGGAAGTAATTAAATATGTAAGTCAGTAACTAAGTAAGTAAAGTAAGGAATGAAGGAAGTAATTAAGTAAGTAACTAAGTAAGTGAAGGAAGGAAAGAAGAAAAGAAGGAAGGAAACAAGGAAGGGAGTAAGTAAGTAAAGTAAGGAATACATGAATGAAGGAAGTAATTAAATATGTAAGTAAATAACTAAGTAAAGTAAGGAATAAAGGAAGGAAGTAATTAAGTAACTAAATAAGTGAAGAAAGGAAGGAATGAAGGAAGAAATGTAAGTAAGTAGGTAACTAAGTAAAGTAAGGAATGCATGAAAGAAGGAATTAAATATGTAAGTTGGTAAGTAAGTAACTAAGTAAAGTAAGGAGTGAAGGAAGGAAGGAAGGAAGTAACTAAGTAAAGAAAGGAGTGAAGGAAGTAATTAAGTAACTAAGTAGTGAAGGAAGGCAGTAACTAAGTAAAGTAAGGAATGCATGAATGAAGGAAGTAATTAAATATGTAAGTCAGTAAGTAAAGTAAGGAATGAAGGAAGTAATTAAGTAAGTAACTAAGTAAGTGAAGGAAGGAAAGAAGAAAAGAAGGAAGGAAACAAGTAAGTAAAGTAAGGAATACATGAATGAAGGAAGTAATTAAATATGTAAGTAAATAACTAAGTAAAGTAAGGAATAAAGGAAGGAAGTAATTAAGTAACTAAGTAACTGAAGAAAGGAAGGAATGAAGGAAGAAATGTAAGTAAGTAGGTAACTAAGTAAAGTAAGGAATGCATGAAAGAAGGAATTAAATATGTAAGTTGGTAATTAAGTAACTAAGTAAAGTAAGGAGTGAAGGAAGGAAGTAACTAAGTAAAGTAATGAGTGAAGGAAGTAATTAAGTAAGTAAGTGAAGGAAGTAACTAAGTAAAGTAAGGAATGCATGAATGAAGGAAGTAATTAAATATGTAATAAGTCAGTAAGTAAGTAAGTAAAGTAAGGAATGAAGGAAGTAATTAAGTAAGTAACTAAGTAAGTGAAGGAAGGAAAGAAGTAAGTAAATAAGTAAGTAAAGTAAGGAATGCATGAAGGAAGGAATTAAATATGTAAGTAAGTAACTAAGTAAGTAAAATAAGGAATGAAGTAATTACGTAAGTAACTAAGTGAAGGAAGTAAGTAACTAAAGTAAGGAATGTATGAAGACAGGAAGTAAATAAATATGTAAGTTAGTAAGTAAGAAAGGAAGGAAGTAATTAAGTAACTAACTAAGTGAAGGAAGGAATGAAGGAAGGAATGAAGGAAGAAATGAAGGAAGGAATGCAGGAAGGAATAAAGGAAGGAAGGAATGAAGGGAGGAATGATTTTATTATTACTGTTTTAGGACAGTTACTTGTATCATTATTTTTCAATAAATTTACAGTTTAAAACATTTAATTATCTATAAGAAATTTTCTAATTTTACAATGAGAATGTAATGTTTTCATTAAACTATATAAATAGAAATAAAATCGTATTTTCTTCATAGACCAAAATAGGAAAAATAAAATTTCTTTCATTTATGGTTCAATTTAACTTAAAATTTAAAAATAACTCACCAAGGAACTGGCGAGGGAACCGGAGACTCTTGCGGACTCGGAGGCAGCGACGAATCAGTACTGGGTCTAGAAAATCTAAAATTCTTCGGCAACGGACCGGGTTTTCTTTTCGACGGCAACCTTGTCATGATATCTATAGTTATCGAAGGAATTGGCCTTTTATTATTTCTACTAGTACCAGTCGGCGATCCAACCAAATCAATATCAGCCTCATCGACCTAATTAAAACAATTTAAAATAAATCGTTCAATATTTTAAAGAAACTAATTTTTTTTACCATCATTCGTTTATCGATCTTGAACGGATTACCGAACATGTGTTGTCTAACCGGGGCTGATTCGATTTCTCGCAATTGTGGAGTTTGTTTCTTTAAATATTCTTGGTAGTTGCCCATTTGGGATATCGGCAACGAATGGGCGCTGTCTTGATCTAACGATACCCAATCGGATTGTAAGAAATTGTTTCTCATACGCACAACCTATGTAAAAACAATTATTATTGATGGATAAGGAATACGGAATGAATTAACATACATGATGTTATTGAAATATATGTAGATATTAAAGTAGACCCTCCTAGAAATTGATAACCTACAGCTGTAAAGACTGGATCACCAAAGGTCATTGAATAATGATTATAAGTTCTCACCTGTTGTACCAGTCGGTTCCTCGGTATATCAAACGGATTCTTGAAACTGACAGTTTGTCGTTCTTTGTCCAAAGTACAAGTCCAAGGATTGCCCTGTTCAATGACTTGATCTCTTTGCGAGGTAAATCTATCTAGCAACAAAGGATGACTGACGAGTTCCTTCTTTAAGGTCACTTTAGGCAAAACCCTGATTTGTTCTGGACTGTTGAAGTTCGTTTTTAAACCGTTCATCTAGAAATATATACATATAAAAAAATGTTATTTTATTCATGTATTAATAAATTAACGTTCTTCTTACATTTGCTTGTCGTTGAATGATTTCATTACACATTTTATCGTATTCCACTTTAGCTTGATTTTTTAAGCGTTTTAGATAGTTAGAAACGGTGTAACTCAAACCGTTTTCGGAATTTTCTGGTATTAAGGTTTGCGCCAAGGCCACAGGTGTACCTGAAATATATTTGGAAAATAGTAGATGGGAAATAAGCCGTGTTTAAATAAATAGCCAAAATAAATCGTATTTTATATTTCTTTCCTTATTCACGACTTGGGTACAACCCTGTAGATTTTTTTAACGTTTGGTACACTTTTCATATACACAAAATGACAATTTAAAATTTTACAATGCATATATCTCATGAATTACAGATTATATCAGAAAAAGCTTAAAAACATTGCATTTTCACTGTACTATTATTACACAATGAATTATTAATAGCCCAGGAAAATTATAATAGTTTTTAGGACTAACCAGTTTCAAACTAATTATTTATCAAAAATTTTAACTTTTGTTGTACTATTATTAATTAAATTTGTAATAGTCATGGAAGATTTATGATTTTTTATGTTCAAGGTGAAATACCGCTTGACACAGCTTAGCTACATTTTCAAAACGACGTAAGCTATTTCTTTATAATTTTAATGCTTCTATTTTTATAACAGATATATTTACAACTTTTTTAAAATTCAGTTAAAAAAAAAATCAACGTTTCTCCCCCCTAGATTCGTTATTACTGAGTATTTCTTGAAAATTTTTCATAAATCGGATTAAAAATAAAGATAGAAGAGATATTTAAAATGTTTGAAAGTTTTTTGTCACCCTGTATGGTATTTAACGAAAAAATAACGACAAACTCACCCATTCTTGTAAGCGCTCTACGTAAAGGACCAGCATAATATGCGGGTAAAGTTCTTGTATAATTTTGAAATTGCGTTCTCCATTCATTTGTGGGCTTCCACCTGTGTATCTAAAACGAAAAAAAAAAAAAACATTGTACGTATTTTCTTCATTACATTTTTTTTGCCCAACTAGTGGAAAAGTAAATTTCAAAAAGCTCGCCCCCTAATGGTCATATTGATAGTACGACTCCAATTTGACAGATGGCAGCACATCGCCTCGGAATTTTATAATTTAATTTCCCATCTATTCAAACTAATCTATGCTTCAATCTAACAATATCTGCAGTTTCTTAATGAGTTATGAGTTTATCTTTAGGTTAAAGTGGTATTTGTACCTAACTTATGGTAGAAAAAAAATATGTTTCTATGTCTAGGAACGGAGATATTTGATTCCTATTAAATAATCGGAAAATTCCCTTTGGGGTTGATTGACGCCCTATTTGACCTGTCATTAAGAATTTATTTCCAAAAATAAACGAAAATTTTAAGAAACGTCACAAAAAATTGAAATTTGACTGTATTATTACCAATTAAATTTGTAATAGTCAAGGAAAATTTTTGAATTTTTTAACATGTATTAAAAATAAGTAGAAACAGTTAAATTTTAAATTTATAGAGTATTTTATAATAAATAAGATTGTTGAAGTATTTGTAAAAAACCAAATTTAAAAAATCTGTCAACTGAATTCAATAAATATTAATTTCACAGAAAAAAGTGTATTTTTTATAATAAATAAAGACCGGACAATTTAATTTATTCTTATCAGCGAAGTAACGGTAAGAGCGGACCTTCGATTTGAATAATACATTCTGAATAAAACAAGTTATTTACTGAACTGGTCGACACAGTAGATAAGATATTGGATTTTTATCGCCCGGGCGTAACATTTGGGGCGGGCTTATTATTACATTTACATTGCAATAATTATTTTATTAAATTTTAGTTCAAATTTGGTTGGATATTATTATATAATTACAAATGATATTATTATTTATTTTTTTATTGTGTTGTGGGATAATGTTGTTGGCTTTTTCTGTTAATATATTATTGACTAATAAATATATCAACGAGGATACACCATCATTAGTTTTATGTTTAGAGTGTTCCAATATATACTCTTTATCCTAAAGTAGCAAATATACAATTATATACAATATATACAATACAAATTAATATCAATCTTCTTCATTTGAAAAATATGTTTGTATGACTGCATATTTTTCTAAATTGTCTTCAGTGAAATTACTTCTTTTAGAAGTCAATAAATCTTTAAACCTAGAAAACGATCGTTCTACGTCACAACTCGTTACAGGAGCAAATGAAAAATGTGGAACAAAATCACAATATTTTAAAGCAGTTTCATAATCGTTAAAATTGTTCAGGGAGATTTGTTTCAGAGTCTGTAAATTTGGATTTCTTTTAATAACACAATCTATTTTATGGTTAAATTTATCTTGTAAGGGCCACTTTACGTTTTTTAAGTGTAACAATGTCGATTCAAATTTTTCCATAGCAACCGATAATTGTAAGTTACGGGTTTCAAGGAATTTTATAGTTTCTGGGAGACACGAAAAATAAGTCGCAAGAAAATTTAACTCCGACTGCAAAGTTGTTTTTGTTATTAAACCTTTACACTGAGTGATAGAGAGAGCGTCCTCTGATAAGTTGGAAATAAATACTTTTAGTCTGTCGAAATGCTCCGAAAAAAAGAACACAGCCTGTAACCAAGTTCCCCATCGTGTAATAACTGGTTGTGGAGGTAGGGGGATATTCGGACATATTTCTTTATATAAAGAAACTCGGGACGGTGCTTTTAACAAAATTTTTTTAAAACAGCTAATCAACGAATTAATGTCTGGAAAGCTGTCACGGATAAACTCACAAACTCGGTGTAACGCGTGAGCAAGGCAAGTTACATGCAGCATGTTTGGAAAATGTTCTTGTAATAGTTTCCCTGTTTTCAACATTACACTTGCCGCGTCTGAAATAAACAATAAAACTTTTGAAACGTCATTATCAATTACATTGTTCAATCCACGTTTCACTATTTCATAAATCATTTCAGCGTTCACAGTTTCACGAAACACACTAGAAACTAAATACTGTTGTGAAGTATTTTCAGCACTTAATAATCCTACAACAACATTAACAACACATCTACCCTTTATGTCAGTCGTTTCATCTGCACTAACCCAAATATATTTGCTGGAAATTTTCGTTTTTATTGCCGTCATTGCTTTATCGTACTGATTTTGAATATAATGTTTTCTAATTGTGGATTCATCCGGTATTTTACGTTTAGTATATTTACAAAGAAAATTTTTGAAAATTGTATTATTTAATTTTGTTAATGGAATATTTGCAGAAACAAATGCGTTGCATAAATCTTCATAAAAGATTTTGTCTGGACATCCCTCTAAAGATTGCATGTGTTTTTGTGTTTTCACATGTTGTGTCATACTTGACTTTCCATTAAAAACTAACACCTGATCACAATTGCGGCAGTATAATTTGTTGTCATTAAAACGACGAAAACAATCAAAGTCCGATAATAAATTTTCCATATTTACGTTTCCAGTTTCTATCACTTTTCCCTTTGAACTAAACAAATATACTCATTGGAAAAATCTAGTGATATTTTTACAAGACACTTTCTTCTCAAATCTCCTGTTTATCGACTCTTTGTTATCTTTTTACATTTTTTCAACCAACAGATACCTATATAGAGTGAGCAATTGAATTAATACATACATTACAGAAATTTAACAGACATTTATTTTATTGTCTCATCGTGTATAAGTACCATAATATCCACAGGAAATAAAAACATAAATGTTTTGTTACAAAAAATCGGTATGTACGGTATCGATAAAAGCCAAAATATTCATAAATATAATATAAGGATTGACTTTATTTGAATAAAAATATCACCGGCAACTAACCGACAATGGATCGAGAAAGTATAAGACAACATATGATGGGCCTATTTGACATTCATTTTAGGCCCTCTCTACAGCGTCTTAGTCCAAACGCTCGTAGAGTCCTAATATTTGGCCCCGATGCAATTTCTCCAACAATGAATCGGGACCAGCTAAGGCTAGAAATTTCCAATTTTCTGGAGGAAATAACAAATTCGGGGGAGGCAGCTGGGGTCCTCGATCCTCATTTTAGGCAGGAGAGTAGTGTACCACGCCAAAATATTGAGGAATAGATATTTTGTAATTATATAAGAGATAATAATAAAAAAAATATCATACAGAATATCGTTTACATTACTACACCTTAAACTCGCTTATGAAAAGTTTAACATCTTCATCAAAAAAGTTATTTTTTTTTAAGGAAAATTTCTCAGGCCACAAATTAAAGGATCTGAGGTTACTAAAAACTTTTGTAAAATATCCTACATATCCTCGGCGTTGGTGAGAAGAAAACATTAAATTTGTTTAATGAAAATGATTCAAAAGACAAAGAATATAGGTACACGATAAAAAAAAATCTCACTTTTTTGTATTAGTTTTAATGTCTATGTATATATCAGTACACTTTTTTTATCTTGTTTTAATAAAAAAAAGAGGTTTGTCCTGATAGTATTAGAATCTGCCGCACTGTCTGCCGTCTTAAATAGCGAACCCAGAATGAGACGCCTATGTGATTAAAACCAATTATTTGAACGCGATTAAAATGTCCGGTCTTTAATAATAAAACATGTCATTAAGAATATATTTCCAAAAATAAACGAAAAATTTTAAGAAATGTCGCAAAAAATATACTTTTACTGTGCTGTTACACAATAAATTAATAATAGCCCAGTAAAATTTGAATATTTTTTAAGATATAACATATAGTTTCAAATTTATTATTTTCAGTTTACATACCAAAACCTCTTAGTTATAAGCTTCTTAAGTTAACTTAGGTAATGTTTTTTGATAATGTACTTTAATAATGGTTGTTTTTTATTATGTTCATTAGTAATGTTTTTTGGTAATGTTCTTTGATAATGTACTTTAATAAAGTTTTATTTTATAATGTTCATTGATAATATTCATTAGTAATGTTCTTAGATAATGTTCTTTGATAATATTCTCTGATCTTTTTTATAATATTCTTTGAAAATGTCCTTTGATCTTTAATCATGTTTTTTGATCATTTTATTGATAATTTTCTTTGATATTATTTGATAATATTCTCTGATGTTTTTTAAATGCTAATGTTCTTTGAAAATATTCTTTGAAAATGTCCTTTGATAATGTTTTTTTTTTTTAATATTTGACAATGTTCTTTAATAATGTTATTTTTGATCATTTTATTGATAATTTTCTTTGATATTATTTGAAATATTCTCTGATAATGTGTTTTAATTCTTTGATAATGTTTTTTTAAAAATATTATTTGACAATGTTCTTTAATAATGTTTTTTGATCATTTTATTGATAATGTTCTTTGATATTGTTTGATAATATTCTCTGACGTTTTTTAATGCTTTTTGAAAATGTCCTTTGATAATGTTTTTTTAAAAATATTATTTTAAAATGTTCTTTAATGTTTTTTGATCATTTAATTGATAATGTTCTTTGATATTATTTGATAATATTCTCTGATAATGTTTTTTTGATAATGGTCTTTGAAAATATTCTTTGAAAATGTCCTTTGATAATGTTTTTTTTTTTAATATTATTTGACAATGTTCTTTAATAATGTTTTTTGATCATTTTATTGATATTGTTCTTTGATATTATTTGATAATATTCTCTGATAATGTTTTTTGATAATGTTTTTGATCATTTTATTGAAAATGTTCTTTGATATTATTTGATAATATTCTCTGATGTTTTTTAAATGCTAATGTTCTTTGAAAATATTCTTTGAAAATGTCCTTTGATAATGTTTTTTTTTTTAATATTTGACAATGTTCTTTAATAATGTTTTTTTGATCATTTTATTGATAATGTTCTTTGATATTATTTGATAATATTATCTGATAATGTTTTTTAATGTTTTTTTGATAATGTTCTTTGAATATATTCTTTGATAATGTTTTTTTTTTTAATATTATTTGACAATGTTCTTTAATAATGTTTTTTTGTCATTTTATTGATAATGTTCTTTGATATTGTTTGATAATATTCTTTGAAACTGTCCTTTAATAATGTTTTTTAAAAAAATATGATTTGACAATGTTCTTTAACAATGTTTTTGATCATTTTATTGATAATGTTCTTTGATATTATTTGATAATATTATCTGATTAATGTTTTTTAATGTTTTTCTGATAATGTTCTTTGAAAATGTTCTTTGATAATGTTTTTTTAAAAATATTATTTGACAATGTTCTTTAATAATGTTTTTTGATAATTTTATTAATAATGTTCTTTGATATTATTTGATAATATTATCTGATTAATGTTTTTTAATGTTTTTCTGATAATGTTTTTGATCATTTTATTGAAAATGTTCTTTGATATTATTTGATAATATTCTCTGATAGTTTTTTTGATAATGTTATTTGAATATATTCTTTGAAAATGTTCTTTGATAATGTTTTTTTTTAATATTATTTGACAATATTCTTTAATAATGTTTTTGATCATTTTATTGATAATGTTCTTTGATATTATTTGATAATATTATCTGATTAATGTTTTTTAATGTTTTTCTGATAATGTTCTTTAAAAATGTTCTTTGATAATGTTTTTTTAAAAATATTATTTGACAATGTTCTTTAATGTTTTTTGATCATTTAATTGATAATGTTCTTTGATATTATTTGATAATATTCTCTGATAATGTTTTTTTGATAATGGTCTTTGAAAATATTCTTTGAAAATGTCCTTTGATAATGTTTTTTTTTTAATATTATTTGACAATGTTCTTTAATAATGTTTTTTGGTCATTTTATTGATATTGTTCTTTGATATTATTTGATAATATTCTCTGATAATGTTTTTTGATAATGTTTTTGATCATTTTATTGAAAATGTTCTTTGATATTATTTGATAATATTCTCTGATAGTTTTTTTGATAATGTTATTTGAATATATTCTTTGAAAATGTTCTTTGATAATGTTTTTTTTTTAATATTATTTGACAATATTCTTTAATAATGTTTCTTGATCATTTTATTGATAATGTTCTTTGATATTATTTGATAATATCTGATAATGTTTTTTAATGTTTTTTTGATAATGTTCTTTGAATATATTCTTTGATAATGTTTTTTTTTTAATATTATTTGACAATGTTCTTTAATAATGTTTTTTGGTCATTTTATTGATAATGTTCTTTGATATTGTTTGATAATATTCTCTGACGTTTTTTTAATGCGTTTTGATGTTTTTTAAAAATATTATTTTAAAATGTTCTTTAATGTTATTTGATCATTTTATTGATAATGTTCTTTGATATTGTTTGATAATATTCTCTGATGTTTTTTGATAATGTTTTTGATCATTTTATTGAAAATGTTCTTTGATATTATTTGATAATATTCTCTGATGTTTTTTTGATAATGTTCTTTGAATATATTCTTTGATAATGTTTTTTTTTTTAATATTATTTGACAATGTTCTTTAATAATGTTTTTTGGTCATTTTATTGATAATGTTCTTTGATATTGTTTGATAATATTCTCTGATAATGTTCTTTGAAACTGTCCTTTAATAATGTTTTTTAAAAAATATGATTTGACAATGTTCTTTAATAATGTTTTTGATCATTTTATTGATAATGTTCTTTGATATTATTTGATAATATTATCTGATTAATGTTTTTTAATGTTTTTCTGATAATGTTCTTTGATAATGTTTTTTTAAAAATATTATTTGACAATGTTCTTTAATAATGTTTTTTGATAATTTTATTAATAATGTTCTTTGATAATAACTTTTAAATAATGTTTTTTCAAATATTCATCAATTTAAATGATTTTTTAAGTCACACTACAATAAATTAGAATATGATTGCTTTTTTTTTCTCTGTTTGTAAAGAGTATTGTAAATAAAAGGAAAATAAAGACCTTTATTATTACTATATATTAAAAAAGAAACATGGCTGGTTAGCTGAAATACAAATAAAAAAATATTTTTACTCACTTTGAATAATTCGTCCAATAACGGCAACAAAACGGGATAATTGTAAGGCATCACAAACAGATTGACGCAAGTTATATTCGTGCTGGCTTTCAAATACCCAAACGGATGTCCCACTTCTGAATTTTTGTAACTATTAGCAACAAACACCTAAAAAATAAAAAACAATACGTCAAAAACAAATAATCCCTTCCAATTTCTTATTATTGTATTCAGTACATACTTGCCAGCAAGTTTTTGGTTGTTTTCTAGACAAAATGTATTGTGTTAGAGGCGACGGTTCCAGTTCGTATTTATCGAACGGTAGATTTTCGATAACCAGCGGTTCCGAATTGGTGCAGGCGAATTTTATGTTCGGATGGGCTGATCTAGGGGGTAGCTGCGTAACGGTGACTTCCGGCCAAAATGATTCGGGAATAGGCCAATAGCCTATAAAATAACGAAAAATAAGACATTCTCGAAGCCATGTGTCAAAAATTCGAATATTTAAAAATTCAAAAAATCAAAAAGAAACCAAACTTACGAAGTGTGGCTATAAAATAACGAAAAATAAGAAATTATCGAAGCCATGTGTCTAAAATTCGAATAATTAAAAATTATAAAAATAATAAAAAACAAACATGAGATGTGGCCTAAAATAAAGCAAAATAAATGTTTAAACCCACGGGTCAAAAATTCGAATATTTAAAAATAAAAAAAAATATACGAGATGTAACATAAAAGAAAGAAAAATAAGAAATTTAAGGAGCTGTGCGTCAAAAATTAATTATATAAATAAGAAATTAAAAAATAAAATAAAAACAAAAAAATGCGAAAAATAAAAAAACATACGAAGTGTGGCTATAAAATAACGAAAAATAAGAAATTGTCGAAGCCAATTAAAAAAAAATAAAGAAAAAAATTAAAAAAACATAAGAGGTGTGGTTATAAAATAAAGAAAAATAAATTCTTAATTAAAAAAATTAATAAATAATGTAAAACAAATTATTAAAAACTTAAAAAGTTTCAAAAACTAAAAAATTGTAAAGATTGTAAAGATTATAAAGATTGTAAATATTGTGAAGATTGTAAAGATTGCAAAGATTGTAAAAAGTGTAAAGATTGTATGTAGAGAAAGATTGTAAAGAAAGATTGTATAGAAAGATTTTAGAGATTGTAAAGATTGAAATAATTGTAAATATTGAAATAATTGAAAAAATTGTAAAGAAAGATTGTAAAAAAGATTGTAAAAAAGATTGTACACAATAATTAATTGTAATGAAAGATTGTAAAAAAAAATATTGTAAAAAAAAATATTGTAAAAAAGATTGTAAAGACTGTAAATACTGTAAAGATTGTAAGGATTATAAAGAAAGATTGCATGGATTATAAAAAAATATTGTAAGAATTGTAAAGAAAGACTACACAAAAGGAATATAAAGAAAGACTGTAAAGAAATATTGTTAAGAAAGATTATAAGGAAAGATTGTAAAGAAAGACATTAAAGAAAGACATTAAAGAAATATTGTAAAGAAAGATTGCATACAAAAATTGTATACAAAAATTGTAAAGAAAGATTTTAAAGATTGTAAAAATTGAAAAAATGGTAGCTTTAGTTACCAACAATTGAAAAAATTGTAAATATTGAAATAATTGTAAAGATTGTAAAGAAAGATTGTAAAAACGATTGTAAAGGAATATTGTAAAGTAAAATTGTAATGTAAGATTGTAAAGAAAAAATGTAAAGAAATATTGTAAAAAAGAGATTGTACAGATTATAAGGATAACAAAGAAAGATTGTAAGGATTGTAAAAAAAGATTGTAAGGATTGTAAAAAAAGATTGTAAGGATTGTAAAAAAAGATTGTAAGGATTGTAAAAAAAGATTGTAAGGATTGTAAAAAAGATTGTAAGGATTGTAAAAAAAGATTGTAAGGATTGTAAAGAAAGACTACAGAAAGATTATAAAGACCGATTGTAAAGAAATATTTTTTTAAGAAAGATTATAAGGAAAGATTGTAAAGTAACATTGTAAAGTAAAATTGTAAAGTAAAATTGTAAAGTAAGATTGTAAAGAAAGATTGTAAAGAATAATAGTAAAGAAAGATTGTAAAGTAAGATTGTAAAGAAAGAATATAAAGAAATATTGTAAAGAAAGATCGTAAAGAAATATTGTAAAAGATTGTAAAGAAAGATTGTAAAAAAAGATTGTAAAAAAGATTGTAAAGTAAGATTGTAAAGTAAGATTGTAAACTAAGATTGTAAAGTAATATTGTAAAGTAAAATTGTAAAGTAAGATTGTAAAGAAAGATTGTAAAGAATAATTGTAAAGCAAAATTTTAAAAGAGAAAGAGTGTAAAGAAAAAATGTAAAGAAATATTGTAAAAAGGAGATTGTACAGATTATAAAGAAAGATTGCAAGGATTGTAAAAAAGAGTGTAAGGATTGTAAAGAAAGACTACAGAAAGATTATAAAGACTGATTGTAAAGAAATATTTTTTAAGAAAGATTGTAAGGAAAGATTGTAAAGAAAGACTGTAAAGAAATATTGTAAAGAAAGATTGTAAAGTAAGATTGTAAAGTAAAATTGTAAAGTAAGATTGTAAAGTAAGATTGTAAAGAAAGATTGTAAAGAATAATAGTAAAGAAAGATTGTAAAGAATAATAGTAAAGAAAGATTGTAAAAAAGAGATTGTAAAGATTATAAAAAAAGATTGCAAGGATTGTAAAAAAAGATTGTAAGGATTGAAAGAAAGACTACAGAAAGATTATAAAGACCGATTGTAAAGAAATATTTTTTAAGAAAGATTATAAGGAAAGATTGTAAGGAAAGTTTGTAAAGAAAGACTGTAAAGAAATATTGTAAAGAAAGATTGTAAACAAAAATTGTAAAGATTTAAATAAATGTAAAGATTGTAAAGAAAGATTGTAAAGAAATATTGTAAAGAAAGATTGTAAAGTAAGATTGTAAAGTAAAATTGTAAAGTAAGATTGTAAAGTAAGATTGTAAAGAAAGATTGTAAAGAATAATAGTAAAGAAAGATTGTAAAGAATAATAGTAAAGAAAGATTGTAAAAAAGAGATTGTAAAGATTATAAAAAAAGATTGCAAGGATTGTAAAAAAAGATTGTAAGGATTGAAAGAAAGACTACAGAAAGATTATAAAGACCGATTGTAAAGAAATATTTTTTAAGAAAGATTATAAGGAAAGATTGTAAGGAAAGTTTGTAAAGAAAGACTGTAAAGAAATATTGTAAAGAAAGATTGTAAACAAAAATTGTAAAGATTTAAATAAATGTAAAGATTGTAAAGAAAGATTGTAAAGTAAAATTGTAAAGTAAGATTGTAAAGTAAGATTGTAAAGAAAGATTGTAAAGAATAATAGTAAAGAAAGATTGTAAAGTAAGATTGTAAAGAAAGAATATAAAGAAAGATTGTAAAGAAATATTGTAAAGAAAGATCGTAAAGAAATATTGTAAAAAAAGATTGTAAAGTAAGATTGTAAAGTAAGATTGTAAAGTAAGATTGTAAAGTAAGATTGTAAACTAAGATTGTAAAGTAATATTGTAAAGTAAGATTGTAAAGAAAGATTGTAAAGAATAATTGTAAAGAAAAATTGTAAAAAAGAAAGAGTGTAAAGAAAAAATGTAAAGAAACATTGTAAAAAAGAGATTGTAAAGAAAGACTACAGAAAGATTATAAAGACCGATTGTAAAGAAATATTTTTTAAGAAAGATTATAAGGAAAGTTTGTAAGGAAAGATTGTAAAGAAATACTGTAAAGAAATATTGTAAAGAAAGATTGTAAACAAAAATTGTAAAAATTTAAATAATTGTAAAGATTGCAAAGAAATATTGTAAAAAAGATTATAAAGTAAGATTGTAAAGAAAGATCATAAAGAAATACTGTAAAAAAAAGATTGTAAAGATTGTAAAGTAAGATTGTAAAGAAAGATTGTAAAGGAAGATTGTAAAGTGTAAGATTGTACAGAAAGAAGGTAAAGAAAGATTGTAAAGAAAAATTGTAAAGAAAGATTGTAAAGAAATATTATAAAAAAGAGATTGTAAAGATTATAAATACTGCAAAGATTGTAAAGAAATATTATTAAGAAAGATTGTAAAGAAATATTATTAAGAAAGATTGAAAAGAAAGCTTGTATACAAAAATTGTAAAGAACAATTTTAAAGATTGTAAAAATTGAAAAAAATGGTAGCATTACTTACCAACACAATATGCTTTGCTGGCCTTTGGGACATAAATCATTTTCCGACAGTTATGCCATGAAGTGTTAACTGGCATATTTGGATTGCGATCAATCAAATCAGGATATTCATTCTCTTTCAAACTATCATCTTTAGCGTCCTCCTTGTCATATTGAGGCGGAGGGGGATCAGGCCCGATTTTTTCAAAATTAATCACTACCCCATTTTGTACCTAATAAAAAAAATTAGGTTCATAAATATTATAATGAATCTATTAACGATTTTAAAGTTTTTTAAGATTTCTGTAAAATTTTATATACCTTTTGAACTAAACTGTCAATACATTGATTCAACATCCGATGAGAAGTTATACAATAAGATCTGCCCCCAGTAACTTCACACATGGCGTCAATGGGGCTGCCATCGCTTGGAACCAAACCAGTGTCTCTTTCAACAGCTGGAGTACCTATAATACAATTTGGTGATAATCATTTTTAGAAATTTTGAGATAAAATATTTATATATACCATTTTATACAGTATCTCTTACCTGTGAGTCTCAACACTAGTGCAAACAGTCTTTGGTCCCATCTAAATGGTTCTCTAGTCATTTCTGATCCTGGTATTGGTGAATTCATTGGCAAATTAAACTCTTCTTGTACACCATTTACTGAAAAAAAAATCCATTCATCATGAGCCAAGAAAAACATGAATAATATTTATATAAATAGCAACATGTAAATAAAAAGAATAAAATTTTATACTTCAAAACTAGATAAGACACTATTAATGTGCATAGGTATATATCTTTAAGTCATTGGCAAAAAGTATTAAATTACTATCTCCAATATTATTAATATCAAATAAGAACAATAATGGTCCTAAATGGGAACCTTGTGGAACCCTTGAGGGTACATCATATTGGATGGACAGACTACCAGCTATCCTCACCATTTGAACTCTGTTTTTTGAATAGCTTTCAAGCCAAGTCAAAAAAGCATCAGAAAGGCCAAGTTTTTTTTAAATTTAAATAGTAATAAAGTGTGATTAACATGGTCAAACGCATTACTAAAATCAACTTGGATAATAATATTTGTAATAGATATACATAACTTAAATTCAGCTTGCCTGAACTCTTTAATAATAATAATAATGATTAGTTTCGAAAACGTTATAATGCAGCAAAAAATTAATTTAGATTGTTATAATAACAATAAAAAAATTGAGTACTTACCTGTCGTTAATTTCCCACCATCTGTTATTAATACAATTACAGCAGTTTCCAAAAAGAAGGGGCACCTACCCTGCCCATATGTGTCTATTCCTGATGTCATTCTATTAATATTTAAAATATCAAAGGCCTGCTTCACTGCTACTCCCATGGTAGTTAAAGTATAAGCTTGTAAATTTTTTAACTCATTCATAAAAGTAGCTAGATTTTCCTTCCAACCTATAATTTTATTATCAATTAATTACACTGGACTGTATTAATTATATATATTTTTTAAATTACCTGCTTTAATATTATTAGGAGTTTCTTCGAAAGTTAGCAACATATATCTATCGATTCGACTGTCCATACTTCTTTGTCGAATTTTTACAAAAGTTTCTACAGCGGATTTAGCGACGTCTAAAAGAGTTGTACGACCTCCGATGTAAGTCCTAAAATGATTTATTCTTTAGTTTTAAATGTTATTTCTCGATGTATACCTCACCTTTGCAGCATGGATGCTGATGTATCGATTAAAAATACTATTATAGTCATTTCAGCAAATTATCAATTTTTTTACAAATGTACAAAAGGAAAAATTTTATTAATTTCGTATCAGCTCATTCGAAAAGAATATCACACATCCTCGCCTCGACTGCAACTGCTTTATTTTTGACAGTGACATTGATAGTTGTAACAGCAAATATTGAAAAATCATACATTTGCGTAATGAAATTTATGCGCATGATTGAGGTGGCTAACCGGAGGAATTCTTCACTTGTATACGAGGGATGATCTGAAAGAAATGTTACGCTTATTATACGAGGCCCGATTAATAAATTATAAACTATGATCCCTGACAGCTCATAGCAAGGAGCGGATAATAATGAGGTAATTTTTTGTAACCTATAGATTGTTGGTTTACTATACAGGGTGGTCCAAATTATAATCGGGAAACTTCGGCGCAGGGGCGACTCGTGACCAAAATTTTGCTGCCACTGCTTCGGCAACGTATTAACAGATAAAAATAAGTAAAATAGTTCATAAGAGGGCATCCATTAATTACGTGAGGTGTTCAAGGGGGGGAGATCAAGCTAAATCTTTCTAAATGTTATTCGGCATGTTATTCGGGTTGAAAAATCTCAGCAATGTTTAAAAAAGATGCCACATTATTTAGGCAGTAAAATTCAAAATTAATTAATAGATTTGCTTTCGTTTAAATTGAAAAACTAAATTCCAGAAAAGATTCGGTCTTCAAAATATATTTCAACTATTCTAGACTGCACACCAGATGCAAGCCACACTGAGCAAATAAGCGTTTGTTTTAAGGTAAGTGACTTTAAGTAACGAAACTAAAAAAGTTGAAATAAATTAACGTTTCATTGCCTTTTATCCAATATCCCACTAAACATGAAACATTACCAGTCTTTTCCCACTAAACATGAAACATTACCAGTCTTTTTTTGTAACGATTCTCATAGAGACTTTTCTTGATATATTTCTGAAACAATACTGAAATATCTCATAGATGTTTAAATTTTCACATTATATTTATTAATATTCCTGCCATATATCTACAAATGAAATTTTATGTACGCTAGAATAATTTAATTAGCCGTTACATAACCATCTTTTGTACTTCTTTTTGGTTACTTCCTGTGACAAACTTTTAAGCGATGTTAATTTGTATAACTCACAATAATATCGCATACAGGTCAGCACAGTAATGTGTACAAGTTACACATCTTTAAGATGGCTATCTTTAGTCTTTACATCGCAGACCTGGCAGACCTAAGAGTTCGTCCCGCGTTCATAGATGGAGATACCAATAATCGCTTGCTACTTACGTAACCGGTAGTACTGTATTATGGAGCTGTCTGTTGCCCAGTGTGTTAAATATTTCCTTTGGTATTAATTTAAACCATTGTATTATCATACTTTTTCTCTAAAATTCCTGAGATTATAATAGAAGTTTAACTTGTCTTCTAAGCTTTTCACTTCAAGTTTATTTATTTCTATTCTGTTTTATATAGAATAAATGAAATAGATAAAATATTTATAGTGAATATAAAATTTAAAAGACAAAGATAAAAATAAAAATCTGATGTGTACAACATATGACTTTCCTATCTAGTTATTATAGGCTTTTTTCCGGTTATTTTGCACCTCTATAAATGTTTAGAGGATAAACTAAATATATACATTTTCTACATACATCTACCTCAAAACATTTTTCTATAGATATTCATTGAAAACGAAAATACTGAAAAATTTAAATTTAGCACTTTTCCTACAATTTTTCCATTACGGTCCATTTTAGAAAAATCATATATAAACAAAAATTATAGAGATCGATATCGCAAACAACTTTTAGTTCAACAATTTTTATAAAAATCAGAATTTTGCACATTTTGTCAAATTTCTCGAAATTTCAGGAAATTTTGACATAAAACAAAAATTATAGATAATAGAAGTAACTTTTATTTGAACAATTTTCTTCTCCAAACATAAATAACAGATATATTTCATAAAATATAAAAACGGCCTTCCATAAAGTACCCCCCAGATGTTCCGACTTTGTCCAAAATCTAATAATTTCACATCAGGCCGAAATAAAACTTAAGTTTAAAATTTAATGTTTTTTCTTTATCCGTTTTTGAGTTTTCTTCAAAATTAAAAATTTACACATTTTCTCAAATATCTCGAATACGGTCCATTTTAGAAAAATCATGTATAGGATAAAAATTATAGAAAATTATATTACAAACAACTTTTATTTGAACAATTTTTATAAAAAATAATTTTTTTTACATTTTGTCAAATTTCTCGAATACGCACCATTATAGGAAAATTTTGTATAGAACAAAAATTATAGATAATAATATTATAAATAATTTTTATTTGAAAAATTTTCTTCTTCAAACGTAAATAACAAATATATTCCATAAAATATAAAAATGACCACCTATAAAGTACCTCCAGATGTTCCGACTCTGCCCAAAATCTAGTTAGTTTATTGAACGCTGGAATAAAGCTTAAGTTTAAAATTTGGTGTTTTTTTGTGTATCGGTTCATGAGTTATGGTGGATACAGACACACCCACACACACACAGACATCATCGCGAAAATAGTCAAAACGGATTCAGGGGCCCTCAAAACGTAAAAATCCGTCGAAAACTCGATGTAGAAAAAATCATGATTCCTATACTTTCCTAATATCTGTACAGATAGGAAAGTAAAAAGGTATGAACGTCACATTTGGTTCATTGATATGATTTTATTTTATGGGCTTTACAATAACATCTACAAGAAGTAAAAAGACTTTCTTGGATAAAACAGGAATGTCACACGTCTGGTTTGTTAAAAAGACATCATTTTTGGGAACTTCCAGTAACGTTGAATAACGTTAACGTAACAAAGTAGCGCTATATAATATCACTGCAACTTCTACATTGTTTCATGACAAAAGTAAACGTCCCTACTCTGGGCTTAGACGGTTACGAGTCCGTCCTATAAATGAAAACAAGAGTTACAATGTAACAATGTGATGTAAAGTTCTCATTAATTTAACGTTTTTATGCATAGTTTTAATTAGATTCAACTGGTGAGCGGATTGTGTCAATTTGTGCTTGATTTGTTTCAAAGTGTAAACCTAAACTTTCATAAAAACTTCCGTTTATAAATTAAAATTTGTAAACTTATAATAAATTTTCCATATAATTACGAAATAAGTTTTATTTGCATGCCTAAAATAAACATTTTGTTTCTTTTGATATATTTTACGTAGTACCAAACATCTATTTATGAATTATATGCAAAAATGTTAGGGAATTTCCTCCTCTTTTCTAAAATTTCGAATATTTATTTCATTTTAGTCATTATCAATCCGACCAGACCTCGTATAATAGTAAAATAATTTGTTAATCGACCCTCGTAATCAGAATTGGCGACTAATCTTTGCGCATGCTAGAATTTGGAATTGGTTCCTCCGCTTAGTCGTCTATAAAAATAAACAATTTTTACTAATAAAAAAAAGGTAGTTAATTTATTTTATTGTTATTTATAACTGAAATACTTTAAAATAATAAAAATTTAATTATTTAATAGCGCATAATTGAATTTCCACTCCCACCGAAGCATTGGATTGGTTAATATTAAATTTTTTAAGTTTTGATTTGACGTATACACCGTGATTTGACGTAATGGAAGTGAAAGGGGAAAGGGCTGTTTACCATTGAAAAATTACGAAATGAGAAAAATAAAGATTAGAAATGGCTGAAAATCAGATCAAGCTTATTGAAAGTACAAATAATGAATTTAACAAATACATAAGTGTCGATTAGTGTTAAGATATACATATTAGATGTAAAATAAGTTCCTTGGAGTTCGAAGGATTAGATTTTAAGTACAAGAAGATGAATAGATTAGTTGATTACTTCGTTATATGTGGATTAGATTATAGTTCTGGTTTAGAGCCAGATAAATTAGCAGGTAAGTCTTATTAGTAATTTAAATATCGTGTTTCATACAGAATTTTAGAGGACAACCTACATGCCTCTCCATTGGAACGTTCTTACAAAGGAAAAGTTTTGGCTCACTATCCGGAAAATGTACCATCAAATTCATTCGACGAATCAGCTGTTTGCATGGTAAACAATTTCTACATTTAAAAACAACGTTGAATCATTCTGTTATTAAATTTTTTAGTTCTCATTACCAGCTGGGTTAAAATTTCGCACCCAAAAGCATTCCGTTACTCAAGCGCCAAATTTTCATTCCTATTTGATTACCAGAGAGGATGGGAAAAGATGTTTTGGTTTCAGTCTTATATTTTACGAAGAAGTACAAAATAGGGATATTAGAGAGGCCATGCATACACTGCAAGTATGTCTTGATTTTTTTTTATAATGAGTTTGTTTGAAACAATTTCAAAATGTTGTTATTAAACATGTGATAGATATTTTAGTGCTATCATGATTCAATTCATATAATTTAAAATGTTATTTCAGAATGGTATAGAAATATTTGTGTTATTCAGTATTTATTGCATTAATACATTATAATGTAATGCATAATGAAGAAGATAAAAATACTCTCCATTATTTTGATCACATATAACTATCCTCTTTCATTCACATTCTATTTATCCTTGATTATTATAATATAACAATGATATATTATGATATTAATAATATATTATAGTACATGTGTAAATAAAAAACATTTAAATTGTGATTGATAACAATAAAAATAGACAAGCACTTATGATTAAAAGTAATACATTTATTTGTGGATTTAAAATTAAATGATCTTTAATCACGTTTTTAAAAACGCTTTATATATACAGGGTGGCACAAAAAAGTAAAATATAATTAAAAATAAATGATTGTTTTTATATTTGGAATCTTCTAAACTATTTTTTTAGCGTATGAAAGGTATTTCATGCATTTTTCATATTTTTTGAGCCTTTTTTTATAAATAAAGAAGATATAAAATTTTGGTAAGTGCATTTTGAGTTTACAGACAAGCAGGAAGTTTTATAAAGAATAATATTTTCTGAGAAAGTGGTAATAAAAAAGTTTACCACTTTTATGACAGACAATATACAGGGAAATTCAATAATATTGCACGAAAATTTAAGATCATATTGCAAAAGTTTTGTGTCAGCTATACAAGGTGTTCATTTTTTACTTTCCTATCTGTATACAGATATAAGGAAAGTATAGGAATCATGATTTTTTTCGACCTCCAGTTTTCGACGGATTTTTACGTTTTGAGGTCCCCTGAATCCGTTTTGACTATTTTCGCGATGATGTCTGTGTGTGTGTGTGTGTCTGTGTCCACCATAACTCATGAACCGATACATAGAAAAACACCAAATTTTAAACTTAAGCTTTGTTCCAGCGTCCAATGAACTGATTAGATTTTGGGCAGAGTCGGAACATCTGGGGGGGTACTTTATAGGTGGTCATTTTTATATTTTATGGAATATATCTGTTACTTACGTTTGGGGAAGAAAATTCTTTAAATAAAAGTTACTTCTTATATTTTTATCTATGATTTTTGTTCTATACAAAATTTTCCTAAAATGGTCCGTATTCGAGAAATTTGACAAAATGTAAAAAAATATTTTTTTATAAAAATTGTTCAAACAAAAGTTGTTTGTAATATACTTCTCTATAATTTTTATCCTATACATAATTTCTCTAAAATGGACCGTATTCGAGATATTTGAGAAAATGTGTAAATTTAGAAATTTGAAGAAAACTCAAAAACGGATAAAGAAAAAAACATTAAATTTTAAACTTTAGTTTTATTTCGGCCTGACGTGAGATGATTAGATTTTGGGCAAAGTCGGAACATCTGGGGGGGGGGGGTACTTTATAGGTGGTCATTTTTATATTTTATGGAATATATCTGTTACTTACGTTTGGGGAAGAAAATTCTTTAAATAAAAGTTACTTCTTATATTTTTATCTATAATTTTTGTTATATACAAAATTTTTCTAAAATGGTCCGTATTCGTGAAATTTGACAAAATGTAAAAAAATATTTTTTTATAAAAATTGTTTAAACAAAAGTTGTTTGTAATATAATTCTCTATAATTTTTATCCTATACATAATTTCTCTAAAATGGACCATATTCGAGATATTTGAGAAAATGTGTAAATTTCGAAATTTGAAGAAAACTCAAAAACGGATAAAGAAAAGAACATTAAATTTTAAACTTAAGTTTTATTTCGGCCTGACGTGAAATGATTAGATTTTGGACAAAGTCGGAACATCTGGGGGGTACTTTATAGGTGGTCATTTTTATATTTTATGGAATATATCTGTTATTTACGTTTGAGGAAAAACATTCTTTAAATAAAAGTTACTTCTTATATTTTTATCTATGATTTTTGTTCTATACAAAATTTTCCTGAAATGGCCCGTATTCGAGAAATTTGACAAAATGTTCAAAATTCTGATTTTTATGAAAATTGTTGAACTAAAAGTTGTTTGCAATATCGATCTCTATAATTTTTGTTTATACATGGTTTTTCTAAAATGGACCGTAATGGAAAAGTGCTAAATTTAACTTTTTCAGTATTTTCGTTTTCAATGAATATCTATAGAAAAATGTTTCAAGGTAGATGTATGTGGAAAATGTATATATCTAATTTATCCTCTAAACATTTATAGAGGTGCTGCAATAGGTTGTACAAAATAACCGGAAAAGGCTTATAATAACTAGATAGGAAAGTCATGTGTTGGACACATCTGATTTTTATTTTACACAAAAATAAACCAGTTACCATTTAGACCTTGTTTGATTAACACCGCTCGTTCTCTCTCCCAACATAAAAGATATAAAAATAGAAATTGACATGGCGCAGTCAGTAGGATCCGAACCTACGCTTCCCTGTTGATTTCTATTTTTATATCTTTTATATTGGGAGAGGGAACGAGCGGTGTTAATCAAACAAGGTCTAAATGGTAACTGGTTTATTTTTGTGTAAAATAAAAATGACTAGATGAACAGTTGACTTGACCTGTGTCAAGTGATACCAACGGTATCTGGATAGAGGTTCACATATAACCTCTGACATCTATTACAGTTGATCCAGTAATTCGCCCACAGGGAAAGTTGAGTTATTTTTTTTTAAGTTGAAGTAACTAAAAATATAATATACTACATTTTATAAAACGGTTTTGAAGTGTAAAATCATAATTGAATTTTTATACAACATTTTTATAATAGTTTCATGTTATACCGTTATACAGCTGTTATAGAAACCTCCAAATCTTGGATAAAAATGTTTTAGGCGATGTACATCACCGAATTATCAAGTGGATTAAGGGCTCGAACTCTACAGAATACTCAAAACCAAGGGCCCCAATCGAAATCGCTGCCTAGATATTTCAAATTGAGTCACAATCCAAGCGGGGCGGCACTCACTTATTATGATATTTCTAAAGATAAGCTGTACGTGTCTAAAAGTATCGGTTTGATCAGCCAATGTGGATACGTTCACGCGATGAGGGTGTTTTTAGAAAATTTGTACAGGTAAATGATACGAATATACCAGGGTTGATAAAAATTTAAATTAAAAAATATATATATATTTTTTAATATTAGAGAATTCCGAGGGGTAAACCTTAGAGGGAATTAAGTGTATAGGGGTGGGGAATTGTGAGGAATTTACAGAATTAATGGAAATTACATAAACTGACGAGGAATTGTGGGAATTGCTGTGAAATTTCCAGGGGATTACCGTAATTGCCGGTGGATTATGGGAATTGCAGAAATTGGGAGAATATTTTAAATAAATTAAGAATTAGCTGTACAAACTTTGACTCGCAGTTTACCCCTTGGAAATTTTTATAAAGTTTTTCTTTGTGACGGTCATATTGAAAATTGTTTATTACGGAGTTTACTGAAATAGTTTTATTGTAAAAAATTGTAGTTTTTATTAAACTATTTAATATTTATTTTTTGTGTAATTTGGGTAATTTACAGTATTTTTAGATTTTAATAAATCATTTCCATACGAAACAAATTAAAACTTTTATTAATTCAAGGTTTTTGGAAAAAAAAATGCATATCTCTAGATAATTTATAAAATCCCTGTTTATCAATAATTTAAATAATTTTAATTATTAAAAATATTTAAATTGATTTCAAATTTTATAAAAAAAATAATAATTCTGCATTTCAAATTAATTATTTTTTTTTAAATAAAGCATTATTTTTTATTTAAAAAAACCATGATGTTTTTAGATGTGTTCCGAAACATTCTAACTCAACAAGTGGCCTCAGTCTAGAAAGCTATGTGTTCAATCTATTATATGAAGTAAGTAAATTTTGTCATTTCACACGCAAGATGAATTAAAAATCGTTGACATCGCCTTACAATAAAAACATTGTTTGTTATTAAATAGAAATGTACATAGTTTATAAATGATATCGCTCATTTTCGAGAATACCGACACAATTCAAAAATCATCAATATTGACATTATTGTAACAACATAATTCTTTATAGAAAAACAATGACACTTTCATAGTTATAGTGGTATTCGCTTGATTACTTTCAAATTTCAACTTGTTAAATCGATTAATTAAAGTTTTTTTACTTGTGCCAGTATTCTCGAAAATAAGCGATTTTGTTATTGACCTTCAATTTTACCAGTTCGCTTTGGTAACAATCAGTTTATTATCTTAAATTGAAGTAGTTTTTGAGTTGTGTCGGTGTTCTCGAAAATTAGTTATTTAGTTACTTATTATTTTTATTCTCATTAGAGTCTAATATAACCTTCTTTAGGTTCAATTACCGGCAGCTGGTAAAAGTTTATTAGTACATTTACCACCATCTGATCCACAGTTGCCACCCGCGAGTGTGGTAATACAAAACTCTTTACCGCCTCTAGAATTACCGCATCTTGATTATCCATTGAGATTGATGTTTTTATGGTTAGGGGTCGATATAGTTGTACAGCTATTCACTTGTTTACTCTTGGAATATCAGGTGTTATTAAGAAGTACAGGTAAGTTAAAAAAAATCGTTTTTAATTAATAATAAGTTAGTTTGTTAAGTGAGCGATATCTCAAAATTATTATGTGATACAATGCGTTTATATTGTTAAATAAACAAGTTAGTAGAAGCAGAAATAATTATCATACATTCTACAAGTTTTACAAATATACAGTCCATCTCGTTTTCCTGTAACAGGAAGGAATTTTTACGTGGGTGACGAAGATGAAAAAGAAATCGACGTCAACTCACGATAGTTTATAATGGAGTCTGCAAATGGGCCTATTACTAATTGATTATAATGTTTGATATGTTTATAATGGCGCTACAACACTATTTGGTACTTTATAATATTCGTAATTATTTAATTTTCTGTAAAAAATTTATAGATCCTCAAAAATTAATGGTAGTTGCCGAAGGCATTACATCTTTGCTATTCCCGTTCACTTGGCCTCACGTTTACGTGCCGATCATGCCGGCTTCGTTGCATCACTTTTTGGACGCCCCCGTACCGTTTCTAATGGGTAAAAAATAGTTTCCCTGTCAATTAGAATGTTTATAAACATTTCTTTTCGGTTTTTTAGGGTTATATTCTACATCGGAGAATATAAAAGTGGCGTCTGAAGCGAACTTGTGTTACGTCGATGTGGATAAATGTAAAGTGCAGTTACCCGAAGAAATGGCTGCTTTTCCGCATATTGAACCGTTTACTGCCGAAATTTGGTCGGTATTGGATAAATATAGTGTGCATGTACCTAACAGTGATTACTCCAGGAATACTCAGGTAATATTTAAAATTATGTTAGGAGATAAGGGTTGTTATTTTGTTTTTATCATCATCTTGACATAGACTATAATATCTATTATTATTCAAGCCATTTTCGACCAGTTTTGTCATGCTGCATTTCCTTAAGTCCCTGTTTGCCTTATTTGGGCCTTTTACGTCGTTTTCTGTTGACGATAATCTAGTTTCTGACGTTTTTGACGATTTCGTTCATTTTTTAATGAAACGCTCTGTATATTATTCAGTATTTGTACTTTTAAGGAAATAATCTCGACAAGGAGCAGCACTTTACCGGGTCGGCCGCATAACCTCAGAAAAATATCAATTCACGATACTCTGGATAACGAACGGCCACCGTCACCGCCAGGATCGGCTAGATCCGAAGCGCTGCAACGAATCGCCGATATCGTACGAAGAACTGGAGTGACTTTAGAGCCGAACGAAACCAATCAACCTTCAGATTCCTATATCGAAGATTTGAGATTCAACAACGCCTTGAGGGAGATCTATTTGAATAGATTCGTGCATATATTTCAGTCTTATGAAAATTTCGTTATATTTCCCAATCAGGTAAGGAATATATTAAAATATTTTTTTGAGAAAGTTAGGAGAAAAAAATATTCTTGGATATTATTTAAAAATTGTGCTGGAAATTTTTAAAAATTAGATGAAAGTTTACAAAACTAACAAAGCAATGAAAATTTAATTAATTTTCATGAAAGTTGGAAGATTCTTGTCTACTATTTAAAAAAATGAGATGAAAATGTAATAAAACTAGGCATATCCATTATCCAATCTGTAAATTACTTTTTAATCATTTGCAAACAAAAAAAAGCCCTGTGAAATTTAACAGTTTCATAAAAAATATCCTAAAACAATAATCCTTTAATACTTTTGATTGTATTGCTTCCTGAATTTAATATTTACTGTTTTTTTATTTCTTTTATTTTTTAATAGTGTATTTGTTGTATGTAGTATTTTGTTAATGGCTTTGGTCTTGGATAAATTCGCCATAATTAATGTTAGTAATATTACAATAATTATTAATGGCGGAACTTAAAGTCTAGTAAAAATAAAAATATACATCTTATTTACAATTTAACAAGAGTTAAAACATGTTATAATTAATTGTATTTATATTTTAGAAGAAATCAATTTTTTTTGTTTTTTTTTAATATTTGTTTTTTGTTTTATTTTTTATTGTTATCTATTTTTTTTGTTTTTGTTTTGTGTTTGTTTTTATGTAGATATCTTAAACTTTTTTTACATTAATTATTTATTTAAAAGAAACTAACAATCAAACAATTTTTTTGGAACATGTGCTAATTAAATTATTTTTTTGTTTTTAAAATTTTTCAAAAATTTATTTTTCTGGGAATTAATATTTCAAAAATATCGTTTTTGGATGATTTATTTTTCAAAAATGTTAATTTTCATTTTCGGAAATTTTATCTTTCATGTATTTTATTATTCAAAAAAATTATTTTTCAGGGAATTATTTTTTTAAAATTCTATTTTTTACAAAGATTTTATTTTCGGAAATTTTACTCCTCAAAAATTGGATTTTTCGAAATTATTATTTTCTAAAATCTACATTTCATGAATTTTATTTTTCAGGAAATTTTTTAAAAATTCCATTTTTGATAAAGGTTTTATCATTCAGAGATTTTATTTTTGGAAATTGTATCATAAATTTTTCCAAAATTTATTTTTCGTGAATTTATTTTTCAAAAATGTAATTTTTGGTAAAAATGTAGTTTTTGGAAGATTTATTTTTCTGGAATTTTAATTCTTCAGAATTTTCATTTTGAATTTTAATATTGAAAAATGTATTTTTCAGAGAATTATTTTTTTTTAAATTCTATTTTTGATGAAAGTTTTATCATTAAGAGATTTTATTTTTTGAAATTGTATCATAAATTTTTCGTGGAATTTATTTTTCAAAAATGTAATTTTGGGTAAAAATTTTGTTTTTAGAAATTTTTTATTTTTCAGGAATTTTAACTCTTCAGAAATTTATTTTTCAGGGAATTATTTTTTTGAATTTTTTTCTTTTGACAAAGATTTTATTTTCTGAAATTTTATCATTCATAAATTTTACTCAAAAATTTAAATTTTTCGGAATTATTATTTTCTGAAATTTATATTTCATGAATTTTATTTTTCAGGGAATTATTTTTTATAAAATCTATTTTTGATAAAGGTTTTATCATTAAGAGATTTTATTTTTGGAAATTGTATCATAAATTTTTCCAAAAATTTATTTTTCGTGGAATTTATTTTTCAAAAATGTAATTTTGGGTAAAAATTTTGTTTTTAGAAAATTTTTATTTTTCAGGAATTTTAACTCTTCAGAAATTTATTTTTCAGGGAATTATTTTTTAAAAAATTCTATTTTTGACAAAGATTTGATTTTTGGAAATGTTATCCTTCGTAAATTTAACTCAAAAATTTGAATTTTTCAAAATTATTATTTTCTGAAATTTATATTTTAAGAATTTTATTTTTCAGGGAATTATTTTTTATAAAATCTATTTTTGATAAAGGTTTTATCATTAAGATATTTTATTTTTGGAAATTGAATCATAAATTTTTCCAAAAATTTATTTTTCATTGAATTTATTTTTCGGGAATTTAATTCCTCTAAAATTTAAATTATTCAGAATTTGCATTTTGAATTTTATTATTCAAAAATTTATTTTTCAGGGAATTATTTTTTTAAATTTTTTTTTTTGACGAAGATTTTATTTTCTGAAATTTTATCATTCATAAATTTTACTCAAAAATTTAAATTTTTCGGAATTATTATTTTCTGTAATTTATATTTCATGAATTTTATTTTTCAGGGAATTATTTTTTATAAAATCTATTTTTGATAAAGGTTTTATCATTAAGAGATTTTATTTTTGGAAATTGTATCATAAATTTTTCCAAAAATTTATTTTTCGTGGAATTTATTTTTCAAAAATGTAATTTTGGGTAAAAATTTTATTTTTCAGGAATTTTAATCTTCAAAAATTTATTTTTTAAAAATTTTATTTTTGATAAAGATTTTATTTTTCAAAAATATTATTTTTGGAAAAAAATTTATTTTTAAAAGATTTGCATTTTAAATTTTATTATTCAAAAATTTATTTTTAAGGGAATTATTTTTTTAATTTTTTTTTTTTAATTTTTTTTTTTGACAAAGATTTTATTTTCTGAAATTTTATCCTTCATAAATTTTATTCAAAAATTTAAATTTTTCGGAATTATTATTTCCTGAAATTTATATTTCATGAATTTTATTTTTCAGGGAATTATTTTTTAAAAATTTAATTTTTGATAAAAGTTTTATCTTTTAGAGATTTTATTTTCGGAAATTGTATCATACATTTTTTCAAATTTATTTTTCAAAGAATTAATTTTTAAAAAAATGTATATTTTGGTAGATTTTATTTTTGAAAAATTTATTTTACAGGCATTTTATTACTCAAAAAACTAAATCTTATAGAATTTTTATTTTCGAAAATTTTATCTTATGAATTTTATTTTTCGAAAATTTATTTTTTAGGAATTTTATTTCTCAAAAATTTCAATTTTTCGGATATTTTATCCTTTATAAATTTAATTTTTTAAAAATTTATTTTTCAAAAATATAATTTTTGGTAAATATTTTATTTTTAGAAGATTTATTTTTCGGGAATTTCATTTCTCAAAAATTTTAATTATTCAGATTTTGCATTTTGATTTTATTTTCTAAAATTTTATCCTTCATAAATTTTACTCAAAAATTTAAATTTTTCGGAATTATTATTTTCTGAAATTTATTTTTCAGGGAATTATTTTTTAAAAATTCAATTTTTGATCAAAGTTTTATCTTTTAGAGATTTTATTTTCGGAAATTGTATCATACATTTTTCAAATTTATTTTTCAAAGAATTAATTTTTAAAAAAATGTAAATTTTGGTAGATTTTATTTTTGAAAAATTTATTTTACAGGCATTTTATTACTCAAAAAACTAAATCTTATAGAATTTTTATTTTCGAAAATTTTATCTCTTATGAATTTTATTTTTCGAAAATTTATTTTTTAGGAATTTTATTTCTCAAAAATTTCAATTTTTCGGATATTTTATCCTTTATAAATTTTATTTTTTAAAAATTTATTTTTCAAAAATATAATTTTTGGTAAATATTTTATTTTTTTGAAGATATATTTTTCACGAAATTAATTCCTCAAAAATTTAAATTTTTCGGGATTTTCATTTTCGAAAATTTTATCTTTCATGTATTTTATTATTCAAAAAATTATTTTTCAGGGAATTATTTTTTAAAAATTCTATTTTTTACACAGATTTTATTTTCGGAAATTTTTTAAAAATTCTATTTTTGACAAATTGTATCATACATTTTTTCAAATTTATTTTTCAAAGAATTAATTTTTAAAAAAATGCAAATTTTGCTAGATTTTATTTTTGAAAAATTTATTTTACAGGCATTTTATTACTCAAAAAACTAAATCTTATAGAATTTTCATTTTCGAAAATTTTATCTCATGAATTTTATTTTTCGAAAATTTATTTTTTAGGAATTTTATAACTCAAAAATTTCAATTTTTCGGAAATTTTATTTTTTAAAAATTTATTTTTATGAAATTTATTTTTCAAAAATATAATTTTTGGTAAATATTTTATTTTTTTGAAGATATATTTTTCACGAAATTAATTCCTCAAAAATTTAAATTTTTCGGGACTTCCATTTTTGGAAATTTTATCCTTCATGAATTTTATTTTTGAGGCTTTATCTTATAGAGATTTTATTTTTGGAAATTTTATTCTTCATAAATTTTTTCAAAAATGTATGTTTCGGATAATTTATTTTTCAAATATATAATTTTTGATAAAAATTTATTTTTCAGCAATTTTATTTTCCAAATATTTAAATTTGATAAAATTTTCATTTTTGGAAATTTTATTTTTCAAGGAATTAGAGATTTTATTCCGAAATTGTCTCCTTCATAAATTTTTGTCAAATTTTAATTTTTAATTATGTTATTTTTTCAGTGATTTTATTTTTGAAAGATTATTTTTATTTTTAAAGGAATTATTTTTTAAAAATTTGATATTGACACATTTTTTTCATAGATTTTATTTTTGGAGGGATTTATTTCCCAAAAGTATTATTTTTCAGGAATATATTCCTCAAAATTTTTATTTTTATGCAGTATTTTGTGTAATGTTTAACAAGGGTATGTTACACGTTTAAAGAACAGTTGAATCAACTGTGTTAATAATACAGGGTGTTAAAAAGTGTATCAATGCCGATGTATTTGCACAAAATGATTCAATACAACAACCATAACGATATCCAAGCCGTCTAAATGATATAAATAAAGCCATTCATGTACTGGAAGAGGGATAAATATGTCAAATGTATATATCTGTATATACAGTGAGCATCATAAGTCTTACCCCCCCCCCCCCCTAACTAAGTCGTTACTGGAGTCTTGTTAGGAAAATCGCCGAGACAGGTCGATTTTTGATTTCTACAATGTACATTTTTGTATGATTAGTTTACCCTTAATTTCATCCCTTACTGGAGATATAATTAAGCATTTTCGTCCTAGAACTTCAAAAATATAATTACAAGATAGTAGTTCAAATGTACCAAACTCAAAAATGTTAATTCATGAAGATTTTATGACATAATGAAGCATTTTCATCCTAGAACTATAAACATTTAATTTCAAAATAGTATTTCAAATGTTACCAAATTCAAAATTGTTGATTAGCAAAGAATTTATGATATAATGAAGCATTTTCGTCCTAGAACTCCAAAAATATAATTACAAGATAGTAGTTCAAATGTACCAAACTTTTTTACATGGTTGAATAGAGAATAAAACGCTCTTTCAAATGAGCTATCACTCACCACCCCATGCCATTTAAATTTTTTTGAAAGGGTTGCTCCCCTCCAGTAAGGGATGAAATTAAGGGTAAACTATTCATACAAAAATGTACATTGTAGAAATCAAAAATCGACGTGTTTCAGCGATTTTCCTAACAAGACTTCAGTAACGAGTTATGGTGCTCACTGTATGTGTCTAAAAATTATTATTTTAGTCATAACTCTTTACCATTTTTTTAGTACTTAGAACTCTTTAATGTTTAATATTTATACTCTCATAGAATATACAAAACTATGAATTAAAATCTCTCTTGCAGGACAAAGAAGACTGGTTCAACAACAGAGACTCTATGCAAAATTTCGACAAAGCTTCGTTCCTATCCGACCAACCGGAACAAGATCGCATGTTCCTATGCAGATTTCTAGAATCTCAAATGTTCGCCACCTTAATCGACAACAAAATACTCTCTATATGGGGCGAAAACGACAGTAACCTCCTAATATTCGACAACAGGATAAAATCCTTAAAAAAACGTTACGGTTGCGAAAACTCGATGCGCTCTCTATGCTACGAGCCCTGCCTAAGCGCTCACGATACTCAAAAACCAGCCGACAGGCGATTGGCCAATCCGGATTTCGAATCGCCGCTACCGAGAGAAGTGACGAATTGTAGGAGTCTACCTTGCCGACAATTTCCGATTTTGGATAAGGAGGTGTTGAATAAGACGCCGGTGTTGAATAAGGGTAGCATTCCGAGAGCTAGCGCGCTGAAGAAGGGATTGTCGTTCTCGAAACCTCCTGTCGGTCCTAATGATAAGAATTTGAAGTCCGGGAATAATCAGGATATGTCGCCAGCGCTGATAGCGCAAGCCAATTGGACGTTTGTTGAGAAACTTTTAAAAGTAAGTTTGTTTTTATTATTTTTAATTTAATGTGATGTTTGTTTATTTTAAATAACAGTTTATTTGTTCATAATTTATTTGAAACAATACTATTCTAATTTACATACTTATAATGTCTTTAAACTGTTCACTATTTATCTTTACAACTGTCTATATACACATTTAAAATTCTGGTGGATTCCAGAATGCTCCCCGCCAAAACTAGAAACAATATCACGTTCTATCTGGAATATACTCGAATATAATCGGACAAGTTAAGCCTCAAAGGCCAAATAAGACAGAGAGGGTCTTGGAAGATTAGAGCATGACTGAATAATAAAATCGCTCGCATTTCATTAATTTGAATTAATTTTCTAAATGTATATGCATTTTTTTACAATTAAATTACTTCAAAAAAAAGGAGGAGGTTCTTAATTCGTTGAAATATGTTTTTTAATATGTTGTAGAGTTTATATATTTAGACTAATTTATGTTCACTATTTACATTAATAAATTTTATGAATTATAACACTAATTTATATCTCAAACACTTGTAGACTAATTTACTTTTACAATATATTTATAAACTGAACAAAATTTAACTATATTACTGAACATTTAATATTTAAGGCACAAATAGCAACAAATGTTGCATTTTACGAACATTCCAGAAATGTAATTCAATTTAACTTTATTTCTTAACTATTTACAATTATACAGGATGTTTCCAGGACTGATTGAAAAAGAGGAAAAACTTTTTTATTCTTAACTTTTCGAAAAAATGTTGTTCTTCATAAAAGTTTCTGCTTGCATCAAAAATAATAATAATTCAAACAGAAATTGAATATCGTTTTGCTTTAGTGGATTATTATTATTTTTAAAACAAGACTTTTTTATGAAGAATAACATTATTTCTAAAAGGTGAAAATAAAAAAGTTTTTCCTATTTTTCACTACATCAAGAACTCTTCCTTAATATACATTTTTTCAGTTAGATACGTTTGATCTAATTTGTACATTTTTGCAGTTGTATTACCCAAAATTTGTTAGACTTCCAAAAAATCATTCACTAACATTTTTGAGTTTGATACATTTGGTCTACTATCTTGCAATTAAACTTTTTCAGATCTAGGACGAAAATGCTTCATTACATTCTTCATTAATGAATATTTTTGAGTTAAAATTTTGCAGTTCTAGAGCGAAAATGCTTAATTATATCATAAATTTTTCTTTAATAGACATTTTTGAGTTTGGTACATTTGAACTACTATCTTGTAATTATATTTTTGGAGTTATAGGACGAAAGTGCTCCATTATATCATAAATTTTTCTTTAATAGACATTTTTGAGTTTGGTACATTTGAACTACTATCTTGTAATTATATTTTTGGAGTTCTAGGACGAAAATGCTTAATTATATCATACATTTTTCTTTAATAGACATTTTTGAGTTTGGTACATTTAAACTACTATCTTGTATTTATAATTTTTGGAGTTCTAGGACGAAAATGCTTAATTATATCATAAATTTTTCTTTATTAGACATTTTGGAGTTCGTTACATTTGAACTACTATCTTGTAATTATATTTTTGGAGTTCTAGGACGAAAGTGCTTCATTATATCATAAATTCTTTGCTAATGAACAATTTTAAATTTGGTAACATTTGAAATACTATTTTGAAATTAAATGTTTACAGTTAGTTCTAGGATGAAAATGCTTCATTATGTCATAAAATCTTCATGAATGAACATTTTTGAGTTTGGTACATTTGAACTACTATCTTGTAATTATATTTTTGGAGTTCTAGGACGAAAATGCTAAATTATATCATACATTTTTTTTAATAGACATTTTTGAGTTTGGTACATTTGAACTACTATCTTGTAATTATATTTTTGGAGTTCTAGGGCGAAAATGCTTCATTATATCATAAATTCTTTGCTAATGAACAATTTTGAATTTGGTAACATTTGAAATACTATTTTGAAATTAAATTTTTACAGTTCTGGGATGAAAATGCTTCATTATGTCATAAAATCTTCATGAATGAACATTTTTGAGTTTGGTACATTTGAACTACTATCTTGTAATTATATTTTAGGAGTTCTAGGACGAAAATGCTTCATTATATCATAAATTCTTTGCTATTGAACAATTTTGAATTTGGTAACATTTGAAATACTATTTTGAAATTAAATGTTTACAGTTCTAGGATGAAAATGCTTAATTATGTCATAAAATCTTCATGAATGAACATTTTTGAGTTTGGTACATTTGAACTACTATCTTGTAATTATATTTTAGGAGTTCTAGGACGAAAATGCTTCATTATATCATAAACTCTTGGCTAATGAACAATTTTGAATTTGGTAACATTTGAAATACTATTTTGAAATTAAATTTTTACAGTTATAGGATGAAAATGATTCATTATGTCATAAAATCTTCATGAATGAACATTTTTGAGTTTGGTACATTTGAACTACTATCTTGTAATTATATTTTTGGAGTCTAGGACGAAAATGCTTAATTATATCATAAATTTTTCTTTAATAGACATTTTTAAGTTTGGTACATTTGAACTACTATCTTGTAATTATATTTTTGGAGTTCTAGGACGAAAATGCTTCATTATATCATAAATTCTTTGCTATTGAACAATTTTGAATTTGGTAACGTTTGAAATACTATTTTGAAATTAAATTTTTACAGTTCTAGGATGAAAATGCTTCATTATGTCATAAAATCTTCATGAATGAACATTTTTGAGTTTGGTACATTTGAACTACTATCTTGTAATTATATTTTAGGAGTTCTAGGACGAAAATGCTTCATTATATCATAAATTCTTTGCTATTGAACAATTTTGAATTTGGTAACATTTGAAATACTATTTTGAAATTAAATGTTTACAGTTCTAGGATGAAAATGCTTCATTATGTCATAAAATCTTCATGAATGAACATTTTTGAGTTTGGTACATTTGAACTACTATCTTGTAATTATATTTTAGGAGTTCTAGGACGAAAATGCTTCATTATATCATAAATTCTTGGCTAATGAACAATTTTGAATTTGGTAACATTTGAAATACTATTTTGAAATTAAATTTTTACAGTTATAGGATGAAAATGATTCATTATGTCATAAAATCTTCATGAATGAACATTTTTGAGTTTGGTACATTTGAACTACTATCTTGTAATTATATTTTAGGAGTTCTAGGACGAAAATGCTTCATTATATCATAAATTCTTGGCTAATGAACAATTTTGAATTTGGTAACATTTGAAATACTATTTTGAAATTAAATTTTTACAGTTATAGGATGAAAATGATTCATTATGTCATAAAATCTTCATGAATGAACATTTTTGAGTTTGGTACATTTGAACTACTATCTTGTAATTATATTTTTGGAGTTCTAGGACGAAAATGCTTAATTATATCATAAATTTTTCTTTAATAGACATTTTTAAGTTTGGTACATTTGAACTACTATCTTGTAATTATATTTTTGGAGTTCTAGGACGAAAATGCTTCATTCTATCATAAATTTTTCTTTATTAGACATTTTGGAGTTCGGTACATTTGAACTACTATCTTGTAATTATATTTTTGGAGTTCTAGGACGAAAGTGCTTCATTATATCATAAATTCTTTGCTAATGAACAATTTTAAATTTGGTAACATTTGAAATACTATTTTGAAATTAAATGTTTACAGTTCTAGGATGAAAATGCTTCATTATGTCATAAAATCTTCATGAATGAACATTTTTGAGTTTGGTACATTTGAACTACTATCTTGTAATTATATTTTTGGAGTTCTAGGACGAAAATGCTTAATTATATCATACATTTTTTTTAATAGACATTTTTGAGTTTGGTACATTTGAACTACTCTCTTGTAATTATATTTTTGGAGTTCTAGGGCGAAAATGCTTCATTATATCATAAATTCTTTGCTAATGAACAATTTTGAATTTGGTAACATTTGAAATACTATTTTGAAATTAAATTTTTACAGTTCTGGGATGAAAATGCTTCATTATGTCATAAAATCTTCATGAATGAACATTTTTGAGTTTGGTACATTTGAACTACTATCTTGTAATTATATTTTAGGAGTTCTAGGACGAAAATGCTTCATTATATCATAAATTCTTTGCTATTGAACAATTTTGAATTTGGTAACATTTGAAATACTATTTTGAAATTAAATGTTTACAGTTCTAGGATGAAAATGCTTCATTATGTCATAAAATCTTCATGAATGAACATTTTTGAGTTTGGTACATTTGAACTACTATCTTGTAATTATATTTTAGGAGTTCTAGGACGAAAATGCTTCATTATATCATAAATTCTTGGCTAATGAACAATTTTGAATTTGGTAACATTTGAAATACTATTTTGAAATTAAATTTTTACAGTTATAGGATGAAAATGATTCATTATGTCATAAAATCTTCATGAATGAACATTTTTGAGTTTGGTACATTTGAACTACTATCTTGTAATTATATTTTTGGAGTTCTAGGACGAAAATGCTTAATTATATCATAAATTTTTCTTTAATAGACATTTTTGAGTTTGGTACATTTGAACTACTATCTTGTAATTATATTTTTGGAGTTCTAGGACGAAAATGCTTCATTATATCATAAATTCTTTGCTAATGAACAATTTTGAATTTGGTAACATTTGAAATACTATTTTGAAATTAAATTTTTACAGTTCTGGGATGAAAATGCTTCATTATGTCATAAAATCTTCATGAATGAACATTTTTGAGTTTGGTACATTTGAACTACTATCTTGTAATTATATTTTAGGAGTTCTAGGACGAAAATGCTTCATTATATCATAAATTCTTGGCTAATGAACAATTTTGAATTTGGTAACATTTGAAATACTATTTTGAAATTAAATTTTTACAGTTATAGGATGAAAATGATTCATTATGTCATAAAATCTTCATGAATGAACATTTTTGAGTTTGGTACATTTGAACTACTATCTTGTAATTATATTTTTAGAGTTCTAGGACGAAAATGCTTAATTATATCATAAATTTTTCTTTAATAGACATTTTGGAGTTTGGTACATTTGAACTACTATCTTGTAATTATATTTTTGGAGTTCTATGACAAAAATGCTTCATTATATCATAAATTCTTTGCTAATGAATAATTTTGAATTTGGTAACAATTGAAATACTATTTTGAAATTAAATGTTTGCAGTTCTAGGATGAAAATGCTTCATTATGTCATAAAATCTTCATGAATGAACATTTTTGAGTTTGGTACATTTGAACTACTATCTTGCATACAATATCCAACACAATACATGGGTATATTTATTGCTTTTTCGTCGTCCAAGATGTTCTTAGATCGGTGCTTCCACCATTTTTTTTTCTTTAATAATTCATCCGCCAAAATCGTTATCTAGACTCTAGAGCATTCTAGATGGATAATTCATGTCGGTGTTTCAATAGGCGGGTTTTAGGGGAGTTTCGGATTTTGCAGGTTGATCTGTTCTATAATATTTTTTCACATATTCATTACTAACGAAAATATTGACTTTTTCCTCTAATTTCTCCTGAATCCATTTTAAACAGATCTTGTACATGACAAAAATTATAGAGAATAACATCACAAACAAATCTGATTTGAACAGTTTTCTTCTCAAAACAAAAATAACAGAAATATACCTTATAAATGCTTCGACTATACTCAAAAACTCACGATCCCTAATACTTTCCTTACTGCCTACTGGAAAGTAATCTTAAATGATTTAAAGATAATTGTGCAGACACTAACAATAAAAAATGATCATCCAATTATCATTTTAGGTTTAATACGTTTGAGGACATCAAGTAAAATGCTATTGAATATAAAGGGATCCAGTAGAAAAAGCCAAAGGTATATTTGATCGCGTTTTAAATTAATTAGTATTCAAAAAGTTTCTAAAATTATTAACAGTTATTTATCATTTTGTAACTAATAATATTTGTCTCTTTTCTACTATTTACAAATGTTTCAGAATTGTTTTATAACCTTTATATTTTTATATTAACGCAAAATGGATGATATTTTCCTAAAAACAATGTTTAGTTTTTCTATTTACTTTTAGTCGAGAAAGTTGTATGATTTTTCTTGTAAAAGAATCCTTAGAAATGGCGAAAATAATTTTAATTGCATTCCTGAAAATTTTCTTTTCGAAAACTATAAGTGTTGATTCATAATAGACAAATTTGGAAACGTGGTGGATGTTGGGTATCTTCTGTTACTAAACTATCTTTAGGTCTATCTACTAAACAGTTATTAGCAACATACAAAAATCCAATGGTTTATTATATAATTGTTATGTATCATATTTACCAAACGATAGTTGATCTCCATTCTAATTGAATTTGTTAGAAATACTCACCTAATATTCGTGTTATTGATCATTTACTAAAGACAGCACATCTTTTATGCAATTTTTATTATTAACAACAAAAAAGTGACTTGATCTCTATCAACTCTGCTCCCACAATTCACAACTATCCAAGTTAAAAATACTTGGGGATCAACCATCGTTTAACAAAATTTCATCATCATCTAATAAAGGTGGTGGTTTCTTTTTATACCATCAGATATTTCGATACGTATTAAAGTTATCGCGCATTTTTAGGACTGTAAAGCTAAAACCAAAAGAATGCTGTTAGCCAAATTAGGCGCCGAAGGCGTCACCCTATCGAGCAACAACGCCATGGATAATTTCGGCGCCGTCGAAGAAAGCACGCTCATAACTTCTTTGTGCGATTTTCTAGAACGCGTTTGGTCTCACGGTTTACAGAAGAAACGCGGTAAATCGGCGATGTGGTCTCACATACTCGCTTACCAAGAGAAATATCAATATCTGACGAAGAAAGATCTGCATCAGCATCAATCTAATGTCAGTCGATTGACGGCTAGTTTGGAGAATTGGAATTGTCCGTTGGAAGATGCGAAATTAAGGGCTGATTTACCTGAGTTACCTTCGTCTATATTGTTTGATATCGGGTAAGTAACCTCATCAAAAATTGTTATTGTAATATTATAGTGCTTTCGTTTTAATTTTGTCTTTTAGGGAATAAAAAATGCCCAGTTTTTTTCATTTTAATTTAGTCTTTTAGGTAATACAAAATACCCATTTCTTTCGTTTCAATTTTGTACATCTTTTAGGTAATAAAAATACCCAGTTCTTTTGTCTTAATTTTGTCTTTTAGGGAATAAAACGTACCCAGTTCTTTCGTTTTAATTTGTCTTTTAGATAATAAAAAAATACCTAGTACTTTCGTTTTTATTTTGTCTTTTAGGGAATAAAAAATGCCCAGTTTTTTTCATTTTAATTTAGTCTTTTAGGTAATACAAAATACCCATTTCTTTCGTTTCAATTTTGTATATCTTTTAGGTAATAAAAATACCCAGTTCTTTTGTCTTAATTTTGTCTTTTAGGGAATAAAACGTACCCAGTTCTTTCGTTTTAATTTGTCTTTTAGATAATAAAAAAATACCTAGTACTTTCGTTTTTATTTTGTCTTTTAGGGAATAAAAAATGCCCAGTTTTTTTCATTTAAATTTAGTCTTTTAGGTAATACAAAATACCCATTTCTTTCGTTTCAATTTTGTATATCTTTTAGGTAATAAAAATACCCAGTTCTTTTGTCTTAATTTTGTCTTTTAGGGAATAAAACGTACCCAGTTCTTTCGTTTTAATTTGTCTTTTAGATAATAAAAAAATACCTATTACTTTCGTTTTTATTTTGTCTTTTAGGGAATAAAAAATGCCCAGTTTTTTTCATTTTAATTTAGTCTTTTAGGTAATACAAAATACCCATTTCTTTCGTTGCAATTTTGTATATATTTTAGGTAATAAAAATACCCAGTTCTTTTGTCTTAATTTTGTCTTTTAGGGAATAAAGCGTACCCAGTTCTTTCGTTTTAATTTGTCTTTTAGATAATAAAAAAATACCTAGTACTTTCGTTTTTATTTTGTCTTTTAGGGAATAAAAAATGCCCAGTTTTTTCATTTTAATTTAGTCTTTTAGGTAATACAAAATACCCATTTCTTTCGTTTCAATTTTGTATATCTTTTAGGTAATAAAAATACCCAGTTCTTTTGTCTTAATTTTGTCTTTTAGGGAATAAAACGTACCCAGTTCTTTCGTTTTAATTTGTCTTTTAGATAATAAAAAAAATACCTAGTACTTTCGTTTTTATTTTGTCTTTTAGGGAATAAAAAATGCCCAGTTTTTTTCATTTTAATTTATTTTTTTAGGTAATACAAAATACCCATTTCTTTCGTTTCAATTTTGTATATCTTTTAGGTAATAAAAATACCCAGTTCTTTTGTCTTAATTTTGTCTTTTAGGGAATAAAACGTACCCAGTTCTTTCGTTTTAATTTGTCTTTTAGATAATACAAAAATACCTAGTACTTTCGTTTTTATTTAGTCTTTTAGGGAATAAAAAATGCCCAGTTTTTTTCATTTTAATTTAGTCTTTTAGGTAATACAAAATACCCATTTCTTTCGTTTCAATTTTGTATATCTTTTAGGTAATAAAAATACTCAGTTCTTTTGTCTTAATTTTGTCTTTTAGGGAATAAAACGTACCCAGTTCTTTCGTTTTAATTTGTCTTTTAGATAATACAAAAATACCTAGTACTTTCGTTTTTATTTTGTCTTTTAGGGAATAAAAAATGCCCAGTTTTTTTCATTTTAATTTAGTCTTTTAGGTAATACAAAATACCCATTTCTTTCGTTTCAATTTTGTATATCTTTTAGGTAATAAAAATACCCAGTTCTTTTGTCTTAATTTTGTCTTTTAGGGAATAAAACGTACCCAGTTCTTTCGTTTTAATTTGTCTTTTAGATAATAAAAAAATACCTATTACTTTCGTTTTTATTTAGTCTTTTAGGGAATAAAAAATGCCCAGTTTTTTTCATTTTAATTTAGTCTTTTAGGTAATACAAAATACCCATTTCTTTCGTTTCAATTTTGTATATCTTTTAGGTAATAAAAATACTCAGTTCTTTTGTCTTAATTTTGTCTTTTAGGGAATAAAACGTACCCAGTTCTTTCGTTTTAATTTGTCTTTTAGATAATACAAAAATACCTAGTACTTTCGTTTTTATTTTGTCTTTTAGGGAATAAAAAATACCCAGTTCTTTCATAACAACTTTTTATTGAATTCCATTTGTTTATAAATTTTTCTAGAAATGTACAAGCAATGACTGACGTAAAAACGGCAATAGGAATGGCTCGCGCTTGGGTGCGATTGGCTTTAGAGAAAAAACAATTATCCAAACACTTCAGAACGTTGCTGTCTGATCAAAATTTGCTCAGGGCGCAGTACAAACGTTTAGCGTTCGTGCGTTCTGAGGAAGAACGTGAGCAATTTTTGTATCATCTGCTGTCTCTCAATGCCGTGGACTATTTTTGTTTTACCAGCACTTATCCAACTACTGGTAAGATGAGAATTTTAATATATAAAAACTAGATTAATGAAAAATTACTGATATAATTTTGTCTTTTAGTGAATGAAAAATACTCAATACTTTCGCTTTAATTTTGTCTTTTAGTGAATAAAAATGCTCGTAGTACTTTAGTTTTGATTTTGTCTTTTAGTAAATGAAAAATATCCAGCATTTTCGTTTTAATTTTGTCTTTTAGTAGATGAAAAATACTCATGGTACTTTTGTTTCAATTTTGTCTTTTACTGAATGAAAAATACTGATAGTACTTCAGTTCTAATTTATCTTTTATGAAGTTAAAAATACTCATGGGTTTACGAGTAGTTTTAATTTTGTATTCTATGGAGTGAAAAATAATCGTTTCGTTTTAATTTTGTCTTTTAGTGAATGAAAACTATCCAATACTTTCGTTTTAATTTTGTCATTTAGTGAATGAAAAATGCCCGGTACTTTTGTTTTAATTTTGTCTTTTAGGAATGAAAAATACTTTTAGTACTTTTGTTTTAAGTTTGTCTTTTAGGGAATGAAAAATTCCAAACATTTTCGTTGTAATTTTGTCTTTTAGTGAATGAAGAATACTCAATACTTTCGTTTTAATTTTGTCTTTTATTAAATGAAAAAATAGTTAATACTTTCGCTTTAATTTTGTCTTTTAGTGAATAAAAATGCTCGTAGTACTTTAGTTTTGATTTTGTCTTTTAGGTAAATGAAAAATACTCGTAGTACCTACTTTCGTTTTAATTTTGTCTTTTAGAGAATGAAAAATACTCGTAATACTTTCGTTTAAATTTTGTCTTTTAGTGAATAAAAAATACCCAGCATTTTCGTTTTAATTTTGTCTTTTAGTAAATGAAAAATACTCATGGTATTTTTGTTTCAATTTTGTCTTTTACTGAATGAAAAATACTGATAGTACTTCAGTTCTAATTTATCTTTTATGAAATTAAAAATACTCATGGTAGTTTACGAGTAGTTTTAATTTTGTATTATATGGAGTGAAAAATAATCGTTTCGTTTTAATTTTGTCTTTTAGTGAATGAAAACTATCCAATACTTTCGTTTTAATTTTGTCATTTAGTGAATGAAAAATGCCCGGTACTTTTGTTTTAATTTTGTCTTTTAGGAATGAAAAATACTTTTAGTACTTTTGTTTTAAGTTTGTCTTTTAGGGAATAAAAAATTCCAAACATTTTCGTTGTAATTTTGTCTTTTAGTGAATGAAAAATAATCATAGTACTTTCATTTTAAGTTTGTCTTTTAGTAAATGAAAAATACTCATAGTATTTTCTTTTAGAGAATGAAAAATGTTCAATACTTTAGTTTTAATTTTGTCTTTTAGTGAATGAAAAATACTTAGTAATTTTGTTTTAATTTTGTCTTTTTGGGAATGACAAATTTCAAGCATTTTCGTTTTAATTTTGTTTTTTAGAGAATGAAAAATACTTATAGTAGTTTCATTTTAATTTTGTCTTTTGTAAATAAAAAATAATCATAGTACTTTCATTTTAATTTTGTCTTTTATTAAATGAAAAATTCCCAGCACTTTCGTTTTAATTTTGTCTTTTAGGAATGAAAAATATTCATAGTATTTTCGTTTTAATTTTGCCTTTTGGTGAATGAAAAATATCCCAATACTTCCGTTTTAATTTTGTTTTTTTACAATGAAAAGTACTCAGTACTTTCGTTTTAATTTTATCTTTTAGCAATGAAAAATATTCATAGTATTTTCGTTTTAATTTTGTCTTTTAGTAAATGAAAAATTCCCAGCATTTTCGTTTTAATTTTGTCTTTTAGTGAATGAAAAATACTCATGGTACTTTTGTTTCAATTTTGTCTTACTGAATGAAAAATACCCAGTACTTTTTTTTAATTTTGTCTTTTAGGAATGAAAAATACTTTTAGTAGTTTCATTTTAATTTTATCTTTTGTGAATAAAAAATAATCATAGTACTTTTATTTTAATTTTGTCTTTTAGTAAATGAATAAATTCCCAGCACTTTCATTTGAATTTTGTCTTTTAGGGAATGAAAAATACTCATAGTACTTTTGTTTTAATTTTCCCTTTTGGTGAATGAAAAATATCCCAATACTTTCGTTTTAATTTTGTATTTTTACAATAAAAAGTACTCATAGTACTTTCGTTTTAATTTTGTCTTTTATGAATGAAAAATATTCATAGTATTTTCGTTTTAATTTTGTCTTTTAGTAAATGAAAAATTCCCAGCACTTTCGTTTTAATTTTGTCTTTTAGTGAATGAAAAATACTCATAGTACTTTTGTTTTAATTTTGCCTTTTGGTGAATGAAAAATATCCGAATACTTTCGTTTTAATTTTGTTTTTTTGCAATGAAAAGTATTCATAGTACTTTCGTTTTAATTTTGTCTTTTAGGAATGAAAAATACTCATAGTACTTTCGTTTTAATTTTGTCTTTTGACGAATGAAAAATTTTCGTAGTATTTATGTTTTAATTTTGTCTTTTAGTGATACCATATCGTCTTGTGATAGTACCGAACAAAAAAGGAACTACATCGTCTGCCAACGTTTGGATGGTTCTATCAGGAACATTATCCGAAACTAATCGGATATCTGTTCCAAAATCTACTTTAAATTTCGAACACAAGGTACCAGAAGTTTTTTACCATTTGTTTTATTATTACCGTTTTTGTTTAACTATTTTTAATTCATATTATAACTGGTTTTTACAATATTTTTAAAAAGTTTGTCATCTGATAACATTTTTTGCAGCATCAAAACCTGGGAGTTTTAACAACTTTAAGAATAGGACATGACAACACTGGTCTATATGCAAAGTGGATGATTGAATACATCATTGTTCGAAATGATGTCACTGGACATACATACAAGTAATTATATTTTTAATCCACAAATTCACACGTATTGGCGACGAAAATGATATAGAAACTCAATGATGGCGTTTGGGTAAAAGATAGTTCCTCTGCTGGTCCTTATTTTTTTCACTCTTTCAAGTATTCCTCTACTTCCTCCTAAAGTCCTATCATAGACAGCTGACTACCAATTTTGATGGCTCCTTATCCTTCTTCCTTTCCCAGTCACCACTATTAGAACTCTGTCATATGCTTTTTCCATATCAATAAACACAATTTATTTAAATCATTTTAGATTTCCGTGCGGTAGATGGTTAGGACGAGGGGTAGACGATGGTTCGACAGAAAGGCTATTAGTCGGCAGTTTAATGTCTAGAAAAGAAGAAGCCGAAGAGATAACTATACAGAACAGCGGTAGTTTGGGACGTTCCACGCCCAGATCGAGGTCGCCAGCGGTGCTTCAGAGAGCTGAAATGAAACCTTCGCAAATTCAAGTCATGTTGGGTGAGTCGAAAGTTCTATAATAATGATATTCCCGTAAATTATTAGTAGTAAAAACATCAATCATATTATTGAACATAACGTGATATAAAAGTGTAGTACTATCTTTTATCTCTCTATTAATGCAGATTGTCATTTCATAAATGTCTCATTAGTGACTTGACGTTTCGGTAACTGACGTTTTAACAGAGTGTTAACAAATGACTATAACTGAATTGTTGACAAACGAATTAGGCAGTCCAGTAAGTATTATTGACATTTAAATTAATATTTCGACCACTGACGTTTAAACAGATTGTTGATGAAAGACTTTGACATTTAAATTAATGTTTTAACAACTGACGTTTAATCGGATTGTTTTAAATTGAAAATAATGTGATTGTGTAAATTATTTAAATTAATATTTTGAAGACTAACGTTTAGTTGGATTGTTGACGAAACAACTGACGTTTAAACCAATTGTTGATAAACGACATTAAGATTCTAGGTTTTAAATTGACTGGTGACTGTAAATTATTTAAATGAATGTTTCGATGACTGACGTTTGTTTAATGGAATTATTGACAAACGACATTGATGCTCCGTGTTTAAATTGAAAATAAACATTAAATTTCAGGTAACTGACGTCTAAACAAATTTTTGAAAAACGACATTAACACTTCGTGTTTTAAGTTGAAAATAAACGTTTGTGTGAATGTGTGTAAATTATTTAAACAAATGTTTGGACAACTAACGTTTAAACAAATTGTTGACAAACGATATTAAGGCTTTGTATTTTACAGTGACTATAAACGTTTAATTTCAGGTGACTGTAAATTATTTAAATAAATGTTTCGACGACTGACGTTTAAACGAATAGTTGATAAACGATATTAAGGTTCGGTGTTTCAATATGAAAATAAACGTTTAATTTCAGGTGACTTTATAAATTATTTAAATGAATGTTTTCACAGTTGACGTTTAAATGATTTGTTGACAAACGATATTAAGGTTTCGTGCTTTAAATTGAAATTAAACGTTTATTATCAGGTGATTGTAAATTGAATGTTTCAACTTCTGACGTTTAAACAAATTGTTGACAAACGATATTAAGGCTTTGTATTTTAAAGCGACTATAAACGTTTAAATTCAGGTGATTGTAAATTATTTAAATAAATGTTTCGACGACTGACGATTAAACGAATTGTTGACAAACGATATTAAGGTTCGGTGTTTTAAGTTGAAAATAAAAGTTAAATTTCATGTGACTTTAAAAATTATTTAAATTAATGTTTTTTAAGTGGACGTTTAAATGATTTGTTGTCAAACGATATTAAGGTTTCGTGCTTTAAATTGAAATTAAACGTTTATTATCAGGTGACTGTAAATTGAATGTTTCAACTTCTGACGTTTAAACAAATTGTTGACAAACGATATTAAGGCTTTGTATTTTAAAGCGACTATAAACGTTTAAATTCAGGTTATTGTAAATTATTTAAATAAATGTTTCGACGACTGACGTTTAAACGAATTGTTGACAAATGATATTAAGGTTCGGTGTTTCAAGTTGAAAATAAACGTTTAATTTCAGGTAATTTTATAAATTATTTAAATGAATGTTTTCACAGTTGACGTTTAAATGATTTGTTGACAAACGATATTAAGGTTTCGTGCTTTAAATTGAAATTAAACGTTTATTATCAGGTGACTGTAAATTGAATGTTTCAATTTCTGACGTTTAAACAAATTGTTGACAAACGATATTAAGGCTTCGTATTTTAAAGTGACTATAAACGTTTAATTTCAGGTGATTGTAAATTATTTATATGAATGTTTCGACGACTGACGTTTATACGAATTGTTGACAAACGATATTGAGGTTCGGTGTTTCAAGTTGAAAATAAACGTTTAATTTCAGGTGACTTTATAATTTATTTAAATGAATGTTTTCACAGTTGACGTTTAAATGATTTGTTGACAAACGATATTAAGGTTTCGTGCTTTAAATTGAAATTAAACGTTTATTATCAGGTGACTGTAAATTGAATGTTTCAATTTCTGACGTTTAAACAAATTGTTGACAAACGATATTAAGGCTTCGTATTTTAAAGTGACTATAAACGTTTAATTTCAGGTGATTGTAAATTATTTATATGAATGTTTCGACGACTGACGTTTATACGAATTGATTGAGGTTCGCTGTTTCAAGTTGAAAATAAACGTTTAATTTCAGGTGACTTTATAATTTATTTAAATGAATGTTTTCACAGTTGACGTTTAAATGATTTGTTGACAAACGATGTTAAGGTTTCGTGTTTTAAACTGAAATTAAACGTTTAATTTCAGGTGACTGTAAATTGAATGTTTCAACTTCTGACGTTTAAACAAATTGTTGACAAACTATATTTTAAGGCTTTGTATTTTAAAGTGACTATAAACGTTTAATTTCAGGTGATTGTAAATTATTTATATGAATGTTTCGACGACTGACGTTTATACGAATTGTTGACAAACGATATTGAGGTTCGGTGTTTCAAGTTGAAAATAAACGTTTAATTTCAGGTGACTTTATAATTTATTTAAATGAATGTTTTCACAGTTGACGTTTAAATGATTTGTTGACAAACGATGTTAAGGTTTCGTGTTTTAAACTGAAATTAAACGTTTAATTTCAGGTGACTGTAAATTGAATGTTTCAACTTCTGACGTTTAAACAAATTGTTGACAAACTATATTTTAAGGCTTTGTATTTTAAAGTGACTATAAACGTTTAATTTCAGGTGATTGTAAATTATTTATATGAATGTTTCGACGACTGACGTTTATACGAATTGTTGACAAACGATATTGAGGTTCGGTGTTTCAAGTTGAAAATAAACGTTTAATTTCAGGTGACTTTATAATTTATTTAAATGAATGTTTTCACAGTTGACGTTTAAATGATTTGTTGACAAACGATGTTAAGGTTTCGTGTTTTAAACTGAAATTAAACGTTTAATTTCAGGTGACTGTAAATTGAATGTTTCAACTTCTGACGTTTAAACAAATTGTTGACAAACTATATTTTAAGGCTTTGTATTTTAAAGTGACTATAAACGTTTAATTTCAGGTGATTGTAAATTATTTATATGAATGTTTCGACGACTGACGTTTATACGAATTGTTGACAAACGTTATTGAGGTTCGGTGTTTCAAGTTGAAAATAAACGTTTAATTTCAGGTGACTTTATAATTTATTTAAATGAATGTTTTCACAGTTGACGTTTAAATGATTTGTTGACAAACGATGTTAAGGTTTCGTGTTTTAAATTGAAATTAAACGTTTAATTTCAGGTGACTGTTTCAACTTCTGACGTTTAAACAAATTGTAAACCAACGATATTAAGGCTTTGTATTTTAAAGTGACTATAAACGTTTAATTTCAGGTGACTGTAAATTATTTAAATAAATGTTTCGACGACTGACGTTTAAACGAATTGTTGACAAACGATATTAAGGCACGGTGTTTCAAGATGAAAATAAACGTTTAATTTCAAGTGACTTTATAAATTATTAAAATGAATGTTTTCACAGTTGACGTTGAAATGATTTGTTGATAAACGATATTAAGGCTTCGTGTTTTAAATTGAAATTAAACGTTTAATTTCAGGTGACTGTAAATTATTTAAATGAATGTTTCGACGACTGACGTTTAAACGAATTGTTCATAAACGACATCAAAGCTTAGAGTTTTAAATTGATGATAAACGTTTAATTCCAGGCGACTGCGTAAATAAAATTATAAAATGGCATCACAGGAGATCATCCGAAAGACACACCACTTTGACGGCGCTGCTTTGTAGCGATAACGGTTTAGTAACGTGTTTGGAAAATGTATTCCTTCTAGGATTCAAATCGGCCAGACTGTTCATGGGCAAGCATTATTTATGGGACTATTTCGGTAAGAAGAATATTTTTAGATTAAATATACGCTATATAATATAGAATTAATTGCGTTTAGTGTGAAACATTTAAAAATGTTTCGTTTTGTGTTTATACAGTTAGAATTTAGATATAATATAATCGAGATATATTATTTGTTGTATAAGTATTTGACAGAATTATTTCATATATGTGACAGCTGTCACTTAATTGTCACTAAGTGTCAAATATTTGACGTTACAGATTTCTGTCTAATTCCAAATAGTGCGCAAATCAGTGCAGCTATCTTAGTTTCTATTCATTAATCCCAGTGGCGTAGTTTAATTAGTTAAATTAATTGTTTTGATAAATTTTCTATTTGTTAGTAAAAGTGAAGGAACAATTCGAGTTGGAATTATTGGAAGAAGTATCGGGGAACCGTACGCATAGCTTAGAAAGGAATCACCAAGAAACGGTGGCTGTGTGGCGATGCTACTGCCATCTCATTGAAGAAATCAATCATACCAGTAAAACTCTGGGCAAAGACGGGAAATTTCAACAATTTATTTGTCTTAGCGTTAGGTAAGTCTACACGAAACGTTTATTACTCGCTTTATCGTTAAACAGGATAAAGTGGGGGTGCTCTCGGCCATTGGCATCTCAGATAAACAAATGAAATATAGTTTAAGTATATAAGAACGTTTGTCAGTAAAGTTGTGATCTCCATGGGTGCATCGAATAGTTTTTTCATCAGAATCTAAATAATTGTTTTGTAAAAAGTCGATTACACAAAAACAAAATGTAGTATAAGTCTGAATAGAAAATGAGATAAAAAATTAAAAGATCAAGAGTATTTGTTGTTAAAGGTTGTTGGATAAGGTGTAAAACAACAAAATAAAATTGAAAAATAAATGTAGCAACAATCTGAGCAAAGCGAAAGTTAATGGAGCCCATTTCGAGTAGCTTTAGTGTAACAATTTTCTTAAATTTTGCACATTTTGTTAAATTTCTTGAATACGGACTATTTTAGGAAAATTTTGTATGAGGTAAAAATTATAGAGAATAATATTAAAAGTAACTTTTATTTGAAGAATTTCCTTCTCCAAACGTACATAACGGATATATGCCATAAAATATAAAAACGACCTCCCATAAAATACCCCCCAGATGTTCCCACTCTGCCCAAAATCTAATCAAATCACCTCAGGCGGGAATACAGCTTAAGTTTGAAATTTAATGTTTTTTTCTTTATCCGTTTTTCAGTTTTCTTCAAAATTTGGAATTTACACTTTTTCTCAAATATCTTGAATACGGTCCATTTTAGAGAAATTATATATGGGACAAGAATTTTAGAAAATTATATTATAAACAACTTTTATTTAATGAATTTGCATAAAAATTTGATTTTTTTACAGTAAATGAGGATTTCAAAAATAATTTTGGTTTTTAGAAAAAGCAGTGACGTACCATTTTTTTTTTTCTTCAAAAATAACAGTTCAAACCCCGTACGGACGTTACTCGTAAAAATGTAAAAACATATTTTACGTCAAAAAATGCTCCTTAATGGTTAAAAAATGTGTGAAAAATTTCATAAAAATATCTGTAGTGATAAGAACATTATGATAAAAAAAGTTATTTTTGCAACACTCTGTAGCTCAAAAATTAAGAGGTTTACGATATATGTATATTCATTTATTTTTTAGTACGGGAAAACCCTATAAAAAAAAAATAATATACAATAGAAAAAAATAGCGTCTAACCAAATATTTACATTTTTTTAATAAAATGTAATAAAAATTAATTAAAATTAATTAGAATTAATAAAAAATAATAAAATTAATAAAAAGAAAAACTAATTAAAATAAAAACTTAAAAAAAAAAAAAAAAATAGAAATTAATTTCTATTAATAGACATTAATAGAAATTAATAGAAATTAATAGAAATTAAATTAATAGAAATTAATAGAAATTAATAGAAATTAATAGAAATTAATAGAAATTAATAGAAATTAATAGAAATTAATAGAAATTAATAGAAATTAATAGAAATTAATAGAAATTAATAGAAATTAATAGAAATTAATAGAAATTAATAGAAATTAATAGAAATTAATAGAAATTAATAGAAATTAATAGAAATTAATAGAAATTAATAGAAATTAATAGAAATTAATAGAAATTAATAGAAATTAATAGAAATTAATAGAAAGTAATAGAAATTAATAGAAATTAATAGAAATTAATAGAAATTAATAGAAATTAATAGAAATTAATAGAAATTAATAGAAATTAATAGAAATTAATAGAAATTAATAGAAATTAATAGAAATTAATAGAAATTAATAGAAATTAATAGAAATTAATAGAAATTAATAGAAATTAATAGAAATTAATAGAAATTAATAGAAATTAATAGAAATTAATAGAAATTAATAGAAATTAATAGAAATTAATAGAAATTAATAGAAATTAATAGAAATTAATAGAAATTAATAGAAATTAATAGAAATTAATAGAAATTAATAGAAATTAATAGAAATTAATAGAAATTAATAGAAATTAATAGAAATTAATAGAAATTAATAGAAATTAATAGAAATTAATAGAAATTAATAGAAATTAATAGAAATTAATAGAAATTAATAGAAATTAATAGAAATTAATAGAAATTAATAGAAATTAATAGAAATTAATAGAAATTAATAGAAATTAATAGAAATTAATAGAAATTAATAGAAATTAATAGAAATTAATAGAAATTAATAGAAATTAATAGAAATTAATAGAAAGACATTAATAGACATTAATAGACATTAATAGACATTAATAGACATTAATAGATATTAATAGATATTAATAGACATTAATAGACATTAATAGACATTAATAGAAATAATAAATAGAAATTGATAGAAATTGATAGATATTGACAGAAATTGATAGAAATTGATAGAAATTGATAGAAATTGATAGAAATTGATAGAAATTGATAGAGATTGATAGAAATTGATAGAGATTGGTAGAAATTGATAAAAATTAATAAAAATTAAAAAAAATTGCTAGGTATCGCTTGAAAAAATTTCTCTTGAGTAACGAACTGTTATTTAATAATTGACATTTGAGAAATTCCAGTGGAGCGGGATCGTGTCAGCTAATTAATAATAAAATGATACAAATTGATAGAAATTGATAAAAAATTAATAGCAATTAATAGAAATTGAGAAATTCCAGCGGAGCGGGATCGTGTCAGCTAGTTAATAATAAAATGGTTATTTATGCAACAAGTGCGTATACTTTACGCAAGTACGGCGTATACTAAAAGTATAGAAAACTATTACATTTTAAGTGATATTATCTATCTTATACGTATTTTGAATATAAAGCACTCCATCCTAGAAAATATTTACCGTAAAGTTAACTCATATGAATGAACATTTACATTCGTTAAAAAAAGGACTTTAAACACTAGTTGCATACAATATTTTTTCTACTACCGTACAAATTATCCACTAATATTAGATATAAAAGTTATTTTTTTTTCACTATTAAAAAAAAGTACAACTTTATGCATGGTAGTAGAAAAAAGTGTTTTATATGCGGTCAACTTACGTAGACATTAGAGGGGTCGTTAAAAATTAAATTTTTTTCGACGCTTTAAAAAAACCTTCCTTTTGATGAAAAAATACGGGGGAATTTTTTTTAACAACAAGAATACCGATTGAAGTTTATTTTTTCATAATATCGTTAGTTTTTTCAAAATATCTCTTAAAGTAGACGGATTTGAGAAAAAATTTGAAAATTTTGATTTTAATGAGTTTATTATTGAGAATATCTCTATAAATATGAACTTTATGAAAAAATTAAACGAGACCTTTTTTGTAGAGAATTTTATTTCCTGCAAAATTGTTCTCGTTTTACTTTTTCATTAAGTTCATATTTTTGGAGATATTTCTAACTCATTAACTTCATAAAATCAAAATTTTCAGATTTTTTCTCAAATCCGTCTACTTTAAGAGATATTTAAAAAAAAACTACGATTTTTTTGAAAAAATAATCTTTAATCAGCTTGCGGTACGTGTTTTTGTTTCCCCGTATTTTTTTCATCAAAAGGAAGGTTTTTTTAATTCTTAACGACCACTCTATGTGTCTACTATTCATGTTAGTTCATATTAGTTTACTTTATTTTTATATACGTGGTTGCTGTTTTTGATAGTTCCTAACTTTAGACTCATGATTTATTTTTTCAGGGAGCACCTGTTGCACAGAATGTTGGTACCCATGTCGAAATGCAAAGTGACCTGCGAAATGTACGAGGAAATTTCTTTTCTTCGAAAAAAAGGGCTGCTAACGTTTCTCAGACAAATCCTACTACCGTTGGACGAACTAGACGTCGTTTTAGAGAAAACGGTGTCGGATGGGATATCTTCCCCGTCATCGCACGTTTAGAGTTACATAGAGTCGCGTATTTAAGGTTTATGCCCCTGAAAAAGTCTATAATCTACAATGCAAATGAATGTTTTTATTTATTAGAAATAAATTAAAATTGTTTGGTAATATTGGTAACTTTGTTTTTATTTTAAAGCACAATAGAATTAAAAGATATAAGGTTTGTTGCAACACGCGCGAAAACCGTAATATTACCGTACAAATCGTGCGCTTTACTCAAAAATTGTGTACAGCACATGATTTGTACGGTAATATTACGGTTTTCGCCCATGTTGGAAGAGACCTATAAATATTTGTGCTTTTAAATAAAAATTAAGTGACTAATATTACTAAAAAGTTTTGATTTACTTTAAAAAAATTCTACGCCTAGCAAATTTTCCTATTTTTTTTATTTATGTACCTACAAACAGACTCGTTTTTTTTTATTTATAATATTTCGCAATGTTGCCAAACTGTACAAAAAAAAACGTATTTTATTATTTTGACTGGAAAGTTAGAAACGCAAATCCTCATCAGATATTTTTTTAAAGTTTTTGATATATTAGTATTAGTGTAATATATATTTTTTGACATTTCTATCCACCATTTTTATATTAACAAACGTTTCATGTACTCGGATGTCGGTGAAAAAAAATTCAATAAAATTTAGAGAAAAAAAATTAAATTCGATATCTAATTCTTGTAACAATTAATTTTAAATGAATCACCAAGTATAGTTTTTTTTAAACTATTGACAGGCTTTGACAGTTTCTATGAATTTATATAGAATATGCCTAAAATGTAATTTAAATGGATTTCTTTCTCATTGTTTGTATATTTTTAAATGGATCTCATATTATGACTTTCGTCTATTTCTTGTTTATCCAATTTTCTTCTTTTTTTTTTTTTTAATTAAGAATTCGACATAAATACTTGCCCACCCTGTACAAAGAGACATAAACCTTAAACAATCTAGTCCTTTTCTTGATCAGATTCGTTACCAATGATATTTCTATTTAGTGATATTTTGTTTTTTTTTTGTGTAATATTAGTCTTAAAATTATTATATAAAATGTGATTATTATTATTTTTTTTTTTGTATATATTTTGATCAAAGTTATTATACGTTATTTTTGCATGAAATTTATTTAAGACCTAAAAATATACAGTTATACAGTTTCTCCTCTAAAATCGTATATCGGGTGTCCTGATAAGTTTTTAACGAAAGCGGTTCCAGGAAATAATTTAGAAATTGCTAAATTCATCGCTAAATGGCGTAATTTTCATAGCTAATAACAAATTTTCGATTTTTTTCAAAAAAAAAATGTCAAATTAAGTTATGTTGAAAATTTAATTAATATCATCGGTTGTAAGTATTACGCCATCTATTGGTTAAGTTAGAAATTTGAAAATATTTTCCAACGAATTTTCTTGATCACTTTTATAATTTTTTTTTTTTTTTTCAAAAATTTACATACAGGGTGTGTCAACGATGCGTGAGTAAATGATAGTTGCTTCCTAATTTGATATAAGAAAGAATGTCTTAAATAATAGTTGTAGATGGGAATCAAAATGATGTCCAAAAAATAATTACTAATATACAGGGTGTTCTAAAAAGTGTGACTTATCAAAGTTGTTTTTTTTTTAAGCAATGCCCTATATATTTTTATTCGATTAAATTCTTTTTGGAAGAGCGTTTCTTAAAAAATATAGAGTTGTGTGAGTTTATATACCAGGTGGGTCGAAATTTAGGGATCATTCAACATTAAATATTTCAAAATTTATAATTCGGAAACAGAAAATTTGTCCACCAAATATCCTCGAAAATGGTGCATTTTCATTTCCTGTTCATAATTTCTCATACAACCAAAACTTGGAATTACCATATAAAAATATAAAATTTTGTACGTTTATACCAGGCGATTCAAAATTAAGGGGGAAATTTGTGTCACAAAATGTGTTTATTAAACACCTAATATCTCAAAATCAACAACTTTAAATAAGAAAATTTTTTCACCAAATATCCTCGAAAATGGTGCATTTTGATTTCCTATTGATAATTTTACCGAATGGAGATTTTACCATACAGGGGCAACCAATACTTGGGATCAGTTTTTCTTAGTTTTTCAAATGGATCATCCTATATATTTTCATTCAATTGAATTCCTTTGAAAGAGCATTTCTCAAAAATAAAAAATTGTAAGGGTTTATACCAGGTGATTCGAAATTTATGGTGGTATTTGTGTCACAAAATTCGTTCATTAAACACCTAATATCTCAAAATCAAGAATTCTAAATAGGAAAATTTTTTCACCAAATATCCTCGAAAATGGTGGATTTTGATTTCCTATTCATAATTTTATTGAATGGGGCTTTTCCTCTACAGGGGCAACCAAAACTTAGGATCAGTTTTTTCTTAGGTTTTCAAATTGAACATCCTATATATTTTCATTCAATTGAATTCCTTTGAAAGAGCATTTCTCAAAAATACAAAATTGTAAGGGTTTATACCAGGTGATTTGAAATTTATGGTGGGATTTGTGTCGCAAAATGTATTCATTCAACATCTAATATCTCAAAATCAACAATTCTAAATAAGAAAATTTTTTCACCAAATATCCTCGAAATTGGTGCATTTTGATAGGAAATCAAAATGCACCATTTTCGAGGATATTATGTGGAAAAATTTTCTCATTGCAAATTGTTGATTTTGAGATATTTGGTGTTTAATGAACACATTTTGTGACACAAATCTCACAATATATTTCGAATCACCTCGTATATAAAACTATTAATTTTTTATTTTTGAGAAATGCTCTTTCAAAGGAATTCAATTGAGTGAAAATATATAGGGTGTTCCATTTGAAAAACTTAGAATAAAATGATCCCAAGTTTTGGTTGCCCCATTTTCGAGGAGATTTAGTAGAAATTTTTTTTTCTAAAATGCATATTTTCGGCGGCATTTAACTGTAACACTTTAATTTGAACACCCGGTATAGTGTTTCATTGAAAAAACATTTATCAGTTCTTTTGGAACATAGATTTTATTGCCCTCTATAACTTTTATTTGAGACATTATTTCCTATCTCAAATCGTTGTACACCGTATTTTCTGTATCCTACATACGCTAACAGTGTCGTTTTTTATTCGGACGCCCGGTGTATATACGTTTCAGCGTTTGAAATAATGTATTTGAAAGAGATAAATGACTTTTAGGATATGTTGTATAATTTTCGTTTAGATATAAAGGGTTTTCTTGATCATTTTCGATTAAACGTTTCTTAAAAGGCGTGTAAATCTGTTAAAAACTTTTGTCAAAAGTTCTTATTCTTCTATGTCAAAAAAAGGGGAAAACTCAAGAGATAAACCTCTAAATTTGTACATTTAAGTCTCTTTGCTAATTTTTTGACAGTTTCATGTCAATTCCTACAATTTTGTTATATATAAAGCTTTCTAAGAAATATTCATTGAAAATGATAAAAAAAAGCCTGTCTCTATCGTGTGTTAGAAAATAGAAGTGTTTAATCTGTTCTTAAAACTCTGACATATTTATTTTTAATTATGGCGCCTTTTTTATAACGTGTGATCAAAAAAAAAAAAAAGAAAACCAATTGTAATTTCAGTGTCATAAGTCTACTCTAGAAATATTTTTGTTCATCACTTCCATATTAATATTTAAGAGTGATCCACAAAAAATGATACTAAAGTAGACCATGAACGGCACAGATAGAGATACGAATCGTGCACTGCTCTAATTTAAATCCAAACTGGCATTTAAAAAGAAGAAGAGAATTGACATATTTTAATTTTTCCAAAGCCTAGTTTAGAAACATGTTTTTTGATCACTACATATTTAAAAACTTGACCATTCAAAATTTATCACTACGTTGAATTGTTTTTAATATTTTTTACATTTTTTTTTTTTTTTTTAGTTTTTTTCGTTATTATAAAATATAAACAAACAGAATGAACACTTCTGGATAAATAGGTCTGACATTTGTATAAAATGTGATGGACTATTAGAACAATAAAGTTTATTCTTGCCAAAGGTTTTGTTTTATTTGCGAATTGATATTTAAATTTTGAACCCTCAGATTACTTTCTGTAATCTAAGCTGAAACCTTTCTCTCCCCACTTGTCATTAACTTACACCTTGACATCAAAAATTTCCAAGAAGTCAATGATGAATAACGATTTAATGTAGGTATATCTAATAGCTAAATTTATAGGTATTGAAAAATATTTGTTATATACCTTGTTAGTCGAGGCATTGAAGCAAAACCGTGGAATTTTTTAGATTAAGATCGGAATGCGGTTTTTGTATTTGCATCCAAACATTTTTTGGAAAAAAATGTCCCTACTTTTTATCTTATACAAACCGGAAATTGCAGTGCTGCAGCTAAAAATGCATTTTGTGAGACAGCTTTTGGAAGATTGAAGAACTTTGTAAATAAGAGTCAGAACTGGCCCAAATCGAGTTCTTGGGGGGCTTTCGAGGTTGCTGATCACGATTATGATGTTCAAATTGACCCACAGCTGACCTGGAGCTCAGGAACGCCGATGAACGTCATGTCTGTAGGACTCTCCCGAAATTCACGCGGGGAAGGAGATAAACTCGATGCTGAATTCAAATGTGGCATCGGCGAACACCCCCCGGATACCTGGTGCGCCCAAACATAGACGTGGACGTCATCCTCGAGAATTTTCCTGATAAAATCGCCAAAAACAACCCGAAAATCATTGAAAGGGCGTTTTTTGGGCGCTTAATCCAAATTTCACGTCAAAAACGATCCCCCGAACACCTAGTGCACCGGAAACTGGCCCTGAACGTCATCTCCAAAGGTTTTTCTCACACAATCGAAAAAGACGAACCCAATAAATCCGTTATGGGTTTTTTTTAGGGCGCTGACAGGACCGGGAGTAATTCCCGGGACCCGGGCTCAAGTGTATAGGCAGCGGCATAAGGGAGGCCCGGCAAGTTTAGTGAGGACGTTTGTTACTTCTTCAGCGGAGAACTGCAGGGGCGACTAGAGGGGGGGAGGGTGCCGGGACTAATTCCCGGGGCTTGGACTCAAATGGAAGACCGGCAGCGATATAAAGGGAGCCCAACTTAATTTTGAGGTTTTTTTTTTAAGAAATTTTAAAAGTAGGGGAGGAAAAGTTTTTGCTTTGAGGACTAGAAAAAGCAATTGAAGCAGAGGAAGAATTGGGGATTTTTTTTAGAAACTCAATTGAACTAGAACTAGAAGAGGAAAAGTTTTTGTTTGAAGAGCTGTTTTTTGTCACGGGGCCCGAGGCCCGATCAAGAGAATTGTCCTGGGGCCCGGCCTGGCTCTCGGCGGCCCTTCGGAGAAGTATTTGCTTGAAGACCTTTTTTTCTTTAGATTCAGATTCAGTGAAGGTTTTGCTGAAAGACCTTATTTTTTAATTTTTTAGAAAAAATGTGACATTTAAAAAAGCCTAATTTTTTATAAAATTGTCACGAGGCCCGACTTTGAGAATTGTCCCGGGGCCCGATCTGGATCTCGACGGCCCTGGGCTAAAACGACCCTCCCAACACCTGGTGTACCGGAACCTCGGGCTGAAAGTCATCTCCGAGGGGTTTCCAGACACGATCGCAAAAGACTAACCAAAAATCGTCTCATAATTTCGCACATTCATTGATGTGCAACTATCGCCTGGGGCCTACGAAAAAGTTGACCCAGTCCTGTAAAATTCTAAATGCCGGGTTTGAATAGAGCGAGGAGAATTACACGAGAATAATCTCCGGCTAGATCTCCCAACTTTGCCAAGTGGGCTTTCACTTTTCTCCCAACGCTTTTGTGTAAGTATACACAGAAACTTTATCTTAAGTCCACGTCCCGCCCACCAACGTCCAGGTTCGGGTGTAACATATATCCGGAAGGTGTCCGACGATGCCACATTTGAATTTAGCGACCCAAAAACACCCCGGGTGCCGAATTTATCTCCTTCCCCGCCTGAATTTTGGGAGAGTCCCACGGAGAAGACGTTCAGGGCCAGGTTCCGGTGCACCAGGTGTTGGAGGGGTCGTTTTCAACGAGAAATTCGGATTCAACGCCTCAAAAAACCACCCATAGCGGTTTTCGGTTCGTCTTTTTCGATTGTGTGAGGAAAACTCACAGAGTAGAGGTCCGCGTCCAGGTTCCTGTACACCAGGTGTTCAGGGGGTTATTTTCGACGTGAAATTTGGATTCAGCGACCCAAAAAAACGCCCCCACAATGATTTTCGGGTTGTTTTTGGCGATTTTGTCATGAAAATTCTTAGGGATGACGTCCAGGTTCGGGCGCACCAGGTGTCAAGAGGGTATTCGCCGATGCCACATTTGAATTCAAACCCCCCATAACGATTTTCGGTTCGTCTTTTTCGATTGTGTTAGGAAAACCAACGGAGATGAGATCCGCGTCCAGGTTCCGGTGCACCAGGTGTTCAGGAGATCGTTTTCGACGTGAAATATGGATTAAGCGCCCAAAAAAATGCCCCTACAATGATTTGGGTTGTTTTTGGCGATCTTGTCAGGAAAATTGTTGGGGATGACGTCCAAGTCCGGTCGCACCAGGTGTCAAGGGGGTATTCGCCGATGCTACATTTGAATTCAGCACCCCAAAAACCCCCCTATAACGATTTTCGGTTCGTCTTTTCCTATTGTGTGAGGAAAACTTACGGAGATGAGGTCTGCGTTCAGTTCTAGTGCACCAGGTGTTCAGAGGGTCGTTTTTGACGTGAAATTTTGATTCAGCGCCCCAAAAAAATGCCACCACAATGATTTTCGGGTTGTTTTTGGCGATCTTGTCAGCAAAATTCTCGGGGATGACGTCCAGGTTCCAGTACATCAGGTATCCGGGGGGTTGTTCAGTAAAGAGTTTGATGCTGAAAAGATTGTATAAATATGGAGGAGAAGTGTAAAATTTGTTTTATCTCTAGTGTACGCTGCCTGAATTGGCAAATCCTAGGCATGACTGGGGAATATCATTAGGAAAACCTGATATTTTAGAAGCTATTCAAAAAATAAAAAACTAAAAATTACCTCCAAAAAGTAAAATAACATTTAAAGATAGTTCACTAATTATTAGTGAACTACCTTTAATGTAGTAACTACTATTATAGTAGTTACTATATTTATTGCTTTAAAATGTATCTACAAAAACATTTAAGGACAAGAATAATTGATAATAACTTTTAGTGTTTTTATTCTAAAAATTTTTGCTTTAATATTTTGTCTGTTTATAAGATCGCTGATGTCAAAAAGAGAAAAGTTGTAATATATCCATGACACTATACAAAAAAGATATTACGCCAATTGATACTACATTACGGCGACATATATTGTGGTGGAAGGCGTGGATTTTACGAATTTGAGATAGCAGCTGTTCAAAAACGGCGCGTGAAAATAAATTTCATGGCCAATATTCCACACCACAATATGTCATGCGCGAACTCGACGAGATTTCGTCGGCTAAATTATTTCTCTGTGACTTTTTATATCATGGGATAATGGGATATATCAAAATTGGCATGTTGTTTAAAGTTTCATTTTACTATATTCAACTCCTACTGTGTCTGTGGCCGTGGACAAAGTAGTTTGCAAGTCTTAAAAAAGTAGTTTCAAGGTATGCAACTAAATTATCTTTAATGTTTAATTTTTAATATCGAAAAGAAAATATTTTTAAACAAATATACAATATACTTACATTCCATTCTATATACAGGATGTGTCCCCGGATCCCGGATGGACTGAAAAGGAAAAACTTTTTTATTTTTACATTTTAGAAAAAATTTTATTCTTTATAAAAGTTTTTGCTTGTTCCAAAACTAATAATAATCCAAACAGAAGTTGAATATTTCTCTGCTTTAGTGAAATAATTACAAAAATGTAAGAAGAATATGCAAACATTTGTCAAATGCAATGACCAGTGAGCGAGGATTTAAATAATCTGGATTTATCTGTAGGGTTACTTAAAACAATTCGTTTTCAGTCATTATTGGGAAAATAACGTTGAAATTTTAAAAGAATATATAAAAACGTCCCTAAAAAAATTAGAACATCGAATTGGACTAACATATATATCTCTACCAGTGTTGCCTGTCTATTACAATTGTTCTAGATCTAGTACATTCTCTAAGAATCTGGTCTAGTACACTCGAAGCAAAATCTAGTACTTTTTTCAGTATATGTTTCCATTTGACGTGTAAAATATATCGTTGGGTTCTTTCTTGTTTGTGTTCGTTCTCTATAAAGGTTTTTCGCTCTTAATTGAACCAAACCATTTCACAATTTGAAAAATATGGTACATTTTATAGAATCTGGTACATTTTTATAGAATCTGGTACATTTTTTAGACAAAACATATTCTGGCAACACTAATCTCTACCCAGACAGCACACCAAATCCTTTGGATATCTACTGAACATCCCAATATCCACTGAATGTCCAGTCCACGTTGGATATCCATTTTATATCCATGAGATGTAATTTATAGACATGCAAATGTCCATAAATAATAGTAATTATATAGCAAATTATTAAAAAATTACGCCATTGTGCTCGCCATTGTGGCTAATAATACCGTTCAGATATTTAAAATTAATTTTTTTAAGGTTTATTCAATATCTCACTAAATATATCAAAGTCTAGGCGCAAACGCAAACCATCGTGGATATCCACTAGAGTCCACTAGAGTCCACTAGAGTCCTAATAAGGATGACTTTCTCCTTAGTGGGCAAAATCAAAGGCAGAGTGTTGAAACTATTTTGAGTGTTGAAAATATTTTTTATCTCTGCTATTTTCTTTCGACGTTATTCAATAATCATTGGTTACTTATGAACCTCTACTAAAGATACCCATAAAAATTTTTGCTGAATATCCGAATATCTTCTATATCCTGGGATATAGACGGACATTTGGTTGAATATCCATATTGGATATATTGAATATCCACAAAATATATTCTGTGGATATCTCTGGGATTTCTTGTATTGTCTGGAAGATACCCATTAGATATTTTGCTGGATATCCATTAGGATATCTTCTATATTCTGGATATAGACGGACATTTGGATATCCATATTAGATCCACGGAATATTTCTGATATCCTGTGGATATATTGGATATCCACAAAAGATATTCTGTGGATATCTCTGGGATTTGGTGTGTTGTCTGGGTACCTACCGAGTTTTAGCTGTATTATATTTTTTTACGGATAAATCTACTTTATTTCCTGGTCTATCATAGAAATTACTAAAGAAAAATTTCTTTAGAAAAGGAAATATTTAGGCATATAACTACCTAGTAACAGATCAATACAAAAAAATAAGGTATAAAACATTCTACTGCAATGGCCAGCTAGTTCATCCATGGATTTAAATCATGTGGATTATTCTGTGGGGTTACTTAAAACAATTTATTAGTCATAAATTGAAAAATGACGTTTAAAAAAAAATAACATCCTTAAAAAAATGCAAGCCAGATGCACTGAAAAGAACATTAAATTGGACCAATATACCTACCTAGTTTTAGCTTTTATTCTATTATTTTATTCTATTACTCTATTTCCTGGTCTATATTAGCGAAATCATTCATGTTAAAAAATATAGTGGACAAAAACGTAAAATTTATTTAAAAAAGGAAATATTAGGTAGGTAATATACCTCGTAAAACAACAATAAAAAATAGGTAGTAGGTAAATGGTTTTCATTCACAAAAAGTATTATTACCTATCTGAAAATCTCGGAAAGAAGTGGCACACTTTCCGAAAAAACTTGCAATATAAAGGGTTTAGTTCCACTTTTAAAAGTTTTATTTATTTTAAAATAAAAAAATAAACTTTTAAACGGGGAATAGGTATCTGTTTCAACAAAAAAAAAACGTTGAAGACAATTTCATCTCAACAAAAAAACTAGACAATGGTCAAATAAAAGATAAATTATAGACAACTGGGTGACCATAACTATTTAATTTATAAAAATTTGGCTTTTAAAATATTCCTGAAACACATTTTTACCTGCAAGCTGCAGGTGAAAAAGCAGATTTTTTAGTAAAACTGTACAAGAACCCCTAAATCCATCTAAGCTTTCTATCAAAAAAACTAGCAGATGCTAGAAAATATCTAAGCAGAAAGCAGGTAGAACACAATCACATCACTGTGTCGTGGATACAATAATATTAAAATACATTATAAAAGGGTGCAGGAAAGGTAAGAGGAAAAACAAGACCAGCAGCAGGCAGGATTGGATTCTCGAATACTCGAAGTCCAGGTGTTTATACGACAACACTCGAAACCGCATGCGCGTCTCCGAATTCTACGAACAAAACTACTTGTTGCCCTTTTCGGAAAGTCAGTTTCACTAGCGATTGCTGTGGTAGCTTGTTGCGCATCGACTTGAAATTCAAATTGCGGCGTGACGGATTTAAAATTGTCAACAAACATTTACTACATTGTTTTTGTTTGCTTAAAAGTGTTTACTAATTAAAATGGATCTTACCTGCACCGAAAATTTCGCGAACAGCTGTACCGCTGAAAGGGACAGAAGTATTTTTAATGATGGTCGCGTTATAAACAATTTACTTAACGACGAAGTGTTTTCGATACCGAAATGTGATTATTTTCAAACTGTTCAAAATGACATTCAACCGTTTATGAGGAAAGTCGTTACTACTTGGATGCTGGAGGTTAGTGTGTTTTTGTTTCGTCTTAATACCTGTGTAAAAAGAAGATGGTAATAATAAATTATAAGATTTTCTTGATCTAGTAGGTACTGTCATGCTGTACATTATTGATTTGTTTCGTGTTGACAGTCTTAAAAGTTATACAGTAACAATTTGATTTGTAATTTTCTACTTCAGAAAGATTAATACGTCGATACATTCAATATTATTTAATAAACATTCGATATTTTAATTTAATGAACCAATATTTTTATTTTCCAACTTGGATGCTGCAGGTTGTTAGTCTATTTTTGTTTTGTCACATTACATGTGTATGTGTAGAAAAAAGATAACAATAAATTACAAGCATGTTCTTTGATCTAGTAGGTACGTGGTTCTAAGAAATTTATTGACGCCAGTGGCGTAACTATCATATGGCAGTTCGAGGCAATGCCACGGTGTCCCACGATTTTAGGAGCTTTTCTTGTTTTAACACCTTCACAATCTAATCAAACAAAAATTAACAATTTATGTAAACTGTCTGTTGACGAATCTACAGATAGTTATCGATGTTATTTTAATTAATGATTGAATTTTATTTAAACAATATTCTTTGGGTCTTTTAGGCAGAGGGGAGCCGGATGAATGTCTTGCCAGGGTTCCCCAGGTTGTCTTTTTACGCTATAATGATTGTCACATTTCAAAGTTGTCTTGTCTTAATGCCAATAACTCTTTTAAAAAGTTTAATATGATTTAATATACATTTGTTGTTTTAATTTAATGACCCAACCTTTTTATTTTACAAGAAACTGTAAATCTATAGGTAAATAATGGGACTACATTCTCACTTTTTCAGACCTTTTTTAAATTCTTGTATCCATGTAAATCTTGGTCTACATTTTACATTGTTTTCTGACTAGTTTCCTGGTTCCCTACCCATAATAGGTATTTATAATTAGATCTTGTTCATCATTCCAGACATCTAGCAACTCTTTTCATTAAAACAAGTCTTCAACAACACCTGTACACCACGTGATCTGGTAAAACAAGAAATCTAAGTATTAGTTATCTTAAACAAGCCAGTGACATTGTTTTAAGATTACTAGTGAAGTTATTAATGTATATTTTAGCCCATGCTACATAAATACACCTACTTATGTTGACCAAAATCACGGCAATCTGTCTTTTATGCATTTTTTATTATAATAATCATTTTAGGTAATCTTAAAAAATGTCTATATTTTGTAGTTTAGCTTGTTGGAAAGCTTGTTCCAACAAATGTTTTCCTGTAAATGTTTTCTCCATTAAATGTTTTCTCCATTAAATGTTTTCCCCAGTAAATGTTTTCCAGTAAAAGTTATTCATTAAAGTTTTCCAGTAAATGTTTTATAGAAAATGTTTTACAGTAAATGTTTTCCGGGAGTTTTCATAGTACCTCTTCCTGCTTCAAACTAAAAAGCAGGTTCAGTCCAGTAGTATACCTGTTGTTATCAGACTAATCTTATCAAATTGGTGATAATAACCTATTTCTTTTGCAGGTATGCGAGGAACAAATGTGCGAAGATCAAATCCTACCTCTGGCCATCAACATAATGGACAGATTCCTTTGCGTTTGTCCGATCAAGAGACAACAGCTTCAACTGCTTGGAGCGACGTGTCTTTTGATATCTTCGAAAATCAGGAGCACCAATCTTCTTCCCATAGACCTACTTTGCGCTTACACGGATTACAGCGTCACCTACGAACATATTTCGGTGAGTAACATAACAAAAATAAAGAAATTTATGTCTATTTTTATAGGTACAAAGCATATACATTTTTCCATCTTTTTATGATTCTAGTGTACTATGTTTCTTGGAATAATTATTTTGAGTAATCATAAATAATGTCTATATTTTGTAATTTAGCTTGTTGAGAAGCTTGTTCCAGTAAATGTTTTCGCCAGTAAATGTTTTTTCCAGTAAATGTTTTCCAATAAATGCTTTTCAGTAAAAGTTTTATATAAAATGTTTTCCTGTATACATATGTTATCTCCAGTAAATATTTTCTCCAGTAAATGTTTTCTCCAGTAAATGTTCTCTTCAGTAAATGTTTTCTCCAGTAAATATTTTTCAGTAAAAGTTTTCCAGTAAAAGTTTTCCAGTAAATGTTTTATAGTAAATGTTTATTTTACAGTAAATGTTTTACAGCATATTTTTTTACACTAAATGTTTTCCAATAATTGTTTCCCAGTAAATGTTTTCTAGGGGTTTTCATAGGATAATCCTTTTTTTTTTAATTTTTTTAAATGTATTCCATAATTTTTCTTTGCTATTTTGTAGGCTACCTTTTAAACTAACGATAATATTAAATCTGTATTAAAGTAAACTAGTTTAAAATTCAAAATATAATTGCTAAACAATAAAAAATGTCATCCTAATAATGACATCGGTGTGCTACAAGGTAGTATCTTTGGATCGTTGTTTTTTGTACTTTTTATCAATCAAAATGGAAATTAAGTTCCGATTATACACTTATTAAGCACTTACTTTCAATGAACGTTAATTGCGACATTTTTATGGTTTATTTTTATTAAATACCATGCTTTCTGGTAAATAAATCTCATATTTTGTGTGAATTGGAAATAAATTGCATTTATGGTAATATGAAATGAGAACTGTTATCCTGACTTTATGGGAATAACAAAAATATAGGGGCTCTCTGTTTTCAAATCAGCGTTAATTTTAATGACTTTATTCTCGTTTAAAATGGTTTATTAATGTTTGGTTTAGCCCGGTTTTGTTATTGGATATCGGATACTGCCGAAAAATGAGTATGGGGCATTCCTGTCACGGTTATAGGGCTTTAGGGTTGACTACCACTATATTTTTATTCGTGACGATTTGAAAATCTACAACATCACTGTTTAGTTAATGTATATTAGTACTAAATATAGTAAATATCATTAATTATAATAAAAATATTGATTAGAAAAAGAAACGAGGGTATCCTTTCAAAATTCAAAATATACACATGTAAACATAGTAAACGTAAAGATAATAAATTCAGGTAGTAGGTACATCTCTACAAGCCCCGTGAAATCATTTCCAGACAGGTGAAGAAGACACCATTATCATAATTTAAAATGTATTTATCAACCGGAACGTGAACATATATAATAAATATAACACAAATAAAGCCGTTCAAACGAAAACCCACCCCTCCGTTCGGTAATATCAAGATTTTTAGTAAAAATTCTCATGGGTCCCTAAAGTTGCGAACTGGCACCATGCATTGTTCACCTCCAACGGCATGTGCATGTGACGTAACTGTGAGAAACTAGCGAAGTCTTTTGTTCGATACGATAATCTAAATACGGGACTTGATTCCGATATGGGCCACATTACCAGGCAACCTTTTTCCCATCCCATCCGGAGGAACTAAAACTACCCTTGGAAGGGTTGGAAAACAGGAACTGAATACTGAAATAAAGAAAAAAATAGATCGTTATGCCCTTCTTTCAATTCCGTTGTCAATTTTAAGTGATAATCGCATGTATTTAGATTTGGGACAGAGAGGTATGGATGCTGTAATAAGGTCGTAGTAAGATCCGCTTCCTTTGTATTTTGCTATCCCTTATTTACATATTAGAGAAAATAAATGGAATAGAATGGAAACTATTTAAAAAAAGTATACAAGATGAATAAATTTTAATTTAAATGTAACTATTGTTATCTCTTGTTGGTTTTACAAGTTCAATTTAATTGACTATATACCGTCAGTATACAAGAGAAGAGAATTTGACTTTTGTTTTAAAAAGTTTTTATTGCGCCCTCTAGCTCCTTTGTATACGTTTTATTTATTTTTGTGCCCATTCCAGTTATAATTAAATAAAAATCAACAATACTAATATTGTAAAATTTTGTAGAGAAAATTTTTATGACTTCTTTTGAATAAATTCTAACGTGAATTTTAAATAAAAGATTGCTTTAGTAAATAAAGTCTTTGCGGTTTTATTATGAAATTAGCCCCAAAGAAGGCGAATTCCACTGTATATTAACACTTGATACTATTCTATTATGTTGAAAATACATATTTACATTAATTTCTATATAATTCATTTATCTATAATTAATTTCTTTATAAATAATTTGTTCATAATTTCTTAATCATTTCTCTATAATTAATTTCTTTACAATTCATTTAATTTCTCTGTAATTAATTTCTTTATAATTCATTTCTGTTTAATTAATTTTTCTATAATTAATTTCTCTATAATTAATTTCTTTATAATTAATTTCTCCATAATTTCTCTATAATTAATTTCTTTACAATTCATTTAATTTCTCTACAATTAATATCTGTATAATTAATTTCTGTATCATTAATTTCTGTATAATTAATTTCTCCATAATTTTCTTGATACTTCCTTTGTAATTTCTCTATAATTTCTCTACAGTTAATTTCTTTACAATTCGTTTAATTTTTCTACAATTAATTTGTCTATAATTAATATCTGTATAATTAATTTATGTATAATTATAATTTTTCTATAATTAGTTTCTCTATAATTAATTTCTCTATAATTAATTTATCTATAATTCATTACTCTATAATTAATTTCTCTATGATTAATTTCTTTATAATTAATTTCTCCATAATTTATCTATCATTTCTCTATAATTTTTCTATAATTAATTTCTTTATAATTTATTTATAAATTCTCTACAATTTCTCTATAATTTCTCTATAATTTCTTTATAATTTCTCTATAATTTCTCTATAATTTCACTATAACTTCTCTATAATTTCTTTATAATTTCTCTATAATTTCTCTATAATTAATGTCTTTATAAATAATTTGTCCAGAATTTCTTGATCATTTCTCTATAATTTCTTTACAATTCATTTAATTTCTCTGTAATTAATTTCTTTATAATTAATTTTTCTATAATTAATTTCTCTATAATTAATTTCTTTACAATTTATTTAATTTCTCTACTATTAATTTCTTTACAATTCATTTAATTTCTACGAGAATTTATCTACAATTAATATCTGTATAATTAATTTCTGTATCATTAATTTCTGTATAATTAATTTCTGTATAATTAATTTCTCTATAATTAATTTCTTTATAATTAATTTCTCCATAATTTTCTTGATACTTCCTTTATAATTTCTCTATAATTTTTCTATAATTTTTCTATAATTTTTCTATAATTTTTCTACAATTAATTTCTCTATAATTCATTACTCTATGATTAATTTCTCCATAATTTATCGATCATTTCTCTATAATTTTTCTATAATTAATTTCTTTATAATTTATCTATAAATTCTCTACAATTTCTCTATAATTTCTCTATAATTTCTTTATAATTTATCTATAAATTCTCTACAATTTCTCTATAATTTCTCTATAATTTCTTTATAATTTCTCTATAATTTCTCTATAATTTCACTATAACTTCTCTATAATGTCTTTATAATTTCTCTATAATTAATTTCTTTACAATTCATTTAATTTCTCTACTATTAATTTCTTTATAATTAATTTCTCCATAATTTCTCTATAATTAATTTATGTATAATTAATTTCTCCATAATTTCTCTATAATTTGTCTATAATTTGTCTATAATTTGTCTATAATTAATTTCTCTATAATTAATACCTGTGTAATTAATTTCTGTATAATTAATTTATGTATAATTATAATTTTTCTATAATTATTTTCTCTATAATTAATTTCTCTATAATTAATTTCTCTATAATTAATTTCTCTATAATTCATTACTCAATAATTAATTTCTCTATGATTAATTTCTTTATAATTAATTTCTCAATAATTTATCAATCATTTCTCTATAATTTTTCTATAATTAATTTCTTTATAATTTATAAATTATCTACAATTTCTCTATAATTTCTTTACAATTCGTTTAATTTTTCTACAATTAATTTCTCTATAATTAATTTCTCTATAATTCATTACTCTATGATTAATTTCTCCATAATTTATCGATCATTTCTCTATAATTTTTCTATAATTAATTTCTTTATAATTTATCTATAAATTCTCTACAATTTCTCTATAATTTCTCTATAATTTCTCTATAATTTCTTTATAATTTATCTATAAATTCTCTACAATTTCTCTATAATTTCTCTATAATTTCTCTATAATTTCTTTATAATTTCTCTATAATTTCTCTATAATTTCACTATAACTTCTCTATAATGTCTTTATAATTTCTCTATAATTAATTTCTTTACAATTCATTTAATTTCTCTACTATTAATTTCTTTATAATTAATTTCTCCATAATTTCTCTATAATTAATTTATGTATAATTAATTTCTCCATAATTTCTCTATAATTTGTCTATAATTTGTCTATAATTTGTCTATAATTTGTCTATAATTTGTCTATAATTTGTCTATAATTTGTCTATAATTAATTTCTCTATAATTAATACCTGTGTAATTAATTTCTGTATAATTAATTTATGTATAATTATAATTTTTCTATAATTATTTTCTCTATAATTAATTTCTCTATAATTAATTTCTCTATAATTAATTTCTCTATAATTAATTTCTCTATAATTAATTTCTCTATAATTAATTTCTCTATAATTAATTTCTCTATAATTAATTTCTCTATAATTCATTACTCAATAATTAATTTCTCTATGATTAATTTCTTTATAATTAATTTCTCGATAATTTATCAATCATTTCTCTATAATTTTTCTATAATTAATTTCTTTA